TTAATTTGTCTGCAGAATCGAGTTTGCAAGTAAAGCAGGAGCAAAAGACATACCACTAGATTGGGCACTGGGGGCTTTTATCCTAGAAACTTCTATAGCCACTTTAGATTACAGTGGTAAATCTAGAAAAATGCTTGGCTGAAGTATTGATTTGCTATGATGTATCTCATATTTCCAATAAAACACCTAAGTTTTTTTTTTTTTTTACCTTTGTATTTTTATTACGTTAAACTGTGTTTGCAACTATCTATTATTCCATTGTCGTCGTTTCTTTTAATGAAATTAAAAAGGTTGGCTTACTCATAAAATATTGAATGCCAAGTTACTACGATATTTTTTAATTGTCCGTAATATATATATATATATATGTGTGTGGCGGTATGTGTGTAATTTCGACATTTCAAGAAAACTTCTGCGACCTTAAGATTATTTGAAATGCCAGATATAATTTGGGCGATATAATTTCACTTCATTCAAAGTTTTTTCAGATAAAGTGCCAGATAGAATTTCAATGTTTTTTCTAGACTTGGAATATCTTCTGGAATTGAGACTATTCTTCTGTACTTCAGTCTCCAGACCAATGTTTATATTCTTTAGGCTTCTTCATTTCTTAACTAACTAATTAAAACGCATATAAGTTTTAACTTTTGATAGATTTTATAGAATAATTATTATTTCAGTAGTCATCCTAAACACGTAATAACAATTAACACCAAATAATTTAAAATTTCAAAACCTAATTCTAATACAGTAAAGAAACATAGTAATATATAATAGAAATACGTTAATAATAATATTAAGATATCTCTTTTTTGAATTTCACGATATTCACTTTATAGTCAGATTTGGGAGATCGCAAAATACATATCTTATTGTCCAAATTATTTCCTAAAATATTATTCAGAAGTGGTTTAGAAACATATCGATTTTTTAAGGTTGAAACAAAAAAACATATAAATTTTGTATTGCATATTTAATTTATTGATCAATATAAGAGGTAAAACAATTTGAAAAATCTGCGTTGATTCTAATCCAAAATCAATCTAAATTCAACTCGCAAATCCTTATAACTAAACATTTCTGATAAGTGTCGACAGCGTTTGTCTTCATTCACAATAGTCTATACGTATATAAATGTGAAAATGTCTTTCCTTGTTGAGTCTTAATTTCCTTATTGAACAATTGACCATCTCTATAACTCAACAGTCGATAATTTTTAAAACATACAACTGGGACTATATTTGTACCTGCCAAAAAATATGCACCTGGTCTTATGGTCAACGACGTTAGTATGTGTTAAAGGTATAATAAAATGCGAGTTCTATAATACTCTTTAAACCAAGTGTTTACTTTTTTTGTTTTGGTGAAGCAAACCAAATGTATATTTTAATGAATCCTATTCTTCATACATAGTTGTCTCTTGCCTTTAAAACCTTATCCATTCTAATATAAATATAATTGAGAAAAAATCATCTACATTATAGTATTATACTACTAAACTAGGGCTCAGTAAACTATGTATTTATTAAAACATAGTATATAACTGTATAAAAATAACACAATATGTCAATTTTGAAAAGTTAAAAAAATAACAGAAAACCCTAATTACATAGATATTTTATTTATTTTCTAATGACAGTTCTTTTCAGCGAAATAAAATCTAAAATACTAAAGGGATGATGGGTAGGTAATGTGACTGTGAAACTGCTGATTTAAAACTTTGACTGCAGACGATTTTGGAGGTGAAAATTAAAAGTAATTTTTAGTGGCTTCTCCTTTATATAAAAGGGATTTATTTGCTGGCTTCTCAGACTGTCCACGTCGACAAAAATAATTTAAAAATAATCGGCCAATAAAAACATTAAAACATGCCACATCATCGAAAAACTCAATTATCATCATCCTTATTGCAACGCAGAAAGTCGAATAGACATTAAATACAGGCCCAAAAAAATTAAGCCATCAGCCCAATAAAGAATCTCCACCCCAATCTTCTCTATCGTTGGCGAGAGCTAAACTTTCCAGAAAACACCAGAAATCTGAATCGATACCTTCATATAATTTCCTTCGCCTGCTATGTCTCCTTCGTCTCCACCTACTAGCTATGAGCCCCTCTAACGATTGCTTTTTCTCTCATCTCAAATACATTGGAAAAACATAAAATTCAATCGACAAAAAAAAATTTGACGTTACAAACCAGCCTTAAACTAAAACCAGCCATTAATAAGGATAAACATTAAATAAGAATTTCTGCAAAATAAGGATTTCACAGATGAAGTGTCTGTTAAGCTTATTTTAATTCTCCAAAATCCAAACTGACGCTCTCTCTTTCTACTTTTATTTCTCCATATCTCTCTCCCTGCTTCTTCTTAATCAAATACGCTCTAGCTGTGGACTTTGTGCTGATTTGTTGTTGAAGAATTATTGATTTGGAGTTGGAAGTGTCGGTTCTCATCTCCATTCTTCAATTGCGAAGGGGACAGGTTTGTGATAACATTTTTCTATATTGAAAGTCAAAGCAAGAGAAAATAAGTTTTATGATCGATTGTTTTGACTTACATATTAAGATCAAATGCGCCTATTATCTCTTCAACATCAAACTTTCTTTAATCTGTTCATATCAGTTCTTTTGGTGATTAGATTTGTTTCTGCTTTACTTAATGTTCATAGTTCATAAGCTATCTTAATCTCTACATTAACTTGGCCCATAGTGGAAAGAATAAACACTAAAATCGACGGCGAAACTTATCTTGCAGAACTTCCACGGCCGACACCACATCCCCGGAAGCTACAATGGTACGTCCCCCTTTCAATATCTCTCAGTCTCCGTTTCTGATTGTCTCTCCTGTTAAAGTTTTCCCTTTTTTGAGTTTCATTTTAACCTTTCAGTCGTATAGATTCTATCTTTCGAATCACAAATCTATATTTCTAGATCATTGAGTGAATTCTTGGATTTCTGGTTTTGGATTGAGTTATTTTCTTTGTCACAACTGACTCTCCGGTTAACCATCCTTTTTAAGTACTTCGATGTTGAATTTTGCTTCCAGTGTTGATTCTGAGAGTATTGATCTGATTGCTGGAGGTAAAAGCAAGAAGATCAAAAAGACAGCTACAACGTACGATGATGTCTACCTAAAGCTTACTATGAAGACCAAAATTTTAACAACGATATATGGCCTTTACTTTTTGTCCTTCCATCAAAGAGGTTTTTATTAGGGTGAATCGCACTGGATGTGAGAATTGAGATTTGAAACATTGTTTAGAAATTTCGCAGTTGTACTGGTTGATGGTAAGGAGAAAACAGAGCAAGTCCAATGCAGTGATATTGAAGAGGCTTTTCATGAGCAAATTCAACAAAGCTTCACCTCTATCTAGGCTCGTGGAATTCATGACGGGCAAGAAAAAAAATTAGGAAGAGAATAGAACAAGGAGTTTCGGGAAAGAGGTCTCCTGGTTTATGAAGAGCAAGCATGAACGAGTTGAGGTACATATATATATGTAATATATTTGGTTCCATTCTATATATAAAAAAAAATTTGGTTCCATTTGGTTCCAGTCTCAAATGCTCTCGCACAAATCCAAAGACTCATGTTCCTCAGGTTTGTATACAGCTTTACATTTTTATTATATATTTAGTATATAATATTGTACGAAAAGCATCAGGCCAATATGTTCTTCCACCTTACGATTGCTCTTAAATCTACTTGATGCAGTTGACCCGATCCATAAGGAGGTCGATCATATCTACCATTAAGTTTGCCAACCATTACCTTTTCATTGCATGTATGTGAAGACTTTGCATTTTGAAATGATTCTTCTTCCTCCCATCCTTCTGCATTTTTACCCATGGGATCATGATTAGTTCTGGGATACTGATTCTGACTGCATTTTAACCGCCGAGTTCTATACAAGGTAAATTAATGAAATCACCACTTCAGCTATTGTATGTAATGTATATCTCTTTGTTGTTTGTTCGAGTAGTATCTAAAACAATGGTTAGATGATTTATGAATTCTAAAACAGTACATCAAGAACATGCAATCGGCTTCAGCTCGATGCATGACTGATTAATTAACAAGCTATCCCAAGAAACGTTTCTGAATGAGCAGCAGAAAAAGCAGTGTGCTCATGAGGGGAATCGCACGGCTTTTATTTTGTTCTTTAGTATCATTGTTAGGTTTTGGATCATTTTACTATCTTACGTTCTTGACTGATCATTTGCTATTTGCAGGGTTTAGATAAGATCTTCCAAGAAAATGATCATTGGTCTTCGAAGTTCCTCAAATGATATGCATTGTTTAAATATGAACTCACTATCTATGTGTTTTTCTATATATTCAAAATACAAATTATAACCTAAACTTAATTACACAGAAATCTCTGAAAACCCGGGCGTAGCCCGGGGCAATCCCTAGTTAAAAATAAAAATGAAAACAAGAAGAGAAAGAGAATAAATTTGGATTGTGACTTGTGAGATTTTAGGTAGAATGTTAGCGATACAAGATGATTAAAGCTTTGATTCTGTTAAAGTTGAATTCAAATTTTTTTAAAACTTTCTTTTGTATCTATATGCTTTAAAAAGGTTCTCTACCAATCACCCCTAAAGCAATATTTATTGTGTAACTGATGAGTTTTGAACTGATCTTCGGATAAAAATAAATAAATATTATACGCTGTATTATTTTGAGTTATTGACTTGGTTATACTTTTATTAATCAAACAACTTGTATTGTATATCTAAATCAATATGTATGTGTATGTGCTTGTATATCTTAATTCCTACCTAACTATAATCTATGTTGGATGCCAATAGGAGTTATATATATTAGATTGCCACTAGAAGCCGATTATAACGTATAACTCTGGTCAACGGCTTTAACTAACGGAGCCGTTATATTTTTCAGACGTCGTTATATCTCTCTCCCTCTTTTTTTTTTTTTTTTTTTCTTCCGCTATAAAAAGCTATTCTCCATTTGCTTTATTTACGGGAAAATCTCTGTGAAAAAAAAAGGAAAAAAAGTTTGCATCTTCTCCAGAAAATAATCTGGAAGCAAACCACAAGTTCTTTGCGTCTCTGCTTACATTCCTCCCGATTTTTCTGCTCTTAAATCAAGGACGAGAAAGCTTTCCTCTTCACGCTATAAACACATCTCTCCCCAAAATTCTCCAGGTGATTTTTCTTGATTTCATCAGTATCTCGTTTTTTTTTTTTTCGTTTTCTATGGTTTCTTCGATTTTTCCCGAATTCGCAAACTCTCGATTCATTTCTCATTAGAGTTGGTATTCTTGTGATTTCTCGGTAGTTTAGTGTGTTGAATCTGGATTTCGTGAGATATAAAGTGGAGTGACAAGTGTTTGTGAAATTGAGATGAGTGAACACATATATGTCGATGGATTGATGCGGCCGGTTCCGTTACCTCCGGTTCCGGTTATCCCGGAGGTTGAATCAGAGACGCCTGAGCCGTATGGCCTAACGGCGGTGGCGGAGGATAGTGCAATTGATATCTACGACGGAGATTCTACAACTACGGAGGAAGATTCACTGATTTGCTCGGCGGAGTGCCGGATTTGTCAAGAGGAATCGGCTATTAAGAATCTCGAGAGCCCATGTGCTTGCAATGGCAGCCTAAAGGTAGTATTTTTTCTTCTTAAATTTCCCATTGTTCATGCTCTCTCACTATGTTTATCCAGAAATAGCTGAGAAAAATGAGTATATGACTCATCAACTCAATGTTTTTTTAACCAGTATGCTCACAGAAAATGTGTTCAACATTGGTGTAATGAAAAGGGAAACACATTATGCGAGATTTGTCATCAGGTATATACGCTTTTCTCTACCTTGATAAGGGCAAAATATGATACTATATTCATATAGAGTGACTTATAACGATTTAGCTTGAGACTTCTAATCGATGATTGAGATTTCAACTCAATGTTCATGCATGATATCTAACACCCTTTTAACTTCTTTTACTCAGCCATACCAAGCTGGATATACCTCCCCACCACCTCGGCTCCAATCTGAAGAAACTACAATTGACATTGGGTATGATCATCAATTTCATAGTTTTGCCATAGACCTAACTTAAGATTTGGTTATGCATATGGCTTGTAATGGTTCTGACATAAAATGTCTGTTTGTAGTGGAGGATGGACGATCTCAGGTTTGGATTTACATGATCCACGGCTCCTTGCAATCGCAGAAGCTGAACGTCAGATTTTAGAGTCCGAGTATGATGATTACACAGCTTCAGATACCAGTCTAGTTGCATTTTTCCGCATTTCTGCTCTAATAGTAAGCCTAAAGCTTCAAGACAAGTTTCAACCACTACCAATTTTTTTGACCGAGTTGTAAACCTGATAACATCCTCTATTTTTGTTTTTCGTTTTTGCAGTTGTTGACTCTTCTATTGCGATACGCACTGACTATACCAGATTATGCAGATGATGATGATGAGGACCCTTCTTCAATATTTTCTGTAAGTTAAAATCAAGTTTCTGTAACAATTTATGCAAATGGTGAAGATGGCCATTTTTCTAAAAGTTTCATAAAAATTTAAACTCCGAACCACAAAATAATCTTAAATCTCTTTGCAGCTTTTCTTACTCCGAGCTGCCAGTTTTCTTCTTCCTTGCTACATCATGGCATCAGCCATTAGTATGTTACATCGGCGAAGACAAAGACAGGTTAGCTTCTAAACACACTTACTACAAACTTTTCTTATCATTTTGATACTATCTTTAGGACATACTAACATAATTATATTAAAAAAAACTGATTGAACAGGAAGCAGCGGCTTTGGCCACCCGGTTTGCGTTGGTGCTCAGCTCACATCAACCTAGAGCTGTGATTAATTATTTGTCGATGGAGCCGTGAGTTTTTACACAAAAAGTTCAGGAACATGCTTTTCATTGATTTCATCATAAAAAAGATATGGTGAAAGCTATAACAAAGGGGAGTCCTAACTTAGAGTAGAGTTTTTTTTTTTTTAAGTAAAAGAATCTAAGAAAGATTCTGTGTATGTAGAGTTTAATTTCTCTGACTTTGTGCATTGCATAAACTGAAAGATGTGATTTTTTTTTGTAATGTAGCATTGAGTTTTTCAATAACATTACAAGCATTTCACTTTATACGGGAAAGACGCAGACGCGTGATTATATGAATAGAATTACTAATGTTTTTCCACAATAATAAATAAATATCATCTATATATCATTGTCGTTCATACAATACTACCATGAACTTGTAGTAAGGCTAAGAGTATCACATTATATAACTTGACCAAAACTCAAATTATACATTTGAATTCTTTCGAAAAAATCTTACTAACATGGTGAAGCTTTTTCAAGTTGATTGCGGACATAACAAAGAGCAAAACTCAAAGCTAGTTTGCCTGCAATAGTTCCTTAATATCATACCCTTGGATCTACAAAAAAAAAAAACATAAGTTAAGAGTTGATAGGTCCTTAGTGATACCAGGAATGAGTTTTCTAGCTACCTGAAGAAAAGTGAGCAGCAAAATAACTCCTGAGTTCCAAAAACCGTGAATGACCATTGGGGTAATGAGATTGCGGGTTTGCGCATATGATAATCCCAATACCGAACCTAAACCAGATGAAAACAGAGACACCTCTCAAGTCAGAGATGTTTATAAACATATATGATAAGATGGTAGGTGCTATTGTTTTCATTTATTTTTTATTTTATTTTTTTACCTAGAATAAACAACTGAGGGAATTCACCGGGTGTGAGGTGGGCAAGGGCAAAAGCAGCTGAGCTGATGATGATCGCTATTGGGGTCGGGACCCTGAAATGCGAAACAAAACTCAATCTAGCTAGCTTTTGTCGAGAACCTAATGAGAAGAAGAAGAAGAAGAAGACAAAAGCTTTTACCATTTGGTAAGAGACACCATGAAGAATCCACGAAACACGGTCTCCTCAAGAAGTGGTGCAAGGATTCCAGTTATGCCCACCAAGCTTATGGTGCTGTACCATCATCATCATATGCGATGTGATCAAATTCTAGTATTAATGCTCATCTCAATTCTCTATTTCTTTGCGGATAATACCTTATGTTCGAGGATCCAATTAATGGTAAAAGCTTCATCAAAGAGTCTACCTGAAAGCATCATACTAACCTCATTACTACTGTATCCATCAGACAGTTCAGGAAGGAAAACAACAACAAAAAAACATAACATATGGTGTTGACTTCTCCTAACCTCTCTTTGGGGTGTCTCTGTCTTGAACAATGATAAAGCAACACCTGTTAACGCAATGGCACCAACAGCACCAGCCAGACCGATCCCACCCCACACGAGCCATCCTTTTTGCAGGTTGAAGGGTTGTTTCAAATCTGAAGAGGTCAAAGGCCAAATAAACGAGCAAACATTGCAAGACAATCCCAATAATAAAAAAAAAAAGAAGAAGAGTGAAGTACCATAGCGCAAAATGTCTTCAGGAAGTGGCTCGAAGGTTTTGGCAACAGTGAATATGACAGCAAGTACCACTGCAGTTGTTATGCTGCAAAATATATTCAGATAAAGTTATCCAACGCAAGGTACAGTATTTTAATAGCTTAAGAACTCAGAGAGGGAGCAGAGGTGATCCTATGTAAAATTGGCTAAAGCACTAAGATTCTAAAATCAGTTTACATGAACAAGTACAAGAGTAAGACTGTGATAAAAAATACACAAAGATTAGTAGTTAATGGTGGTACCCTTGATCCAGGAATAAAATTTCCGCCTTTTCGTCCAAGCTCAGTTTCTCAACGTCGATTCCTAAAAACGGTATGGCCAACATCTCGGTCAATCCTGTCAAAACAAAACTGCCTGGGAACAAAATTAATCCCACTCCATTACATTGAGAATAGTTAAAGAGCTTGAGATGATGTTATGTTCGTACACAGAGGATAGTCACTAAACAAAATCTTACTATTGTAACCAATAAAGAGAGAGTATCTTTCAGATTAAACTACTCAACCATATCATTATCATCAAACTCCAGGCTTAATTCATCCAAAGGAAAGATTTTGATGGCGTCAGAAAATGGAGAGTACCTTAATCCACAAGCAAGCGAAGTTAACGAAACTGTCTGCCATTCCCATGGAACTTCCCATCTTTGAAGTATCGCCCACTCTGAGCTACCTCCCTGTAACTAAGAAAACAATTATTTTCTTAAAAATTTTGTAGATTTGGGATCCAATTGAGCAAAAATACAAAGAACTGCCTCAGAAAAAACAAAAATCATCCTGAAAATTTCCCGGAAACTAAACAAGAATCTAATCAAGCTAGAGCCAGAGAAATATCGACCTTTTCGTCTCCTCCAGGTTCTTTCCCAGAGTTGAAAATGCAAGCAGATCTCCATTTCCTCCGATTAACATTAGATAACCGGCGGCTAGCAAATCCCGGAGAAAACTGGCTCAAACCGAAGCGGTTATAAGTCTTCGGCAGAATTAAACTCCGGGTATCGGAGAGGCAGAAAAGAGACGAAGATTCAGTTAAACACGAGATTATCTGCGAAACCATTTGAATTGTTTGACTGAATAATCTTTTTTTCCTGTTCTTAAAAAAACTTCGACCAAAGCAAAAAGATTGTTAGAGTGAGGAAGAGGATAAGGTCCGACTAAAACGGGTCGGATAGAAAAACCCGTATCAGTGTACTTGCTTAAAACGATGACGTTCACTGGGCCTGTTTAGGTCAATAGAGGCCCAAACTCTTCAACGACTAAAAGGTCGTTGTCAGTATGTAGAACAAAATAAATACATCCCTCGTGCTTCTTGATTTGTAATTTTGTTCCTTGGGAGAATGATATCCACTTATTTTATTTTCATTTCAAAAAAAAAATTCATTTTTCGTTATAACCAAGACAAAAAATAGTTAATATCATTTTCAAGCATTAGCACAGAATCACTGGCAAATTGGCCCTATTGTCCTAGTAATGTGGACCCTACATCCATTGAACAATTGACACCTAGATTCAGAGAAAACCAGTAACTTCGTCACGTTCCTCTATTTAAACCCAAATGTAAATCCTCCACAAGAAATAGTAATGCAAAATTTCAAGAAAGAGAAATGGTTACTTTAACTTCATCTTCTTCAACTCCAAATAAATCTTTTGATTTCTTGATGAACAATAATACCAGTAACAGCCTCAGCCTCTATGGTCCTTTCTCTTCTTCATCTTCTACCTCTTTCTCTTACTTGACAAGCAAGGAAGATGCTCTCACGCCGAAGAACCTAATGAGTGGTATGAACAGGAACATCGATCCAGAGGAGCATCACGATGTTGTTGGAATTAGCAAGAAAGCTTCTGAAGATTTGGAGATCAGTGTGTTTGGAGCTGAGAAGTACTTCAATGGAGATATGGATTCCGACCACAGTCCTAGACCTGTGTCTCCTTTACCAAACCCAGAAGTTTCAATCGAGAGAATCTTCATTGGTCCGAAGCAAAGCTCGATAAATTCCTCGGAAACTCCGAGTCTTCGATCTGAATCCAGCTGGAACAGTCAGAGCTTGTTGCTTCAGAACAAATCGGAGAAGAAGAACAAGAACAAGAACAACTCTAGCTGCAACAGTTTCTTGCAGGAGAAGGATGTAAGTAGCAATCAAAAGGTGAGTAACAAGAAGAGTTTTCTCGCGAATCTTGGTTGCAGATGCGTTTGTTCTAACTGGAATTCAGTAGATGTCGTCGACGAGCAGCAGCGAAGAAACTCTGGTCTGAAGAAGATCAAAACCCAATTGAGCTCAGAGATGAAGATTCATCAACAACAGCAAGAAGCAATGTTAGAGCAGAGGAAGTCTCTGGAAATCTTTGGATCTCCTCTAATCAAGAAGAGAATCATTCAGAAGAAATTTCCATGGGAATACTCGAGCTCTGCGAAAACAGAGGAACGTGGATTCTCTGTGAAGTATGAACAAGAAGAGGAAGATGGGAGTGTGAGCGATTTAAGCTCGGATCTTTTCGAGATTGAGAGCGTAACAGGAAAGGCAAAACCCTTCCTTGCAAGGCAAGGAAGCAGCGATCCAGAGTCACCGAATGGTTATGCACCAAGTGAGGTAAGCATAGCGTGGAGTGTAGTAACGGCTAGTGTGGCGGATTACTCTGTTATGTCTGAATGTGCGACAAGTCCTGTCAAAAACCGGTCTTTTCAGATTCCTCGAATCCCTCTGATCGCCAAATCAAACCGAGAAACCGCGCCTCAGAGACGAAAATCGAGCAGTGGAGGTTTATTATTGGGCTGCAAGAGTCATAAATATGTTAGAGTTTCAGGTGATTCGTACACAAGCGTGAACAGAACACCGAGTTATGCTCCAAGATTCCCGGTAGAAGCTAATCCAACAAGTATCGAAACAAGGAGGAAGATCAGTAGTAGCTCGTTTTCTCACACGCATTCACCTTTTCTGTATACTCAGTGATGCCAAAAAAACTGAACTACTTTCTCTTTACATGTAATGTCTGTTGAATGAAAAAGATTTGCTTTGTTAATACCATCTTAAATTTCTTGCTCTTGAAAATGATTTTTCTGATCAATTTGCTTCTTCCAAGAGGTAATCCAGTTCGCTTTTTATTAAGAAAAGAATGCCTATTGAGGACTGCAAATCAATTTTAATCACCGATCAATCCTAAAAAATGTTTTTTTTTTCTGGCTACAAATGAGTTCAAATGACATGTGATCCAAGAACTCATCTATTATCGCCTAAGGTTTTCAAGAACTACACCATGTGAATACTAGACACTTGTTTCTAATCTGCAAATAAGACCAAAGAATGCAACTCCATGTGACCGACGAAGGTGTGATTATAACCTTTTGTTGACTCAGGAGACATGTTTTAATGCAGCACAGAGACTAGTCACAAAATAAAATGGGGCCACCTCATGTTCATGTGCTTGTTTAAGAATAGAAAGGTACCTGATTAGGGCTTAGATTTAACGTTTTAATCAAAGTCCGTACGAGTTGCCTAAAAGAGCCATTAATGAGGAAACTCAATCAATCAGTGACAGTGTCATTTCACCTAACATGTCTTAAAAGCCAATCCAGAATCTTTTGGTTCAGAACTCATCTCAAGACCATGTGATTGATAATGAGATAAAGTAGAAGTAGCCAAATAACCTTAATTGTATTATTAATGATATGGTCTCTGATTTAGGTTGGGAAAAAAGATTGATTGTAATACAGTTCAAAGTCCAAATTCAAGATTCAGCTCTCACCAGCTTGATCTAATCAAGAAACAAACTTCTGATCTTAAAACTAATACACTGAATCCAGTTAGGTACGTGAATGGCATATAAGATTTCAGAAACATCAATGAAACCAGATTTGTAAAGAAAATATCAACACTGTTCCAAAGTATCAATGGATATTGAAGATAAGTATTGTATCCTTTTTCAAAGGTCCACTTTTTTAATAATTGAGCAACCACTTCACTGGTCTATGATGCTAACAAGATCGAGAAAATTTACCAAGTTTCCATGTGTAGAGAGGATAAGAAACAAAATCAATAGTCCCTTTGCGTAAAAGAAAGAAACCAGTTACTGTGTGTGTGTGTGTATGTCGTTTTCTAATAAAGAAGATGAATGAGACTCTCACAGGTCTCAAAATCTGAAATTACAAGCAGATAAGAACGACAGAGAATATCTGAAGTTTTGACTAATACAAAACGAATTTTACTGCTAGCTTACACAGAAACATATGCTCGCAGATCGAAAAGGAGAGATTGGAATTGTATGTACAAGTTACACGTACACAAAGGTTACGATGATTCTCTAGCGAGCAAATGATAAAGGAACTTAGCAGTGATAAGAAGCCCCTCCAAAAAAACAAAGAAACGAAAGTTACTCATCTTTGGATACTTTGATTGGCCGTGTTTCAAATCCCCCATTGGCTCTTTTCTCGAGTGAATAAGGCAAGTAAGTGCCAAGAATCCGATCCCACATGACAAAGAATGGCTGCGAGAAATTGTATTTACTTCCGTAGAGTTGGTGATGAACATCATGGTAAGCAGAATTATTACTGAAGAAGATGTGAAATGGATTTCCCGGGAGCCATAGTCCACAGTGATCATCTACTGTCTTGATGGTAGCGAAGGAGAAGAAAAAGATGGCGGTTCTTGGGGACATACCAGAGAAGAGGAAAGACAAAGCACCACCAATGGTGTCCAAGAGAAGACCTTCTAATGGATGGTTGTATAATGCTCCATATGCATAAGGCACGATAAGGCGATGATGTTGAGAATGGATGTGTTTGTATAAGAACTTGTTGATGTGCATATATCGATGAATGAAGTATTGCCAAGTGTCAATCACTAGCATAGCGATAATAAATTGCCTAGCCAGAAGGAGAAGGGAAAGTTGCTGCGTCGTAGCAGCATCTGCATCACTTCCTGTTATCTAAAGACAAAAAACCAGAATTCCAAACAATATTTCAGGTAAACAACAAAAAGAATCCTTGATGTACCTCCACCAACAAACATGTCAAGAGTGTACTACAACATGACTAAGCCACAGAACAGTTTCTTCCAATACAGAGAAACATCACAAGCTCGTGACTCTAACAACACACGAATGGTGAGAAAGTCCAAGACAATACTTTAATAGTCTACATTGCAAGAGAATAAAACTTTGCACATGTGAATGATGAAGAAGAAGAAAAATCGAATTCTTCCAACCACTTACCAATTGTTAGATGTTCGAGAATCTCAAGTGAAATGGCTAATACCTCTTTAGACATAAGATGTTAACAATTCTCAATATAAAACAGCAAGAAACAGGAGATCCAAGTTTTTAATTTATCAGACAATCTCCAGAATTCAATGTTGATTCCTAGATCTGTAATCTTGATTCGACAGCTTCAGGACAAAAAAAGGTGCTTTTATTTCAGAAACGCCAGTTTGAAAACATGAAAAACTCATTCTCATTGACCAATGTACACTAAACCCACACATTATATCAACAAGAGGCCAAGGATGACAACGACAACATAGCATAATCCGCAACAAGAATCCTATAAATCCAGAGACTTGCCACAATTTTCAAGGAAATGTAAGGAGAGACATACCTTGAATAGAATAACGGAGATAATGGCCTGCAAAATCTGTTGAAGAAGTACGCCCTTGACGACGGCAGATTTGGTAACGAGATTCTTCTCATCCTCGTCTATCTTAGAATGCAATCTATATCTCTCCAAAGATCCTAAGAAAATGTACATCCCTGAATACACCCAATACACCAGAATCGGCACGAATGTTCCCAGAAATTCATCCGAAATCTCCAAACCCATCATCTCTAGTCAATTTGTCCTCCCCCTCAGCTCGAGAAACGAATCAAATACCGCCGGGAGAAAATCGCATCACCCTTGGCTATTCAAGAGCTAAACCACACGAAGAGATTAGAATCTTCTTCGTCGCTCGGCGTTTTCTCTCTCTCTCTCTTTCTTCGTCGAGAAGAAGAAGACGACGACGACGCAGAGGACGGAGAGATGAAGAAGAGGATCTATGAAATGATTTTCAATTACGATATTTTAGGTGGGACCCGACTATTCGGAAATATTCACGTGGCTTAAAAAAAAGGAATGGTCAAGGCGCCAACTGGTTTTGATTTTAATTGTGTGCTAATGTATTATTAATATAAAGATTATGTGAATCGTAAAATATGATTGGATCTAGCGAATTAGAATCCAAAAGAACACACATGCCAAAGAAACATAAAAGTCTAAAGAAGAACATAATCATTGTTTTGCCTCTCTGTTCTCTCTGTCCAATTGTGGAGACATTGGTTGGCTACCTCGTGGTGTTGTGGCGATAATTTGGTATTTTTTTTTTTTCACTTACAGTTTCTATATTGAAACTTAAAAAAAAAAAAACAAAAATAGATCGGAAAAAGGCTCGGGAAAAGAGTTGCAGAACTGTATGACCCAAGTAAATTTAATTGATTGACTCTAACTTAACCATGCTTTCTCCTCCATGTTTGATTTCCGATCCAGATTCAAAAACATTGGGAAAACAGAGAAAATATAGCCAAATGTGTTATATAGGATAATACGAAAAACAAAAAAAGTCTTACGAAAATAAAATATAATGTCTAATTTGAAATAAAATTACACTCAGAAAAATTCGAAAAATGGAACATTTGCTAATAAGACAAAGTAAAGAACGAATCTAGTTTTACAACTAGTGCACAAGAAAAAAGACAACTTTGTTCGCAGGACAAGTAACTTCCTTTTGGAGGGCCAAAAAAATGGAAACAAGAGCAATGGACAACAAATAGTGTAACCTTTAAGACTCTGCTTTTGTCGGCTCCGATGAATCTTCAGGGCCTCCAGTTTCTTCAACAAGCTGGATTAAGACGGATTAAGAGGAAAACATGCAATGTTGTCATAAGTCGAGAGTACAAGTCATGCAGTGAGACTTGAGTGTGTGAGATAGAAAGAGAGTGAACATACCAAAGAACCGACTTGCTCATAGGCTCTCATTACTTTTGGGTCTTCCTCGTATTCGTATCCCAACTGTAGAATCCGTGGCCCGTTGACTGACCAAAATGCCCTTCGACCTGCCTCCTGCAACATCAAAACAAGTTTTAACAATATCAGAGGACATTTTGAAGGTTTTGGGTTTGGTGGGTTTCTTAAATCAGAATTCAGAAGAAAAAAAAAATGCAAGATTTAGAATTGTTGTACCTGTAAGATGATCAAATATATAGCTTCGAGTGTCTGGACACGAATGTCGGGATCAGTAACGGGTTCTCGCTCAATGGAAAGCGCACTTCCAAGCTCAGGTGGCATTTTTGAGATATCTTGCTCACTGTATATCTAAGGAAGGTGAAAAACCCAATAGTCAAAAACAGTTATCCTTGCTGTAAAAGAAGAGTCTTTTTTTTTTGCAACGAAGTAGCAGCTATAAGGCAAAATCAACAAACCTTACTGCCTGCAACTGGTAGGAGTAGGGCGGGCCAGAGAAACTCTGATATCAGGAGTATATTCTGCAGCTGGTTCTTGGCTTCAAAAGAGCAATTACGTATTGTCCCAGCAACCTGAAAGCCGATAGCCATTATCAATGCTAAATTGTTCTAAGGGTAAGTTTTAAGCAACAGGTTTATAAAAGAGAAATCTGCCAAATGAACGTACCCCTTTCTTTCGCAATTGATTAGTTGAATCAAACTGCCTAATAATCTGTTTTAGTAGTCCTCGTTTTGGCTCCAGTAACATTTTCCTCCCATCTTCTGTTTTCGATATGTTGACAAGGATTGAGCCAACATGCTCAAACTGATCATCTGGTGCATAAATAAGAAAAAATATCCATCAAACTCTTCCTACTGTACTTTTATAAGTTAGCAAAGGAACACAATTGCGCACTAAACAATTAACAGAAAGCAACAAAGCATAACCTTTCCTTAAAAGTGTGAGGAACTACTTCAACAAAGCATAAAATTCGAGACTATTGTATCTAGAAATAGAGATATACTGTACTTGGACAGATTATATAACCAATTAAAGAGTAAAGTGGTAAGAACATACCAGCAGTTTCACCGGAAGACCTGCAAAACGACCTAACAAGCTTCATGATATGTAGTCCATGCATCTTCTCGTCCTCAACCTAACAAAGGCATATAGTTTTTACACGAGGACACCATTAGAATACCAAAAGACAAACCCCACTCACAGATTCAACTCAATAACGCAAAGAAAGTCCGGTGCAAAGATGAATGACCTGAAGCAGGGAAGACACGCCATCATCCAACTGAGTGAGATTCACTAGAAGCATAACAAGCAATCTGGTAATACAAGACTCCGGTTTATACAACATGTCCATGGCCACTTTAATCAAACCCATTTGAATCATCTTCCCAGCCAATTCAGAGTTCTGAGAAAGATTCACAAGAGCCTGTGCAGCTGGCTCTGATACCTCCTGAAAATTGAAATTTCAAAACAAAAATTCAATCTTTATCAAAACCAATCCAAATCTAGAAAAATTAGAGCTTCTTAAGAGTGTTATAATCCAAAGGACCTTGCTTTCACTTAGAAGCCGAGACAGTGATGGAAGAAGAATCTCGGAATACTTGGAAAGAGATTGTAAACCTTCCTCCGAACCAGTTAATCCACTAACAATTTCCACAGCAGCTTTCTTCACCTGCAAATTGTTTCATCAAGTAATCAGAATTCAATAAAAATCCTCGTTTACCAAAAAAAAAAAAAAACCTTAGAATCCTAAACTTTCAGTGCATCACATAACTTAGAAACAGATGAAACCAATGCAATAAAAGCTTACAGGCGGAGAAGGAGACGACAAAAACTCGACAAGCTCTTCTAGCTCCGTCGCCATATCTCTAATCTTCGAAGAAGAACTTCGTGGTAAAGAGAGTGATCAACGGTTGCTCCACAATTTATCTGTGCGAAATATCTCCGCCGGCGAACGCGAAAATCCTCAGGGTTTTTGTTCGCACGACAAACCAACACAATCAGTCAATCATCCGAATTCAGGAAGTAAAAAAAGCCTAAAGGAAAATTTGCAAAACAAGCCACAGACTAATCAAAGTTTACATAAGAATCTTCTATTTATTAAACCAAATGCAAGAGCAGTCGTTTTGATGCAACTAAATACGACTCGGATTACAATTTTCATAAATAAAAAAATTACTTTGTAAATTCCGGTTAGCTTGAGGGTTATTTTTAACTTAAATCAAAAAACCAGGAACCCATCTACATTTTTCTTTCCGACATCAACCCATCTACATCTTTGTCTGTAGTTAGTTGTAGTAGAAAAAACAAATCTTCACATTTCGGGTTGAACAAAGATGGAAGCTTGTTTGCGATGTTCACGAGGAACCAAACTAATTGAAGCGTTGAGACCAATCGGCATATTCTCCGGTTCTCTCCGCTCTTCTTCTGTCTCTTTCAGCACCGGTTGGTTTTCTGATTCTCCTCTGTTTCCCAATAAAATTGGCGAAAAGAGAATTGGGTTCTGTGAGATGCATTTGATTCAAGTGAATCTGAAATTGGGTAAACGTATAAGTTATTGCTGTCAAAAATTGATTTTTTTCCTTTCATTATTTGGTCTCTGTTGAAGGCAAGCCGATTAAGAGAGCTTATGATGGTTTGTTGCTTGACGCTGGAGGAACTCTTTTGCAATTGTCGAAACCTGTCCATGAAACTTACGCTTCCTTGGGCCAAAAATACGGTCACTTTCTTACACTTCATTGATACAAAACCAATTTTGATTAACGCTTCTTCTTGCTTTTTCGGATGATCTCAAGTTGTTTTATTGGTTTCTAGCTCAGGTCTCAGGACAACTCCAGCTGAAATCAAGCAAGGTTTCAAGAGAGCTTTTTCTGCTCCTTGGCCTGAGAAGTTGCGTTACCAGGTCCGTGAAATGAGTGATTTTTTTTTTTCCGTTATTTCAGATTTGATCTTTCATCGTTTCCTGCAAAGTTATTATGTATTGAAACATCTCTCATTGTATTATCAGGGAGATGGAAGACCGTTTTGGAAGCTCGTTGTTTCCGAGGCTACTGGTTGTTCTGATAATGACTACTTTGAAGAAGTTTACCAAGTGAGTACAGTATATTGTATATAGAGGCCGGGTTTTGGTCTTTAAGTAGTCTTCATCTTCTTCCATTAACAATGGTCTTTTTTTTTTTGTTTAAAGTACAGTGAGTCCTGAATGATGATAAATCTTTCTGTTGTTTCCAGTATTACGCGAATGGTGAGGCGTGGCATCTCCCGGAAGGAGCTTATGAGACAATGTCACTACTTAAAGATTCTGGAGGTTATTATTACATTGACAAAATCTCTCCTTGTTTGCTTAGATGGCTTTTTTTGTATCCGTTATTTGCTGATATCTGAATTTGGGGTTGGAATGATTGCAGTTAAGATGGCTGTTGTCTCCAATTTCGATACCCGGCTTAGAAAGCTATTGAAGGATCTTAACGTCATAGATATGTAAGCTTTGGCATCGTCTGTTGTTATTCAACCTGAAATATGAATGCTGTAGTAAACACCATAAATGGTCATTGTTTATGATATCTGCCCTTTTACAGGTTCGACGCTGTGATTGTATCCTCAGAAGTCGGATACGAGAAACCTGATGATCGAATCTTCAAATCCGCTTTAGGTTCTGCATCATAAACTGAAGTGTTGTGTCATTTGATTAATTTCTTACAAAGGCTTCAGCTTTAAATGTATATTCTGTGTCATGCGCAGAGCAAATCAGCGTAGAAGCAAACAGAGCAGTGCATGTCGGAGATGATGAAGGAGCAGATAAAGGCGGAGCAAACGCCATCGGTATTGCTTGTTGGTGCGTCACAAATAACTTTTATTAACTTCTTGTTCTTTGCTTCTTTTTTCGGCTTTAGTGAAATTCTCAGTGATCAAACCCGTCACTGACACAAACTGTTTTTATTATGTCTGTGTTTCTTTGAATAACCAGGTTATGGGGAAAAGATGTTCAGGCCTTTTCAGAGATACAAGATCGGATCTTGGTTTCAACAGTCTAATTAACAAACAGGAAATTAGAGAATTGACTAGCTTTTCTGAAAACTGAATCGAAATATTTGATTTTGGGATCATGTATGTATCACCAATTCACAAGTATATACACGAGGCTCGAGCATGGCATAACAACCTATGCTTGTTTAAATTTACATATACATCCACGCTTGATGGAGAGCGGAAGTTATATGAAATTCCAAATAGTAAGCTATAGAGATACAGCATCCTTGTTGATGTTCAGCTTTTGCTTCATTTATGTTTCTTCTATCAGTTTACAAGATGTATCCTGTATCTGTGGATGTATCAGTTTAATCTTTGGTTTTTTGAATTTTCTTTTGTTTTTATTACCAGAACATCGGCTGATTCTTTCCTGGGTCATATAAATTTAAGGTATAACCTGAATATGGAACATGATAAATAGGAGATAGGAGATGGAATGCAATAAAGACAATCAAGAAAAACATTATCAGAAGGAAACTAGAGAGAGAAGCCTCAAATTTATGACACTTAAATTGATATTGGTATTAGCAATACCTTAAATTGTTCAATGATCGAAATGCAAACCTAAGGGATCTGAAATCAGAATCACATGTATTAACTCCAACCACCATTGTAACTTTTAGCCTTTTCTTTGAGTCTTAAAAGAGAGCTAGAATATATGAGAGACAACAAAGAAAAAGAAAGAAAAAAAAAATAATTATTGTAGAGTTGCAAACTTGGATAACCAAACAAGCAAAGAATTATATAAATTATGCATTGACAATAATCAAACTTAAGAAACAGAGAACAAACTCGGGAAATAACAAACCGGATCTCCGATGGATTTATCAGAGAAAGCAGTATCATATGATCTGGTTTCAAGATCATATGTTATCAGTGCTTTGCGTGATATAAAATCATAAAACAGCAACTTCTTCCTCTTCTTCTTCTTCTTCCCACCATCCAAAAGTGCCAGGGGAGAGAGAGCGCATACAAGTGTTTCACTTGGGATATCAAACCGACGAGAAATAAAATCCAAATCTATGGTACACATTTGGTCCCATGTTTTATTGACTACATCAAATGACCATATCACTTGGTTGGAGCACTTCTTCAGGGATACACACAAGCGGTTGTGGAGGTTGCCCATGACGATCTCGTTAACCGGAGCATTGGCAAAGGGAGCTTCAGAGAGGACTTGAAAAACTTCGGTGTGAAGATCAAAAGAAACAACTTTGGTATCTTTGCAGTCCGTGAACCAATGGAGCGACCCATCTACGTACACAGGATCACAGGGGCAACTAACAACCCGATAAGGAGCAGAAGGAGTGACATATCTCCAAGCATTGGTGCTAAAGTCGAAAACTTCGCATGTAGTAGCGTTTTCTCGGCCTATTTCTGAAGAGTTGTAGAGCCAGACGGGCTTGTACGTGCCCGTGAATTTGTCTTTACCAAATGCAGGCTTAGAGGGAGTGTGCCTAAGCTTGAAGTAATTGTATCCTAAGTCGACAATGAGTTGTTGTAATTGGCACAGAGGAAGACTCCGATTCCATCTTGTGGTGGGATTGACCACAAAATTGGGTGTGTATTCGACGTAGCTATGGTAGAGAAAAATGAGACCATCACAGCTACTCTGGCAAACAAAGTATTCCGTATTTTCCCTAGGAGTAGGGATCTCGACCAAACATGATGAACCCAACACAAGTGTTCTTAAAGAGTTTACCTCGTCAGGATCTGTGGGCAACATGAGAACGTCTGGATCTCCAGATTGCTGACGATGGATCAATTGCCTTTTTTGAAAGAATGGTGATTCGATCGTTGACTTCCATTGACTCGATACAGCTTTGAATCTGAGCAGAGATTTCACCGGAACCCTCACCAGGATGCACTCTATGACTTCATGTGGCAGCCATGGAATCGTCAGGCGACGTTTTTTCGACAAGATGACAAGCAGCGATTCAGTAGTGAAGCAACGTTTTTTCGACATTCTTGTCTTTGACTCAGTAGCCAATGAAGAGATCCACAAACTTATTTATACACAAATTAATAGGATAACAGAAAATCTCAACACTTTCCTTTTTCTTTTAAGTATGTATAAACTAAACTAAACCGTGTTGTAATCATGTGGGACCTACCTTAAACCGACAGAAATTTTTTAGCCAACAGATCTCTCTCCGTATATCTCTCCAAACGACACAGATTTTACTCACATTATTACAATCACCACCGCATATATTAAATCAACGCTGGAGTATTTTAAAATTGTGTCATATAATAAGTCACATTACGACATAGAAAAAGGACAAAAGGAAAAGAAAAATGAAAGGACTACATAGAAAAGGATAAAAAGAAAATTTTCGAAATTTTTTTGCCGATTTCTACTAGATATCTTTTCTCAACCCTACGTGTTTGTGCTTGTCCTTCCACACAATGAAGAAAGTGGAGACTTAAGAGCTTTCCCCAACCTCAAATCATCAGATAGATACATCTCCAGACCAAAGAACAATAAATGTATACCTCACGTTTCTAGTCCCTATGTCTCTTTGAGCTTCTTCCATTCTTGCGTTGAGAGAGAGAGAGAGAGAGAGCGAGAACAACGGAGAAGAGCGATTAGCAATGGAAGAAACGCGTGTGAAGAGAAGGATAGTGTTAGTTCCAGTTCCCGCACAAGGTCATGTAACTCCGATGATGCAACTCGGAAAAGCTCTTCAATCGATAGGCTTCTCCATCACTGTTGTTCAGACACAGTACAATCGAGTAACCTCTTCCAAAGACTTCTCTGATTTTCGTTTTCTCACCATCCCAGGTAGTTTAACTGACTCTGATCTCAAAAACCTTGGAGCACTCCAGTTTCTGTTGAAGCTCAATCAAACCTGCGGGGAAAGCTTCAAGCACTGTTTAGGTCAACTATTGAAAGAACAAGATAATAATGATGACATTGCCTGTGTCATCTACGACGAGTACATGTACTTCTCTCAAGCTGCAACTAAGGAATTTCAACTTTCCAGTATTGTTTTCAGTACTACAAGTGCTACTGCTTTTGTCTGTCGCTCTGTTTTGGCCAAAGTCAATGCAGAGGTGTTCTTGATCGACATTAAAGGTACACAAGATTCTTCTGCTTCTTAAATCATTTTCAAAAGACCATTTAGATAAAGTCAACCAAAATGCTTTTCGCTTTGTAGATCCTGAACTGCAAGACAAGGTGTTTCCAGGGTTGCATCCTCTAAGGTACAAAGACTTGCCAACTTCAGCATTCGGGCCATTGGAGAGTCTTCTCAAGCTCTACAGTGAGGTTGTAAACACTCGAACAGCTTCCGCTGTTATCGTCAATTCTGTGAGTTGTCTTGAGAGCTCGTCTTTGACATGGTTGCAGCGAGAACTACAAGTTCCAGTTTACCCTATAGGCCCACTTCACATTGCAGCTTCTGCGCCTTCTAGTTTACTTGAAGAAGACAGGAGCTGCATTGAGTGGTTGAACAAGCTGAAACCAAGCTCAGTAGTGTACATAAGTTTGGGAAGCTTAGCTCTAATGGAAACCAAAGACATGTTGGAGATGGCTTGGGGACTAAGTAATAGCAACCAACCTTTCTTGTGGGTGATCCGACCAGGATCTATTCCGGCCTCGGAATGGACAGAGTCCTTACCAGAGGAGTTCACTAAGTTGGTTTCAGAAAAAGGTTACATTGTGAAATGGGCTCCTCAGATGGAAGTTCTCAAGCATCCTGCAGTGGGAGGATTTTGGAGTCACTGTGGATGGAACTCGACGCTAGAGAGCATCGGAGAAGGAATTCCTATGATCTGTAGGCCTTTTACCGGTGATCAGAAAGTCAATGCAAGGTACTTAGAGAGTGTTTGGAGGATTGGATTTCAATTGGAAGGAGAGCTGGAGAAAGGAACTGTGGAGAGAGCTGTGAAGAGGTTGTTTGTAGATGAAGAAGGAGCAGAAATGAGGAAGAGAGCCATTGGTTTGAAAGAGAAGCTTGAAGCCTCTGTAAGAAGTGGAGGTTCCTCATTCAGGTCATTAGATGACTTTGTCAATTCCTTGAAAATGAAGAATTCCATGTAGTAAAGCTTATGTGGAATTCATGGATGTGAAAATGAAGGTTCATGAATGTGAGATTAGTTAAGCTTAGGTAGCTAATGTTAGGTGGTTGTCCTTTTTAATATTTATGGTCAAACAATTATAATATTAGGCTTGTGTGTGATCCAAAAGAAAATGACAGAAATCTACATGTCAAAATCAGATTCAAACTGCTTTTTTCCTGTGTAAATCCATCAATTGATCAATTGATATAATCAATTTTTTGCACGACCCCAACTCAAATCAATTCCAAATTGCTCATTAGTATTCTTCAAAATACGTTTTTTTCTGAAGAGCACTCAAAAATTTAAGATAGTTATCTTGAGTTTGTTTTTCCACAATGATCCGTTGAAATAACGCACATGTCATCTCGTTTGATCATGTAACTTTCTGGAGAATAAAAAAAAGAATTATAACAAACTAATTTTGTAATTAATAAGATACATATTTATAATTTCTTACTTTAAAAATGGAAACATAACAATTAATATAAATGAATTAAACCAAAGTATTATGGCACTTATGTTTGTATTTTATTTTTTTTAAACTAATATGAAAGCCATGATTAGAAACTAGAACTTGATAGAAAATATGAGAGGTTAGGGTTTATATATATAAGAGAAGATTAGTAGGGTTAAGGCTTTATAAATGTTTTTAAAGTGATTTTCTATTTTTTTTTCTAGCGTAATTTTTTTTTTATTTTTTTATCCAACTGCTATCGCCCGCAACCGCAAACGCTGGCAGAGAAGCAACTTTTAGATTTCAATGGTATAAAACGATACAGAACCGTTTGCAGCGATTTCTATGATTGTGATAAAATATCACTAACCGCTACCAACCGCAAATGCTGCGTTTACGGATGATAGCGGGTGAACCAATCAGCACCTTAGACTGGAAAAAAAAAAAACCATACTAGTATCTTCATTTTAATTAAGAAATCGTTTACAGTCTGAGCCCAGATATATTAAAGGCCCATAAGTTAGCTCGAGAAACTGACGACGTCGTTTCTACCTTTCAAATTGCGTCTGTTTCGTTCTCTGAAAAGGTAGTCCCTCCCATCATCAGTGACTCAGTGTGTTCGTCACTATCGTCTATCTTTTAAGCTTCTTCTCTCTGTGCGTGTTGGTCAATAACAGGTAACTTCGATGAGTTTGATCCTTCTCTCGATCTATAGTTATACGATGTGCGAATCAACCATTCGATGTTCTTGATGAATTTTTGCAATCCTTCCTTCCTCTAGCTGCGCTTGAAAATCGTGTTCCAGATTTTACATATCTAAATCATGTCTATCTAAATCGGTATCAGGTAGAAATCGGAAAGATTACATGCGTGTTTATTCATGAGTTTCGAATTCGTCTAGTTCCCGAAGTTTGATCACGAACTGGAGATGATCGATCTTCGTTTATGTTGAAATTTAGGGGTTTTTTATTTTCTGAGAAGCGAAATTGCTTTGTTTTGCAGGATACTGTAGAAATTATAGATTCTGTAGGTAGAAGAAGCTTCTGAACAAGATGGATCATCAAAATGGATACGGTGTTGAAGTTACTGGGTTATCTCCAGCTGTTACTGAGAAAGATCTCATCGACTTCTTCTCCTTCTCAGGAGCAATCGAACATATTGATATTGTCAAGTGAGTCTTAATTACTTCCACCAAATTTGATATTTCACATTTGCTTGTTTTTTTCTGGATTTTTGAAGATAAACTCTGTTATGTTGTTAACGAGATAAGGTCGGGTGAGCAAGCGTGCACTGCTTATGTGATGTTCAAGGATTCTTATTCCCAGGAAACTGCTGTTTTACTCAGTGTATGTGTTGTTTAGATTGGATTCACCTTTATTCTTTTTTTTTCGGATTCTCCTGAGAATCACTCACTTGTTTGGAATTCTCCATAATTTCAGGGCGCAACGATATTGGAGCAGCGCGTTTGTATAACACGTTGGGGACAGCATCACGAGGAGTTTGACTTCTGGAACGGGACTCATCGGGGTTTTGAAGATGAAACAAACTCACATGTACGAATCTCTTCTCTCGATTTTGATCTTTATGTCGAAGTTGGATGCTTGTTCTAATTTTCTTAGTTCTTTTGTTCTTCAATCATGTAGTCACATCCTCAACGAGGTGAGTTCAACGCTGGAGAAGCAGTGACGAAAGCTCAAGAAGTTGTAAAAACAATGCTAGCCACCGGGTACGTGCTAGGCAAAGACGCTCTAACAAAAGCTAAAGGCTTTGACGAATCCCACGGTGTATCAGCTGCAGCAGCGGCCAGAGTATCTCAACTAGACCAGAGGATTGGTCTCACTGACAAAATCTTTGCCGGCGTTGAAGCTGTTAGATTGACCGACCAAAAGTACCATGTTTCAGACAAAGCCAAATCAGCCGTCTCTGCCACAGGTAGAACCGCGGCCGCAGCTGCAACTAGTGTTGTCAATAGCAGTTACTTCTCCAACGGAGCTCTTTGGCTGTCTGGTGCGTTAGAGAGGGCGGCTAAAGCTGCTTCTGATCTTGGTAGCCGAGGAGGCTCAAGGCAGTGAATAGACCGATCAGAACCGTATTGTCTGTGATTGTTAATATATATGATGCAAAGTTGATCAGGAATAACTACTGGCTTGTGAAATAGGTTGTTATGAATTTTGTATCAAAATTTTATCCAAGCAAATACTATAAAGAAATGTTCACGAAACTAAATCATACATGCTATGGTGGTCTTTGTATCGCTTAATCAGCATCTAGTAGCATAATCTGTCTTCAAAATAACTTCAAATGTGATTTTGGTTTGGGAGGTCTTTTTCTCATTCTTGACTGAATTCAACCTTAAAATACATAATAAATATACTGATATATATATATATATATATATCATGTTAAACTAATTCAATAAAGTGCGTGTACTTGAAGGACGTGACAAAGAAAAAGGGAACTAATAATGAGTATCAATTTCAAAACTGTTTGGATCTACCAAAACACCTGATCACACCAATGCATTATCATAATTGCTTCATCATTTGTTTGCCTGCTCATTTTTGGCTCTCTTTATTCTATTAGCTAAATTTCTCTTTCTCTTCTCCGCTTGCTTGATGCGCTTTCTGTCTGCTGTCTTCTTCTCCTCCTCAGTGAGTTTGCTTCTTTGAGCGGCTGCAGAGATTTTACTTTGAAGGCTTTTGTCTTTCTTCTTCTTCCGGGTACGAGGGCCTGCAGAGATTTTACTTTGAAGGTTTTTACTTTTCTTCTTCTTCCGGGTGAACTCACTCTGAGGGTGTATCTTCAGCATCACATTCCCTTGGAATAATGGAACTTTTTTCGACACTTGTTCGTTCTGGAAGATAGTATTTGGACACAATGCTGCTTCTGAGTTGATGAACGTCTGATCGGGTTGGGAATTTATTGTTTGTAGCACAAGTCTGTGTGCTGCCTTCCCAAGCCTATCACCAGAAATGGATCCTTGTGGGTTATACCTGCAAACAATGGGGAAAGTCATCGAGACATTAACAACATCCATAAATAAAAGACCTTCCAAAGTTTGCAAATTACAACGATTTGTAATCTTCACCTCTTGATTTTTATTATCTTTGCAGGAGCTCGTCTTCTGTCACCATCTTCATGCCATAGATTAGCTCCACCTTTCAAATCCACTAGCTGTACAGTCTGAAAAGATGACAAATGAAGAACACTGTAATCACCAACCAGTAAAAATAAGTAGGCTATGTCTTTGGTTCTAGTAATACCCAGCAAAGCATCTTTCTTTAGTATTCACCACAACTTCAAAACCAAAATCCGAAGCCACAAAAATAATCTCAAGTTTACCTTTTTAGGGAGCACCACTCCTGGAGGTAGACGAGCGGCGTTGCTGCCTCTAACATCATCTGGAAGTTTATATATGGCACAACTGAAAAAATAACAATGTTAATTTGATAAAGCTCAAGGAGATGGCAAAAGAAAAAGAGTTTAAAAAGACCAAATTCTTGGTCATGGGCTCACATGACTTGATTGGCTAAAATATCTTCCATACCCTCGATTGGGGAACGGAAGCACGGAGGCTGACTATCTCCACCACATGAAGCTAAGTAACCATTCATACCTTCACTGCAATTATCACGAAATTTTCGTCAGTAATAATAATTTTCCAACTTGCCTTCCTCACTAAACTAAGCCTTTTTCTATTATACTTAAGGAACTACTATCGTTTCTATAACTAGACAAAGAAAATAAGAATCGACTATTCTCAAGATTCAGACACAAACCTTAGTCCAGGGTCAACTGTTTCCGTAATTGTTCCTCGTTCTTCAGTGCTCAATTTTATGGTACGGCTATTAAGAGAACGGATGAGCTCAGCAAGGGGATGAGGTGCAACTACAAAGAGCATGTCAGACAACACACTGTTTCTTCGAATTTCTTCGTTCTGGACAAAATAAGTGGAAGAAAAACAAAGTTACATGTGATTGTATAACTGTCTTCTACAGAAAAAAAAAAAAAAAAAACACTAAAGACGTTAACATCTAAAACCGAGAGAGGCTGTACCGTCAGTGAATGCTCCACTTGTGCGGCTGCTGCCAGAAGACGCCGTTCTTCAATAAAAGGCAGTTTTGCTATACCCTTTACAAGAAAAGATAGAAAAATATGAGACTGTAGAATTATTACATCTAAGCAAACCACCAATGCTGCCTTAATCAGCATGAAAAGAAGATCGAACCTGCCACGAATAGCGCTTTCCATTCATGTCAATCTCAAAATCTGCATATCACAAAAGTAAATGAGAGACATGGATTGCACAATACCACATTGAAAGAAACGAATCAGCAAAAACCTCATACCAGAAGGATAAAAGTCAGCTATAGGTGAATCTGGATCTGTCATCAATGTCCTAAAGCACTCTGGGAGAGCATGTGCACTGAGAACGGAATCCAGAGAACAAATCAGTGACAGCACAGAGAGATGATGAACACACTCAGAAATACAGATAGCATACCTTGCAGATGGAAGAACTGCCAGAAGCTGATTAAATGGTTTAAAAGGGGCACCTAGTTCGAACTTAATATCTAGCTTATCAAGGAACTTGAGATCAGATGCGAAAGGTGCATAATGATAGGGATAAAACCTGCAAAATAAACCCGCAATTAAAATGATATGGATAGAACCTGAAAATTTGATATACTGAACAGTCTACTTAAATGCGTAGAATGATGCGTAGATTAAATTAAGCATCACAATATGGTTTATCAAGCGTACTAATCATCATGCTTCAAAATATTACACGAAACGAACCACAAAGGAAGTAATCAAAAGTGAAAAGTATAACGTATATGTATGAGGATGACAGGAAACTGACCAATTCCAGGAACAAACACCATGATAATAATAGTGCATTATCCAACAAAGGCCTTCTGTATACTTTAAAACCTATCCAATAATAACAAAGCCATAAGTTGGTGCATTCTGAGTGACTTAAGCGTAATTTATATTCATCCAACTGAAATGCATGCATGGGAAACTCACAACATCTCTGCGTATTTGTTCCATTTCCTCTACAGACTTAGCTGTGAATTTCTCCTCATAGTATCTCTCCCTCCATCCTTGTACACCTAGCCTAACCTGAGCATACAGCAGCCATGTAAAATTGCCAGCGTGAATCATGAAGATTATGCATTCAGGCAATCGTTGATGGAATCCCAGATTTTGTTTCCATGCTTATTATGACAGCTGAAATAAATAAAAATGACCTTATCTTCTTCGCCTTTTCCTGTGCTGAACTCATCAAATTTCTCCCGCATCAGTTTCTTAAGCTTAAACTTCAAATCTTCGCTATTATCTAGTTCCTGAAAACCACCGCGTATATTAGTACACTTTAAACAAGAAAGCAAACCTCAGGTCCTTAAATAAAATCGCAGCAAAAAAACAGCAAAACTTGAAAGTTTCACCAACTTGAAATGGAGAAAGAGCAATAGTTTACACTTAACCAGCAAAGGTTAAAATTCAAAAAAAAAAAAAAAAAAAGAATTACAGGCCAACATGAGCCAAAAAGAGCTAGAAACTTAGCGGAAATTCCTCCTCAGATACAAGACGACTTACTTCTTCTTTAATGCTATTTTCTGTTTCAACTTTCACCACACCAATGCTATCATCCGAAGACAGACGCAAACATTTTCGTGGAGGTAAGGCATGCAATGAATCAGACTCTCCAACTAGATTCTCTAGTTGCACAACCTGGCCATCGTCATCTTTTCTGCTTGCTCGAGCTCTATCACGACTAAACCTTTCCGATTGCCTCTGTATCAGATATCACAACAATTGCACCATTGAAAACTAACCCATAGAAGTTTATCAGAAATTGTATATTTTCATGTTTTCTAAGCTTTCATTTTTCTTGTTACAAAGGGCTGGGAAAAAAAATCGGTTAGGTAGTGCAGAGAAATTATTAACCCATGCAGAAGAGAGGCTTACGGCCATCTTTCAGAAAAGAGAAGAAAAAAAAAATCAGATAAGCACCTCCTTTGTTTTAGTTGGGAGGGTAATGATATCTCTAATCGTGTAGCTTCCATCATAATACTAAATGAAACGAAAATACAGACAACTGAAGGTAACTAAATTATGAACGGATATTAACCTGATAAGTTTGTGCTCTCCTCTGAAATATATTATTTTCAAAGAGCCCAACGGCCTGGATAAAATGCTCCACATTTTTTAAGTTCAGCTGAAAGGTGGTAAAGAAATGTTAAAACGATAATCCAACAGCCGCGTCAAGTAAGATAAAGAATATTTAATCAATGCACCTTGCTTCCATTGCTTAAGTAACTTGCTATTGATCCAAATTCCTTCTTGTAGACAGACATCAGTAATTCTATAGCACCCTGCACGACAATAGTTTTTCAAACTTGTCAAGCTGTTCTAAGCGAACTCATAGACTTTCATTGACACCAAGCTAGATGCGCCAGTTTCATTGAAAGAACACAGATTATGAGTAAGTATGAACTAAGCTATCGAATACCAAAGCAATATATCAGCTAGCAATGACAATTTCTACAAAGTGATTTATGCCTCTGTCACGGAAAAATCTGATATAGGAACAGAGACAACTCCTTTATTTAAGAAATACAAATTTTCAGCAAATATCAGAGAATTGAAGAAAATACAAATGTCAGGACACACTGTTCCAGACATTTTGACAGCTGGGAGAAAGTTAAAGCAACAGAAAACTAAGACGGAACAAACCTCTCGGATCTCTAGCGTAGGCATATGTGGCAAGAAATCATTCCCAACAAAAAAACAGATGAAGATGAAATCATCGATTATCCGGTCCAAACATTTTTGCAATCGTGAGTTAGGTATCTGCATGTCGTACTCCAAATACTCTCGAAGTGTCCAGATATTGACGAACTGCCAAAAGATAATGGAACTTAATAATTATGTAAAGATATTAATGAGTCCTTTACATAGCATGCAATGTTGAAAACATAGTATTGCGGTGCATAACCCTGAAAAATACCTGGTATGGCTTCTTAGCCACGACATCTGTCTCAGTATTATCAAACATTTCTCCTGCCTTCCTCTTTACCTTGCCCTCACAATCTGCTGCTCGGTGCCCGATCTGGCCACACAAGAAGCATTTGTCTTGTTGTCCAGGAGTGAATACAACCTAGGTGAAGTCAGCACGGGGAAACACAGCTGAATTAAGAGAAGAATAAACAAAAATATCCACTACTAAGTCTTGATTGTGACTATTTGTTATGTTAATCACATGTCAAACCATATTGAAGAAGCACGTCTTCAGATTATAAACGAAATAGAGTGGTCACTGATCGACTAGAAATAAAACCCGTAAGGAGCAATGATACAAACCTCACGAAGGATCGATATATGAATTTCGTGGGTGGCCAAAGCCAGCATGATCAAATCTGCGTCCTGTTATCCAGAATTAAATAATAGAAAGCCATTATTGAGTAGTTCGATCAAGATCACAAACTCTTATTGCAACAAATCCTATTGTAAGACTAAACATGTAGGCATGTAAGAAACTAAGAAGTAAAAGGAGCTTATATACCAAACCATACAGACAATGACAGGTGTTTGGGTTGTAACCAGGATGGTTCTTTTGAAGACGTATGTACGACATGATCTTGTGTTCCCCCTCACCAGGAACATTAGCATCTGAGAGGATAACCTTCAAAATAAGAAAATCATGAGCAAAACCTGAAGTATGAATTAAACAGCAATAAGGAAAATTTCAGACCATAATTAGTACCTTAATCTTTTTCCACCCAGGATCAGAATTTAGTCTAACGTGAATGTAGTACTGCAACGCAATTGAGAGAGTAGACATGAAGTGTGTTCCAGGAGTTATAACATTAGAGTCAAAAACTTGGGAGTCCACTTTAGGAGGCAACCTCTTCCCTTCACTCGCAAACTCTTGCCGCAGCCGCTCTTCTTCAGCTGCCTAAAATAGCAGGTAACAAATTATAATTCCAACAAGGGCATTGGTACAACTATTCTAAGTTTGAGATGACAGGTAAACAACTAAGAGCGATATACTAACACCACCTATCAGAGAAAGAAGACGATTGATACAAACTTGAAAAGAACACAAAGTGAAATAATGTATAAAAAGAGATTGGTACACACTGCTTCTGCTGCATCCTTTGCAGCTCTAAACCGTCTGGATCTCTGTTGATTCATTTTCGCCCTTGGAGCAACACCGTCTAAAAAGTGGAAAAAAATTCACAATACAGATAAAATAAAAACCTCTAAGGACAAAAAAAAAACAAACAATGTAGCTGCATAGATAGAATAATACACTCACCAATAGCCAAGTATAACAGCTTCCGGGGTCGAACCATCACAAAAAGCCTATCTATGTAATCGAACATGCATTGAAACACCTCGGAAAACGTTGTCGGAGAAGGCTGAGAGAAGAAACCATTATAATCAATCAAATATACACACAACCGATGAATTTGAATTCGTATTTCGAGAAACAAGAGAAGCCAAAAAACAAAAAAAAGCGTACCCTGTCTTCGGGATGGAAGCATGGATGAATGATTCCGTTCATGTCGAGATACAAATTGTCATACTCGACGCCATTAGGATTAGGTTTGCTAGTATCGACCGAAACCGTGACGACGCCGCCGCCGCCGCCGATTTCAAGCGGCTCTTCTTCAATGACATCTTGCAAAATCAACGGATACCTCTCGATCAACCACCTGTAGAACGACGGTACTCCCATCGGAACCTTAACACCCTAGCTACAGGGACTTGAGCTGCGGCGGTAGTGTGAACGGCGACGGAACTTTTAAATAAATGGAGGAATAAATAAACCTATTTTGAGTCACACAAGGTCACGCAAATCACTCCTCCTCAATGACTGTTTGACAGTATTATCAGCTCCGGCACAGCAAAACCTCCCACCATAGCAGCTGAAACTAGAGGACAATCAACAGCTTCAAGAGTTCCCGAATTGGGCTTCTCAGCAATTTTGGCCCATTACAAGTGTTTCAATTTGGCCCATATTGTGTTTTCTGATTTAATTTTTCGAGTCAGGAAATTATGTATGAGTGTGTCTATTTGGATTTTGGATAAAGCTTCGGCCACGTGGCCTAATTATTGCCAAGTATCGAATCCAACAAAAAAATAAGAAAAACAAATCTCATCCCCTTTCGCCTCCAATCACTCCAAATCATATCTCATGGCTGCTTCTTCAATTCCGCCGTCAACCGCCGCGATCTCCGTCGTCCGTAAATCTCTCCTTCTCTCGACCACCTTCTCCTTCCCCGCTTCTTCGTTGCCACTTTCCACCAAATCACAAAGAAACATTCAGAGATTGCTCCAAGCTTCATCCGCCGCATCCGCCGCTCCTTCAGATTCTAAACCGGCGAAGAAAGAAACGATCTATTTCGACGGCGGAGCTCATTACGGAGATCTATTGGCCAATCTCGTCTTAGGTCTAACCATCTTGTGGCTCCCACTAACACTAGCCGCCGTGTCTCGAGCGTTTAACCTCCGTTACAGGTTCACAAACCTCCGCGTGACGGTGATATCGGGACTCACCGGAGAAGATCGGAGCGATTTCTCGTACAAGGTGGTTAAAGACGTCCAGGTTGTGCCTAGGTTCATCGGAGAATGGGGTGATATCATCATCACGTTGAAAGATGGAACGAAGGTGGATCTCAGGAGCGTTCCTAAGTTCAGAGAGATTGCTAAGTACTGCTTGTCAATGGCTGATCAACCTGCCGTTTTGAAAGAATCTGGCGCTAAAGGCTTTTGAATAAACTCTCAATTTCTCGATTCTGTGCAAACGATCAGTTTTTTTTTTTTTTGTATCAGTTGTGTGTTGTGAGTTTTTCAATAGTAATCTAAGCATTTCCATGTCGAAATTTGTTATTGAAAATTCATTCTGTATCTATCTTCTTCCATCCAGTCTCGGCTCTAACCCATGGCGGGAAGCACGACCGCTCTAGGTCCAATTGTTATGTTCTGGGTAGAGAGATGGGCCGATTATGGGCCTCAATAAGTGATGCACTACTATTAGTTAACCTGATATTATTGATACTTTTTCTGAAATCTCTATTTTCTCTCTTCTCTCGTCTCTTTTCTTCTCATCTCTAATCTTTAGTTAATGAAGTTTTTTAAATTGGACTAAGAATGATTCTTAAATGACCCTTCATAGCCACGAATTTGTGGTATTTTTGATTCAGGCGAAAGGAAATACTGTACTTGTAGTAGTTATAGAGAACAAAACTAGCAACATTCAATGTTACATACTGGTATATAGATAACATCTTGAGTTTAACGAATATTCTAAAAACAATTATTTAAGTAGTTCAAATTTATGATTGAACTGTCAAACACACACAACATAATATGGTGTAAGAAATCGAAAAATGTTACAAATTTGAAACATAGCCGTTATGAGAATACTGAATACGTATATGTCGACATTATACAATCATATATTCTTACAGAACATGAGAAATTGAGAATCCAGATGCCGTGTTTGACCATATTCTGTTAATTTTGACCAATTGTATATCTCCATTGGATTCCAATTTATTTTGTTAAAAAATATTACTAGTATATTATCGAGAGATAAATGGATTAAAATAGAGACTAGTGAGTTTTGTGACAGACAGGAGCAAGGAGCTAGTTGATGGTAAAAACTAAAAAGTAGAGAGGCCTTGAAGCTTTTACCTTCGCTTTGATGTCTGACACATTCTCATCAAATCTTAGGTAGTCTTCCACATTTCCCAATTTTGACCGTATCATTCTTCTGTTTTATTCATTGTTTATCCCATAATTTATTTATTAACTACATCAATTATGACATTATACACTGAGATTTTTTTATCACATTATACATTGAGATATTTAATGATGTGAGTGTCATCAATTACATACTCCGTACGTCGTTTGTTGATATTAGTCGGCTATCACCGTTGATTGTTGTGAAGTTCAGTGATAAGACAATTACCTTTTGCGTATATTTCATATATGTATATATATATATATATATGGAATGTAAGCGGGAATTGAGTAATTCATGTCTAATAATGGGATATAATTCAAAATTTCAAGCAACCCATTCCGAAATTTGAGAGATCTTTTCAATCAATCTTCATTCAAACAATGTGCAGAATTAATGCTTGAATCTTAGTAGACCCAAATTCGAATACGAGAATAAATAGACCAACAAAATTGTAAGAAGCTAGTTCGCAATGTGAGGTTATATAGAGAGTTTGCGGAATGTATATTGCACTATTGGACAAAATATATATATACATAGACTATATATAAAATAGATGGCTCTGTCTCAGCTTTCTACTTTCAATAAAGACGAATTTTGCAGCATTCAGATTCCTCTCTTTATCCCCAAGCTTTAAGTCACATTGTTTCAGATGCCCCATGCATGGGAACAATGTATACATACATGTACGTGCACATCTGTATTCTTCATATCTACACGTGTGAACTGTAGGCGTGTTACGTTGAATACACATACATCGTCTAAAATGCAAGCATGTATTCGTGACAAATCTAAAATAAAGTGTTATAAAGTGGGATCATATGGTAAATATTTGCTTTAATAAAATATCCACTGGTTTCTTCGGATGTTAACTTAAGTTTTAGATGATTTTACAATATACCATATAAGTGGTTAAACTTTATCCGAAAAAGGAAAGTGGTTAAATCTGAATTGGTCAGTCTTTTCTTTCTTTAAAAAAAAGGTGAACAGAAAATGGGCGGCGCATAGTAGAAATTTGGTTAAATCTCAGGCTAACAAGCATCCTTAAAGTGTGCAAGGATGTCTTGTTTTTTTTTTAATCTTTTTAATTTTCCCCGAATAAAAGCTTAAGCGGTTTATATATTACCGAATTCTAGAAGGAGAGTCTTCTATGTACATGCTGGCTCTTAGATAAGAAAAACATAATATAAATAATTGGCAGAGGCAATGAAAATAGCGTAATATCTGAAAAAGTACAGAGACCTTAGCAACATCCTAGGAAATCTGAGGATTAAGGCGCTATTAATCGTAGATTAAATTTAATTACGGAGGAGTAGGTAGTATTGAGATGGACATCGGATTCCTAGAAGTTTCTTCGTTGTAGCCTTGTATAGGCACTCGAAGAAAGTACTGTATTTTAAAAGAAGGGAGAAGAAGAATGGTTTTAGGGTTCTAGAAAAGCTGGTTTAATTTTCTGTAGCGAGGCCCCACACAATGGTAGGAATCCCAAGCAATTTATTTAAACCTTATTATTTCAACTATGGTTAATGGTAAATTAGTAGTACTTCTCAATTAACCCACCCCCGACCCAAATTTTGTCAATCGCTTTTTGTTTGCACACGTGTGGCGAATTTATACGATATTTTTATGGGTATAAAACTATAAATACAAGTCTAAATTAATGTTGGTAGATCAACGCATTAATAATATACAGTATTGAAGTTTCCCCGACATTTTTTTATTAATTCCATCGGATTTAGTATTAAGTTATGATGATATACGTCCTTTTAATGGTGTATACGACATAAAATTTGAAAGTCTTAACTTAAGCATCTAATAGAAGACTTTTTAAAAAGTTATTTTTTCCTGAACTTGATGTAAAGAATAACTGTTTAGGGTTTTGCCTTGTGAAATTTTGTTTTCAAGGAAAAGGTAAGGAGTTTGATTTTTGTTTTCCTTTCAGGAAGAAGTTTAATTTTGATTTTAAAATATAACCTATTCTCTTTAAAATTGAAGTCTTTTTTTATACATAAAAATTGAAGTCTTCTTTGTTAGAGAAAATGAGTTCTATACGATGTGGGGATGAGTAAAAGGCAACCTAATGATGATAATGGAGCTGCATGATACCCAATACCACGAGCACGGCCTAATTGTAGCTAGTACATAGATTTAAAAATATACTTGTTAGAGTAGGAATTGGTCAAAAGGTATACATTGTTACTAGAGGAATACGACCTAATTTTTGTTAACTAACCTTTTTAATAAGTAAGATTTCTGCACGAAAACATGACCGAAGTTCGAATTCATATATATAAGCAGAGTTGAACAAATTTCTTCGTAATTTCGAATATATTTCTACAGTTTAGATACATTCCGATGATAAAGTAACTGGAGTATTATCTAGTTTGACGTTCATGTTATGTGTTTTCAAACATATTTATATAGTGTAAATATAGTTTTCAAACATGCTGGCGCTGATAATTTTTATCATATATAAAAAATCTCGTACTCTTTTTTCTTGTTAAACAGAAATCTCTTTTTTTGTTCTTCTTCTTCTTCAAGTCCCTGTATAGTTGATATAGCCACCAAGCCCCGTGGAGGTTAGTGGTGGAATTTGGAGACCGTGCCCCCACTCGGCATGATGAGATCATAAAAAGAGAACCCCACGAACGTTTTCATCTCATTAGAAGTTTAGAACTATATAATCAATCTCTTTGGGAACTTGGGCCATTCCCTCCAACAACTAACACCATCAGTGCCCACTTTATACTTGGTTTAGTTTTGTTTCTAAGTTAGTTAATATATGGCGGATTAATATTTTAGTTGTGTTTTCAATCAGTCTTACAAAATTAGATGTATAAACTATAAGTATTTACGTAATATATAGGTATGACTATGATTCTGTGAGCTAGTAAGACGGTCTTGATGAGAACTTGATGGCTCCAAGAAAGAAATGCTTCATTTATGTAAAAGATTAAATTAAAAATATATATAGAAAAAGCTAATATATTAGCTACTAAAACTTGGGGAAAATGAGGTATTACTGCTCAATTCTTTTTCTTTTGATGCATGCTCAGTAGACTGTACATTATAGTGTTGCTTTTGATGGGGATAAGGATGGAACTCCTTAGAAAACAAAGCTAAACAAAATATGTGACCCTATTATGTATATAGTTTATTTTAATGCATGTATAGTTTGCAAATAATTTCTTAAGTGAATTACATTGTGCGGGTCTAGATAAATAAGGCGATATTGTCAGGGACTTGGTCAAAAACATTTGCTGCAAAGTCCGCATAAGGTTGGCCATAGCCTTGAAAACAAAAAAAAATCTGTCAATCAATCTCTTTCTATCTGGACCCCTTTCCATATTCTTATATATTATATACTTCAAACTTATCACAAATTCACGTAAATGTAAACCCACCATAATTTGGAATCAAATAATGTGTTTATAATATTTTAATTAATTACAATCTCTCTTAGTCATTTAATTGTATCATTGATGTGAGGCTCAGCTATTCATAGTTGTAAGGTTGTGGCTAGATGATGATTTGGTAAAGTTGCAATAGGTTGTAACACTGTGGAATATATATACTAGAGAGACCAGTATATAATAGGTGCTACAACAAATCATTAGGTGTTGATCCAATAAGACTGTAGATGTGATGGAAGATGTATGTTCACTCTCAATCACAGTAGATCCAGAAAAAGCCACACAAAATGGCATAAAGAGTTGAGAACGACCCATGTTGTGGAGGGAATACTTTTCTTTCTCCCCTTTTTAAAATCTAAATTTCGAACATATTTTAGACAGATCAAACCTTAATTTATTCACATGAGTACACTTATACATTACTAACGACATGATTAGCTTAACTCGACGTTTTTAAGTGTTTTTAAACCCGGAAAATCAAAAAGACACGTTTAATCCATGCAACTTGTTTGTTCGGATAGATGATCAATACGGTTTGTATCTTTTTAACGTTAAGTTCCTCTTGATATTTACGAATTCCATTATGTCAAACGTTGTCACATATCCTTTGATTTGATATAGAATATCCCATTACAATAAATAAATAAAATAAAAATCTGTGTATATCCGAGAGAATAAATGACCCGTTACATCTTAGAATCGAGACACACTCTAACAACAACAAAATCAACATCCAATTACATTCGTGTTTTCATCCAATGGCATTCATGTTTTTTTTTTAAAAAAAAATTATAATACAAAAAGGTAAATAGTAAAAGAAAATTAAAAAGGCACCGAATATTATAAAGACTTCAACTTTGTTGGATTAATATAAAAGAAAGAAAAAAGTGAATAATGGGGTTTGTAGTATAAAATGTGAAGTAGAAAGGAAGGCTTTTGCATAGGGTTCCATTATTTATCATAAACTTTAGTCCTTTTCTGGCTTCTTATAACTCCTATCGATCGGTTGTGTACTTGTGGGGCTTCCCATACCACCGACCCTTTTCTCTTCCATAACATATAGATATATACACACACCCTGGTTTATTTCTTCGCGACAAGTGTTTAGCTGGTTTTCTGTTTTCAAACTATTTTCTATAAACATTGGTAAAATAATTAGTTATATTAAGTACGCAACGTAAATTATGATATATCTAAGAATATAATAACAAATTATAGATCTTTCGTATTGTTTCTACAAGATACAGTATAATATTGTATCTCATATCCTGAGGAAAATTCTATATTCGTTGTTTAAATCGTTGATATCAATGTTTTGCTTGAGAATCTATACCCCTCATCTTCATAATTTTTGAAGATTTTACGCAACTAACTAGTTATATCCACCTATACGCTTAAGTGTATATGTATTATTTGATGGGTAAGACAGTGATGATGATTATGGTTTATGTATTGAGAAATGGTGGGTGATGTCATCTACATGAAGCCATTAACATATTAGTGGAGTGAACAGGATGAAGCAGAAAGACTAAAGTGAAGTGATTTTCAAGATGGATGACTTTCACAGCTGAAGTGTGTTTGCATTTGAGTTGAAGTAATTTAAGGATGTTGTCAATTATAAGAGAAATAACTAGTGATAAGGAAAATAAAATATAGAAAGTTCTCAAAGTAATATATGCATAACAACTCTTTTCACCCTTTAAAAAAAAACTACTGTAGCTATTCGAAAAAAGTCAAATTTACATACTGAAAAACAGACATCAAATTTAAAAACAATTTCATCGGAGGCCTTGCATATAATTAGTATCTCTCCATTTTTTGTGTGTGGTCAAAGTAGCATATCTCCATGACTTCTGGCACTGCAACTGAATTTGAATGTAATAATAGTATTAAATGACTAACAACACTTCTTTTAATCTGATAAAACAATTGCATTTAGATTTTGGTTTTGTTTTACACTACTAAAATTGCAACCTAAGAACTTTCCTTGATATGCACTGGTCAACTATATATCGAGAACAATGCTCATGTGCTTCTATCTTGGACAATGGACATAATTATTAGTAGTATGTGTCTCTATATGTATACATGATACATCATTCACACACAATCATCTTCTATAATTAATACATCTATCTAGTGAATATTGATTAAGAAAATTAGCTACTTAATATATATAAATAGGTCCCGTTGAGATAGTTACGTTAATTTCGTATACTGTTATTAATATTTATATTCTATAATCGTTGATATGTTTTACCTGGCCGGAGATCGAAGAATAATACAACGCGTACGTACGTTCGTACACATATGTAACAGACAAATATCTAAATATATTATAATTTATATATAATACTTTGTTGTTGCACATAAAAATATATAATACTTTGTTTTGACAGCATGTATTATGTATTATATATTCTTATGTATATGTTATTTACATGCACTAATTGTTGAAGTAAAATACAAAACAGAAACTGAGAAGAGAATTAAACTTGTACCCAAAACTACAGAGTTGAGAGAACCAATTAAAAGCGAATATAAATACACAAAGGGTGTGGACAAAAGAGAATTTGAGTAACAGTAAAAAAATATGCATTTTTCTTACAGCCACTGTTCAGAAAATGTGATATGTCAGAGGTGCTTCGCTGTCTAAACTCAAATCCAAGGCACCACGCGCCAATGTATCGCTTGAATCTCATGTTCCAATTAAAATTCGACAGTTCGTAACTCATAAACTATATCACTTTTATTTGTCAAAAATGAAGATTGAGAAGATATAAACTTCGTTAAAGCATTATTACATTTATGAAATTTGTGATGATCGAATTTCTTTTTGTAATACTCCTTACTGTTCAAATAGTGTAAAAACACGAAACATGTTCATTTCTGATTAATAAAATTAAAAATCGCATATCAGCTTAATATTTCAAAAGTGAGTACACTATTTTGTCGAAAGCGAAGATAAAATGATAAACTCAGGAGAGAATAATGACTTCAAAGAATAATCATTTCAATTATTATTTATTTATTTCAATTATACACACACACACTAAAGACTAAAGACTAAAGAGTAGCAAGTAGTTACCGAAATTAATTGCACTCGTCGTGACTGGTGGGAGCTTTCTATTTAGGTCTCAATTAAATTGAAACAGCTCATTGTACATGACTTTCTAAGTTTCTTCTATATGCATTGAGATTATTTAAAATTTGAAACTAGGAGAATCAAACCAAACGAATAATGGCCGTTGAGTCACGTAAGTTGTCATGTACCCTTCAGAACAAAAAACACCAATGAAGTGTTTTTTTTTTTTTGGTGCAAATGTGAAGACCAACCAATGAAGTGTTGCCAATCTCGATCACGATTTATTTATTTTTCAAAAAAATATTTCCTTTTTCCATGTTCTAATCTTTTTTACTCTCACCTTTGTTGTTCTTTTCATATATTAAGAAAATATAGAAAATACCAATTTTTGTGATATTATTCAGTTGACGGATTTCTTTTGTGAATTTTTTTTTCATCTAGTAGTTCTCATAAATAATCCTGATTTTCCTTTACTGAAATGTAAAAAGAAATAAATATTTTGATAAGAATAAAAATACCTGATGAAACTTACTAGAAAGCATTAAAGTAAAGCCGCTTTCAAAAATCTAAAATAATAATGCCATAAAATCGAACTTGAAACTAAAACGTTATCATCATATAATTTTGGGTTTTAAACATCTATGGAATCAAATCAGTGCATATTGAACCACATAACATAATACTACTATTTTATATATATTCATACTTCAAAGAAATACCGATGTAGGAAACCCATAAAAGTAATCATGTTCTCCACAAAAGTATAGACACTACTACCGTAATATAATGACAATTGTTTTTGTTTTGTTTTACAATATCTATCTATATTTTTAAAAAGTGCATACCAACAAATATAAATACATTTTTTTTTGTAAAAATAGTCTATAAAATAAGTAAAAAAAAAAAGGACAAAGAAACATAATTGGTGAAGAGAGGAGGCATTGATGGAGAACAAGGTCTCATGGGTTTCAGCGTTTATTTTTTCAAACTTCCCCTTCATACCCGCGCACTTACTCACCCATCCGTTGGCTTTCATTTTTTATTTTTCATTTTTATTGTTTTCTTTAAATATCTTAACATAAAGAGTTGTAAGAAAAATTAAAAATAGGTTTCATGTGGAGAGAGAAAATAAATTTAATCAGATTCAATTGAGAGAATGAGTTCTTTTTATTTACTTATTTTTCTCGCATTTTGAATATGATGAAACGAAACCCATGTGTTCATGAATCGTGAATGACATAAAAAGCAATTTTTTTGTCAATTCTTGTTTCTTTTCTTATATAAGAAGAACCCATTTTCCTTTTGCCGTAGCTCGATCTCTGTAAATTCGCATCAGAGGAATTTAGTCTGAGTGGAGAATAAATAAAGCAGATAAGTCGAGAGTTTTTGAGTGACGAAAATGAGTTCCTTTTCAGAGTTTGTCTTTCATTAGGTTTTTTTTTTTTTTTCCCGATTTTTCTTTTATTTCTTGGAAAAAGTTGAAGGAGTCTGTGTGTGATAGGAGGACTTGGATTTTTAAAAGGGCAACGGAGCGTCGTTGAAAAAACTAGATAATAAACAGAGAGAGAGAGAGAGAGAGAGAGAGAGAGAGAGAGAGAGAGAGAGAGAGAGAGAGAGAGAAGTGAAGAAGAAGAAAAATGGAAGTCACGAAGAAGAAAAAGAAGAAGAATATCAATAACGAAGATTCAAAGAAGAAGGAACGTCATATTGTTACTTGGACACCAGAGGTGTGATGAATACATATACATATGATTGTGTGTGTGTATCCTGAATCTTTTGTTGCTCTGTTTTGGTCCGATTCTAAAATGGGTTTCTTGAGTTGCAGGAGGATGTTATACTAAGAGAACAAATTACTCTTCATGGAACCGAAAAGTAAGAGCTTTTTTGTTTTTGTTTTTTTTTTTCATTTTCAGTCATCTGTTTTTTTCCTTTCAAAAAAAAAGTTTTGGTTTTTTAGAGGAGTGATTCTAAAAGATTGCTGGGTTGTTGGTTCCATTGTGTTTTGATGATATTAGTTGGGCGATCATCGCATCCAAGTTTAAGGATAAGAGCACAAGGCAATGCAGAAGAAGGTTGGTGAATCCGTTCAATTAAATTGATTAGCTAATATGTTTCCTGTAATCTAAATCTTTCTGGGTTTTGTTCAAAACAGAGTTTTTACATCTGGCTATGGATTTTTGTTTTGCAGATGGTATACATACTTAAACTCTGATTTCAAAAGAGGAGGTTGGTCCCCTGAAGAAGATATGCTTTTGTGTGAGGTGACTTCAATTACTGACTTCATTACATGGATAAGATTTGAGATATTATATTTGGGCTTTGTCTGATCATTTGTTAAGCGCTTGTATGTGATTTCTTAGGCACAAAGAGTATTTGGGAATAGATGGACTGAGATAGCAAAGGTGGTTTCAGGCAGGTAGAATCACAGTTCTAATGGTGGTTAAAGTCATCATTACCGGACCAGAGTGATTTATTAATGTTCTGTTCTTTGTGTGTTTGTAGAACGGATAATGCTGTCAAGAACAGGTTTACAACACTTTGTAAGAAGAGAGCCAAGCATGAAGCTATGGCTAAAGAGAACAACTCAAACAACAAAAGAATGTTGTTCTTAGACGGTATCACTACACCTCGAAAAGCCGAGAATGAAGCTCCTATTGCCAAGAAAATGAGGTAAATTTGTTTCTTATTGTATCAACAAACATACAAGTTTCCCAACTGTTTTTATAGATTCATGTTCTTGTGGGTTATGAATATACAGGAGAAGTCACATTCTAGATCTTACAGAGATCGGTAATTATGGAAAGGCTGAGACTTGTGTGAATCAGCTGACAAGATCTCCATTTTCGGTATTAGCGCGGGATGCCACGGATATTGATATCTCGGAGGAACAGAATCAAGCAATCAATGTGAAGGAGAGTGATGGTGAAGGGACGTTTCTGAAAAAGGATGATCCAAAAGTAACAGCTTTGATGCAACAAGCTGAACTTTTAAGCTCGTTGGCGCAGAAAGTAAATGCAGACAACACAGAACAAAGCATGGAGAACGCTTGGAAGGTAAAACAAAGAAACCATTTCTTCTCAGCTTAGAGAAAATGGCGAAAAGTGCCTGATAAGAGAACCTCTTGTTTATATATGCATATGTTCAGGTCCTTCAGGATTTCTTGAATAAGGGCAAGGAAAATGATTTATTCAGATATGGAATACCTGACATTGATTTTCAAATCGACGAATTTAAGGATCTTGTAGAGGATTTGAGGAGTAGTTATGAAGAGAATCAGCCATCTTGGAGGTGAAACTAGCTTTTAATCACCTGCATACTTTGTCTGTTGATATATAAATTTTGACTGTCTAATTCTTTCATTTGATGTCCTCCAGGCAACCTGATCTCCATGACTCACCAGCTAGCTCTGAGTATAGTTCAGGATCAACTATCATGGTGGATCAGTCTGGTGACAGAACACAGCCATCAGTGTCTGATACTCAGACAGAACATAAACAAGGTGAAGATGAGTTCCTCTCAACTTGCGATGTCTTGAAAAATCCTGATGAGAATATGCCCATCTCGGGAGAAGAAAAGTTCAGCTCGCCTATTCATGTCACACCATTGTTCAGATCTCTAGCAGATGGCATCCCAAGTCCACAATTCTCTGAAAGTGTAAGCTTCACACCATTGCTTCTTTGGCGTTAATCAAACATTGAGTCTTAAAGACTGATTGCTTTTTCAGGAGAGGAGCTTCCTGCTAAAAACACTCGGGATCGAGTCCTCATCTCCATGTCCAAGTGCTAATCCTTCACAACCGCCCCCTTGCAAAAGAGCCCTTCTCCATAGTTTGTAAAACCAACCAAACCAGCCATCTCTCTCATACCCTTATGAGCCCTAAACCGCGGTTTTGTCTCCATGGAGACGTAATTTTTTCCCAATTTTACTAGATTTCATTTTAGGTTTTGCAGCCATATCGGCCTGAAAGTTTTTATGAAGCGGGCATGCCATGATCTGCATTCCTTCCTCAAGGTTTTAAAATCTCTTTCTTGGTCCAAGAATGTTAATGGTAACATTTCTAGCACCATCAAAGAAAGCTCCCAAGAATCTGCCATATACTCAGATTCAAATTTTCTCTTTCTTTTCTTCTTACTAAACATAAGGAAGCCATCTACAAAGGAAGGCACCGGTGTGTCTTCAGAAAAATTCTTTGGTTTGTCTTTAAGAGTCATACTCAGATACATCATCTGAGCATTTCTCCCTGATTTCTTGATTTGTTTTCTTCATCTTTGTACATAATCTCTATCACATATATATAAAGAAGTCTTTCAGTGTGTAACTCTAGGGAAAAGAAACAACTCGGAAGAGGGAAGAGTTTTACCTGTTTGTCAGCTGCTCTTCTCTCACAGGTGTGAAAGAAGAAGACAAAAGAACTTAAAACTTGTTCCCTCCTAGGATTTTGTGTTGCAAAATGTGCTTGTAAAGACATATATGAGTGGAAATATGATTTGATTTTTGTTTTATATATTTAAGTTGTCTTCTAATGCATTCGGTTACATTTTGCTAATGTGACTAAGCTTTTCTTCCCTCTAGATATGGTGAAGTAAAAAAGTTGCCAAATCAAAAAAACAATTTTGTTTGAAGAATCAAAGCTTTTGATCTCCATTCTCAGCTTCAAGTCTTTTTCTTCTTCTGCATTCTCTGCAGCTTCCTCCATTTTAGGTAAATTTGGTAAGACAAACCACCAAACACCATCGACACACATCCCCATTGTTTGGATGACAGTGGATTCCCGCTCAGAACTGAGGATACCACGATGCTTACAAACTTCCGGGTTGTGGTTATCGTCGTGTTAGCTAGAGACCCGAATCTGCTAATTGTCAAGAAGATAAAGTTTTGGCCCACTGCACCGCATAGACAGTACATAAGAATGTCCCATGCTGCCTCAGGGTGTTGCTTGCAGAACTGTACAGCTTCAAATCCGCTCCCGTGTGGCAATCCAAACATGTAGACCATGTTGTATATGGTTCCCCATAAATTCATTCCCAGCATTATGTCCCATGCGTTAGTTTTTGGGTACCTGTATCCATGTATGGCGATAATTAAATTTTCAGTTGACATATGGGAGAGAGCTTGGCGTTCTAAATTGGAGTAAATTAGAATTATAAATTCATGTTCAAGAATCATACCTTGCGGTAATGGAATCCTGGGTAGCGTTTGTGAATCCGTCAAACGCGAGGTTCAAGAAGCAAAGTCCGTAACCAAGGGGTGCATTTGGATGTGCTAGCTTGCTGATTGTCTTCGAGCTTGTCTGAAACGATTCAAAGACAATTTACTACATTTCAGAGACAAATGTTCTGGTCAAAATTCCTGATCATAGATCTGCTTACCTTAAGAAGGGCAAACATGGACACTCCTCCCGCAACAAGAAAGGTGCAAAGATATTCAGGCAAAGTGTATCTTATGCCATAAACTAAGGAACCCATCAGCATAACTACAAGAAAGAAAAAAGCAAAGATAAGATATACATGGAAATCATATAATTCTAACAAGTTTGGGGAGCGATTATGATTTAAGAATAAATGGATTGACGCCTCTAAATAGACACCTCACCTGGAATCATTTTCGAAGATTTTGCCAGAACCTGCATAAAGCAAGTTCCCCATTAAATACCATTTCTTAAAAAAAAAAAACATATTCCGCTACATACTACCTCAAAGACGGTTAAAACTAGATCCGTTTAGCTGAATTATCAACCTAAAGCTGACTTTAAGTTACCTGAGCTGGGTAACTGATATACTTCAAAGCTTCAATGCCCATGGCAGGACCAATCGTATTAGTAATGCCAGCACTCCAGTATGTCCACCATGGTGCTCCACCACTACCTCCATTGGACCAGAGCTTAATCACTGCTCACAATCGAAACGGCAAAGATAAAGACTTTAGCTTCAATTATTCTTCGCTAACATCTAATGAATAAGCAAGGAAGAGTATTTCGAATGCTCACTTATATAAGACCAGACCAAGCAAACTAAATTCTGAGCCAAGTTCAGAAAGGCAAGATGCTCAAATCTCTTCCCATCTTCGCCAAATTTCTTCGTCGACCTAATTATAAACGGAAAGTTTGAGTCCTTTGGATAAAAAAGTTCCTAGCAGCTACATGTCTACACATTCCAATCACAGATTTGTGTTACAAATGCATCACAAACAGGGTTCCGAGTATAGCAACGATCTTGAGCGAACAGAATCGAGCAATGGCGAGGATAAAATCAACGAGCTAAATAAGATGATCGATTCGACTTAAGAATTTTACTTACAGGGTCTCCTGAAGAACGCCTTGGTAAATGTAAGCGGCCCAGATCCCGGCGACACAGAACGACAACAACAGAACTCGCCGGAGACCGGAACCGTGAGCTTCCATCGCCGCACGCCGCCTGATATTTTGTCCGGCAAAAGTTTCGAGTTTCAATTTACGTTATATTCACCTGATTTGCGATCAAATTATGAGAGCGATCTGAAGTGAAAGTTATCACAGTGTCGGAGGCGCGAGAAAGACGTAGATGTTCCACGTGTAGCTGTATTATTGGATAAATAATCTGACATGGCATTTCTCATTGGCCGTGAGACGTGGATTTATTTCTGAAATCCAAGTCACACACACTGGTATCCATGTCTGAGATAAAAGCTAGAGTTGCGTGACGTTTTCTTCAATGAAAACGGCAGGTAGTCTCCTCCATGGTCAAATTTAGTTCTTTTTACATCGTGGGCTTTTCGGCCCTTTAATTAACCGATCTGCACACACATTAAAAAGAGGTTTCTGCGTCAACCGATGATATAAATTGCGCTATATTGTAAAGTTTCATATTAATCATATTTTTGATATATAAGGTAGAATATGGAGAAAAACAAAAGAACATACACTAATATTTAAAATATATTTCACCCTTGCATGCGTGATACCGGATGTGAGAAAATACATCATAGATTAATAGAGATAACAAAAAAAAAAACTGTAATTAATTGCGGTTTATGTAGGAATTATTCCATCCCATCGGGTTAGGACGACGATACCCCATTCTATCTGGATTATCATATTCAAGGTATAGTTTGAAAATAGTTCAATGATGATTGATGAACTCGCATAAACCTAAGATCACGTGATGGTAAGAAATAAAAGAAAAGGCGTATACGAATGTTGATTTGCTTCGTAGCAAAGACGCCTAAATTAATTAATTATATTAAATGTTAGGTGAATAAACAATATGATAACATTTTAAAGCAATTGTGGATAATTGACATACTGAACAACAAGTTTAAAATATTGAATATGATCAAAGAAGCATAGTCTTGCACTCATGCATTGTTCATTCGAATTCGAGTAATTTTATCTTTATGTATACTCAGAATGCAACAACTATATTTAGAAGTCATGCAGAAGGAGAATAAAAAAGAATTTCTATAATAAAATCATCCTTTTGGGGATGCACTTTCTGGTTTGAATAGCCAAGAGAGTGAATATAACTCATTAACATGCTTTGTATACGATTACTCCTATTGAGCGAATAAGAGATTTCATGATTTTACTGGTACATGTCAGTATGTTACTTGGTCAGATAGTGTAACATATATACCAATTTATAATACTGTATTCGCGACTCGCGAGTGAGTAATAAGGTTACTTCTGTTCAGCGAATTCTGGAAAGATGCCATATTGGTTTTTTCGTCCACACGTGCCTAATGATATATGCAATATATATAAAGGGGAAACAAAAGTCTATAATAGTTTAATTACCGGTCAACAGCAATGTGAACAGATTGAGTAATTCCTTGGGTCAATGCATGGATGGGATCTAAGAAATTAATATATTTAAGAAATATACCCGAAAATTAGTATATTTAAGACGTTAACTATACGTTCTGTTAGTTCTATGACTACAAACGATTAATGTTTCTGTTAGTATATAGGTGGTTTGATGATGCAAATGCAATATAATAGTAAAGCATATAACACTTTGGAATTATGACAAGTTCAACGTTTTACTAATTCTACCAAAAATAATCTACTTATTTAAAAGTTGAATTTCATATATCCTGCGTTATACAGTTACAATATTTTCCATTATTCATTTTGTCAGCTAGAGAGGGAAAAACTCCACAGTATTGTTTTTTTTTTTCAGGCTTTCAGATTAGATTTTATCAAATATTAATGATAGATGTAATGCCGTTGATTTTTGGACCAAATTTCTAATGAACTTTTTGGATCTATAGCTAGAAGCCTAGAAATCAACTTTGTATATATAACCCTATAGAATGAATTTAAAAGTAGCTCTATAGAAAACACTGTAAACGAACAAGTTCAATGGAACCCTTTTAGTCCGATACTAAAATTTACATATAAAACTAGAAATCTCTCACAATGATCACTTTATTATTCTATCACGCAAAATTATTTAGCGCACCCATAGCCATCAAAGCTTTCTACCAAAAATAAATAAAAATAGCCATCAAAGTTTCAACGATATGTGCGATCCAGACCCACCACCTTTTTGTCCTTAAACAGAAAAAAATACCGTTCGTCAACGGAGACCATTTTTGATTGAAATGACACAAACATAAACATTAAATTCCGCTTTCTTCTATTTTTTTTTTTTGCGTCAACAAAATAAAAATAAAATTATTCCATACTTTAGTATTTCAGATTAATAAAAAGTATTCTACACAACAATAAGCTATATAAATATCAATTTAATTGTAGGTACGGTAGTACACGTTTGAACGAGTCAAATATAACGAGCCATCCAAAATCTTTCCTTAAAACTGTTTTTATTACTTTTTGAGAGGATAATTAGTGAAAGAAAGACAGAACTTAGAAAGCTCCAAATGTAAAGTGTACCAAGATACTCAGACAATGAGATGGGAACACGACTTTTTTGCCAACGACCTTCCTTCTTGTAATAATTATTTTTTTTTGGTCGTGTAATAATTAATCTAATATCAACTCGGTTACTGAAAAATATCATTGAGAAAAAAACCACTCAGATATATTGGCGTGAGCATGACGCAATCGGATCTAATTAAAAGTTAAAACGACTCTGGAATGAGGGACGTTTTTGTCATTTTAAAAAAGAACCTGACGTCAATCTGGACGAGAGCACACGACGACTTTCTTCTATTATTTTGTTTTGCTTCTGATCCTCTGTTCTTCACCTTCCTTGTTCCTTCCTCTCTCCTTCTTCTTCTTTATAATTTTTTTTTTTTTGTAATATTTCCATTCTATGAACTTCTCTATTCGGCTTAGTAGACATTGCGCCGCCGAAACTTTTTGTGCTACCCTCTTTGTGGCTCTGTTCTTGTCCTGATTTTCTGTTTCGTTGCTCAACAAGAACACCAGCTTTGTCTACTTGAGAATTTTCAAGCTGCTTTTAATTATCTAATTTCGTTTTTCTTTCTATCTGAAATGGGTAATTGCTTAGATTCATCAGCTAAAGTGGATAGTACTAGTACCAGCCATAGCCCACTTGCTAATTCTGGTAAGTAGTTCCTCTCAAGCCTTTCTTACTTAATTTGGATTCTATCTTTGAGTTCTTTGGAGATTTGTATTTATCATACAAATGGGCTATTCGAATGACTTTCTGAATCAGAGCTAAATCTTTGACACTAAGTACCAAATTGTGTCTGGATCATCGAAGATCAGACCTTTCGAAATGCTCTGTTATTACTTGTATTGATATTCTTAGCAAATTAATGAGATTTTCCTATGTTTGATCGATCATATTTATAGCTTCTTCGGCATCAAAAGTTTCGAGCAAGACAAGCCGTTCAACGGTTCCTTCAGGACTAAGCACAAACTCTCACAGCACAGGGAGCAGTTTAGGATCATTACCAACGCTTAGAACAGAAGGAGAGATACTCTCATCACCAAATCTAAAAGCCTTCTCTTTCAACGAGCTCAAGAACGCAACCAAGAACTTTCGTCCTGATACTCTACTAGGCGAAGGAGGTTTCGGTTGTGTATTCAAAGGATGGATTGATGAAACAACTCTTACTGCTTCAAGACCTGGTTCCGGAATCGTTGTTGCTGTTAAGAAGCTTAAACCTGAAGGTTTCCAAGGTCATAAAGAGTGGTTGGTAAGCCCTTTTTTGTTTGTTTGTCACGTAAACATTCACCGGTATAAGTTTCCTTCATATTGTTGACATTGAGATATTGTTTGTTTTTTCAGACTGAAGTAAACTATCTTGGTCAACTTAGTCACCCAAATCTTGTATTACTAGTTGGGTATTGCGCAGAAGGCGAAAACCGGCTTCTTGTGTATGAATTCATGCCTAAAGGAAGCTTGGAGAATCATCTTTTTAGACGTATGTTTTTCTGTAATTCGACAGATCTTGAGTTTGACGTTGAAGCATTGTGTTTGTTCTATATATATGCTCTTCATTTCTTTTCGGTATTTGATAATGGTCGTGTCAATGGTTTCTTGCAGGTGGTGCGCAGCCACTTACCTGGGCTATAAGGATGAAAGTGGCAGTAGGTGCAGCTAAAGGGCTTACTTTTCTTCATGAAGCCAAGTCACAAGTGATATACAGAGACTTCAAAGCTGCTAACATTCTACTCGACTCTGTAATAAACCGACCAGAAACTCTCTTCTAGCACTTTGGTGATTCGCTTGACTCTTAACCGTTTGAAATTGTGTCTTAATGCAGGATTTCAATGCTAAGCTTTCGGATTTTGGTTTGGCGAAAGCAGGTCCCACTGGAGATAATACACATGTGTCCACAAAAGTCATGGGTACTCAGGGATATGCAGCTCCTGAATATATAGCCACAGGTTTGTTCTGCCAATCTATATATGGTTTCAAACTAGTTTTATCAGTGTCTGTGTACAAAACACATCAAAAGGTTTCTCCAAGAATGTTTCAAAAGCTTTGACTTTTAAATCTTGAAAAGACTCTATTTTTATGTCCAAGAAGTCATCAAAAGCTTTGTCATTCAACCAAATTTCTTTGACACTTTGTGGTTTTGTTTCTTTAGACACTTTCTGAAAGCTCATCTTCATCTACTACAGGTAGATTGACGGCAAAGAGTGATGTGTACAGCTTCGGAGTGGTATTACTGGAACTAATATCAGGACGACGTGCCATGGACAATTCAAATGGGGGAGTCGAATATAGTCTTGTGGACTGGGCAAGACCTTACCTTGACGATAAGCGAAAGCTTTTTCGCATAATGGACACGAAACTAGGCGGCCAATATCCACAAAAGGGAGCTTACGCAGCTGCTAGTCTTGCGTTGCAGTGCTTAAACCCCGAGGCAAAGCTCAGGCCGAAAATGTCTGAGGTTTTAGTCACATTAGAACAGCTAGAATCCGCTGCTAAACCTGGAACCAAACACACTCCGACGGTATCTCCAAGAGCTCGTCATTCCTCTGCTGTGCAGAAATCTCCGGTAAGATATAGCCAAGATCGGCCTCTAATGCACTTAACCCCTCGCGCATCGCCTTTGCCTTCTTACAATCAATCTCCGCGTGTAAGATGATAAGTAAATAGCTCATACTCTGAGCTTGTATGTCTAATATATGTAAAAATGCAGGTTTTGGGATTCAGGTTAATCTATGTATAATTGGAGATGAGTGAAAAGAAATATATTATACAGAGAAAAACTATTTACTCAAACCGTTTTGTGTCGTCAAACATATGTCAGAGAAAATTAAAGCCACACATGAACATGAACTCTAACCAAACACTCTCTAAACTCACCAAACCAAACCAAAACGCAGAGAAAAAAACACACTATAAATAAGCTCGATTGTGTAAGATGATGAGACTACACTCTCTTTTGCCTGAACCTTCACCGTTTCCATTCGGTTCTGTTTGACTTATCTGAAACAATAAAAAAAAACAAAATGAGTTAAAAGGTTATTGATATGAGTAAAGCTTTTAGCTTTTAAGAGAATTTTGTGTAATTGTGAGTCTTGCTTACCACTTGTGTTCTTAGAAGAAGACAAAGATTTGTCGCCGTTCACAGATCCTTTGGCTGAGGCTAGGAGAAGCCTGTGAGCCCTTGGAGACATAGAAGTAGTGCTCAGCTTACCATTGGCTGGAGAAGGAAGAGAATGGCGCCGCGATGTCCCATTTTTCTCAGTTTTCTCTAGGGAAAATCTCGGAGAACTTTCCCCTTTAAGTCTGGCCTTTGCAGATGCGGTCGGGGCCATGTAGCTGGGGATTTTCCTCCCGCTATGCGTAATCCCGTCATCTTGATTGTCAATATTTGCAGGCCCTGGCACTCGTCTTTCATTTGGCTTTGTGTTTTCAGAACCAATACCACCGTTCTCAGAGCTTACCTTCACATCCGAGCATTTGAGGTCTTCTTCACCTTTATCACTGGTTTCTGCAGTTCTGGGTTCATCTTCCTCCGGTGAATTCTCTTCTTTTTCGACTTCAAAGTCTTTAGGAACTACATCTGTGGTGTCTTTCTCCTTTTCAGGAGACTCACAAGCGTATCCTCCTTGAAGAACATCTGAAACCTTCACTTCAGGCTCTATCTGCAAAGACTCTGCAGTATGTTTCTCCTTTTCAGCTGACTCAAAAGCGTCTCCTCCTTCAAGAACATCTGAAACTTTCACTTCAGGCTCTATCTGCACACAATCTGCAGTATTTTTGTCCTTTTCAGCTGACTCAACAGTGTCTCCTCCTTCAAGGACATCTGTAACCTTCACTTCAGGCTCTATCTGCACAGAATCTGCAGTATCTCTCTTATTCTCAGCAGATTTACGGGTGGCTTTTTCTGGCCCGTTTGAAAGAGAAGACCTTTTCTGACGAAGCCTAGGCTTCTCATCTTTAACCTCCAACGGAGATCCCTCCTTTGAGGCGCTTCTACTTTTTCTTGAACTGTACTTAGCTTTGTCACTCTCAGTTCTCAGGGGATCTTTACTAAGATTGGAAGCCTCTCTCACATTTCGTTTAGGTTTCTCCCTTTCAGCAGCAGAGCGGTTAGAGCCATTTCCACGTCCGGATTGTTTCTTGATACCTTGCATTGGCTTTGCCTTTTCTGATTCAACAACTGCTTCATAATTTCGCTTCTTTGTCTTAGATTTTGGAACCATAATGCTAGCTGCTCGTGAACCAGGAGACCAAACTTGCAATTGTTGCCAGCGTTCAAGCCAAATCTTGGCTGAGTTAGGATCCTCAGGACCATATTGTATGTTCAGAGGCAATGCAGTTGGTGATGAAGCCAGAAGCTGAAAGACGCCACAGAAACAAAGAGCCAACGTTGTGTTGCAGGCAGGATTGGTAAGTCCGAGTTTATCGAGCAAGAATTTATGGAAATTATCAAACAAAAGTGAAAAATACCTTATCAACGATGAAGAATTTTGTGGGATTATTCATCCAACTATACGTGCTCAATTGCAAAGCTTCCGAATCACCTGGTTCCTAAATAGAAGAAAGGAAATTACAGCTTGATTAAAAACAAGACATGCCTACAAATTCAGCCAACTATGTTATGTAACCAAGTAGTGGTAAAGAGATCCTACCATATGTGTTTTATGAAATTGAATCCCCTTATCTAAAGATCTAGCTTTCTGGCCACGAACAAGCGCCTGGAACTTCACAATTCCCCATATACATGAATACGTAGCAACGGCTTGTCTTCTGACCAGGTGACCACGGATAGCTGCCTGCAGCCTGATGATACCTTTAAGGGTTCGAAATGCTCTACGTGCCTTGAGTAGAAGAACCAAAACATCATCATTACCAGAATCACTATACAGTATATTTGTCTTAATTACGGCAAAGAAAAAGTACCTGATGAGCTCTGAAAGCAGTCTGGACCTTTATTACAGCGTGTTCAAGCTCAGCTTCTTCCAAGTCATTCGTTGACTCAAGATTAACCTTTGACTCATCGCCATTGTTTGGGGAAACCAAACTTAAATCAGTAGTAGTAGCTGAATCTGGCTGTGATGTAACCACTGGATTGTGATCAACCGATAAGTTTGAAAAATCATCCATCACCGATACCGCCAGGTCCTCTTTCTTAACAGATCTCTTTGTATGCATGAACAACATTATAGTTAGAAGTATCCACATTTTGTGCAAGGAAAGAAGTAGAAATCCCATAGTCTTACCAGTTTCTCGCTTCCGTTTGCCAAATTCAACTTTGGTGACTTCTTCCCGAGAAGTAAAGTCTTGATCCATTTACCAGGAGTCTTTCCCATTCTTAAGAGAGCAAGATGCGGCTGGATTGAATAAGTTGCTAAATATAGAAACATGCAGAAGAACAAGCCAAGTTTGTGAGTTCTAGAAGCAAAGAAACAAGCTAAGTCTAAATACAGCACCAATCAGCCAATGAACATGAAGAAGTTGGAGCTAAAACCTATTCAACATATGTATAAATTCCCATACCCTAACCAAAAACAAAAATCTGTAACAAAATCAAATATAAAGGAACACAGAGCAGCATAATCCATCATCGAAAGTCTTCATTTCAGTGCTAAGAGATAAAGTAGCATGAATCAACGGATATGGATAAAAACAAAAGTCACAGAAAAAAGGCATTAAAGAAAGTGAAGAAAAGCAGAGATCTTGAAGACAGCAGAGAAAAATCATGAAGATCGAGAAGACAAACAACACCCAGAGAGCAAAAACCCCAAGAAATTCGTTGCAGGGAGCTGGTAAATTTCCAGTTAAGCAGATACCAAAGCAAAATTCAATTCTTTTCGACAAAATCAGAGCTGACGAAACTGGTAAAACAATCAGAGATGGAAGATGATGAGGAAGAGCGAATAGCGAGATCTGGGTAGAAATCAAAAGCAGAAATTTTTAATCTAAAAATGGTTAAAAAGAAATTCAAAGGTCAGCCTCAAAGAAATGAATGTAGCTCTTAAACCATAAAACGATCAGTACCAAACCCACTCTGCTTGTTCTTCGAATGTTGTCCTTGAAAGTCCCAAACTAGATCAATGACCTAAGAGGCTAAAAGCATAGTAGGTCACAGTGAAAATTAGACTCCCCAACGGTTCCACTGATAGTGATAGCCAGAGAAGTAGAAGAAGAGAGAGAGATATTGAATTTAATTGCCCAAAATAAATAAATAAATTACCCTTTAATTAATTAAATAATGTAAGGAATAGACAAAAGATATTCGGCTTTACACGACGTCGTTGAGATGATGTGTTGGCAAAACTTGATATTAGGCCTTTCTTTTGGTTCATGATGTTGAATCATTGATGATAAGTGAAAACATTTGTAAGAAAAAGAAAAATATAAATCGAGAAATAAGGGTGTCATTATCCAAGTGGTTAGTCCGCTAAATCCAGACGTGTAAGTATTTCACATCAATTTCAAGTCGTGACCACTTCATAATGATGTAGCCTATTTTGGTAGTTCCTCCGTTCCATAAACGAATAAAAGAAATTGATTTAGTATCCTAAGAAATAAATTTATTATAGAAACTAAAGTTTAAAGTGTATAATAGTAGATATTAAATTCTTGATTTATGTAGAAAATATTTTATAAAAACTATTGTTGATGGATGCACTTATTTTAAATAAATTTATATGGCTATGAAAACAACAATAATAAGTTGCATGTTTTTATTTATAGAAACGATGAAAAATGTTATTGTGTAAATGCTAAATAAATAGTTATTTAGACTAATTACTTTTGTAATGTGTAAATGTGTAATGTATGATTTAGGAGAATGATTGTTAACATATCAAACTATGTGGACTCTGAAGATGGATATCTTTGGGCCTAAAATGAACTGGATTTATACTGGTTTTATAAGTTATCCCTTTGCAACCCCCACAAGCCCAACGAAAAAAATATTAATATTATTCAGTAACTTGGTTTGAAAATGGCTTTAAATAATACTAGAGCAGAGTGAAAAAACAAAAATGAGTTTGGTATATGATATTAATTGATACTTTTGGCTGTGTCGCTTATTACAGAGGCAGTTGCATGTGATGTGCTTACTCGTATTTGATGTCCCCTTCCTTTTCTTTTGTTAAACATAAAATACCAATCATGATTACTTATCAAGTTCTCAAGAAAACTTGGAAGATGTGACCCAAAAAAAAACTGATTTTGAGTTTCACCAGCAGCTTCTTTTTTAAAAAAATGTTTTAAGTGCTTTTGGTAAAATCTTGGATATCTTAAAAACTATTGATTTTTTCTTTTACATGGTGATGGTTCCCTTTTGTATAGCCAAACTTCTTTTATTATAGGCAACTCAAGCCACTTTAAAAACAACGAAAAAGAAGATAAATAATAATAATAATAATGTAGAAAGAATAAAAGAATTAAGAACAAAGGAGAAAGTAATGGACAGTTCATCAGGCTAAAGGAAAACAGCGGATGATTAGTTAGAATCTCAATACTTTTAAAACAAAACGACACATATTTCTTAATCTCACCGACGAATAATCAATAGTAGAGATGATTACAAAACATTATGGCCAAATTCATTGGTAGTATTATTAGTTTGATACTGATTGATGACCAGAAAAAAATAAATACGCAATTCATATTAATTGTTGGTTTTATTATATATAGATGATCATTGGTGTCTTTTTGATTTCAATAAAACATAAGGGGGTTAAAGTGAAATCTGAGGAAAGATATTGCAATTCACACTATTTATTGTTTTAACTTTTTAAATACAACGAAACGAACGGCGTTAGATTCCCCGTGATGGTGACTTTGGATGATCCAAAACGGCGTGATCTGATCTAACGTCGATCATTACGCGCGTTGACCAGAGGTAGCACGTGATCTCTTAAGTGGTCAACTGTTGGGGAAAAAAAAAACCGCGTTCCCTGGTTAACTTTTAAAGATTTACTACAAACTGGTCGCAATATTTCTCCATATATTAACACCATATGGTTTTGGATATTTTTATAAGTAATAAAATAAACCCAGTTTGGAGGAAACTGATTATGCTGCTTAGTGAACTTATCATTAGTTGTAAAGATGAAAGAATTGTCTTGGGGAAGAGATCTACGGATTTAAAGAAGTACAACTACAAACATTTATTCGTGCCAAACATGTTTGTATCCGGGTATATGTATTTATATGCATCTAGTATGTATCCAATAAATGCATGTTATATATAAAGACAGGTCTGACGATTGCAGTATATGTATATTTACTTGCTGACTACCGAGAAACTAGTTAATATCAAGTTGAATTAAATAAATTAGATGAAATCTAATTATGGAAATTTTGGATCGAAAGTAAACAATAGTCAGATATTTCATGTGGATTTTACGTATTATAAGGATCTAACTGGTTTTCTTTTCTAAAAAAACATGACTATCACTTCCTTCGAAGCAGTAAAACAGTCTGTCAATGTGCAACTGATGAACAATCAAACAAGAACAAAACTTTGAAAATTAAACAAAAATTGTATTTATTGTCTCCTTCCCAGCAGTACTTCTCTCCACTGAAACTGGGTTTTCTTTCTCTCTGTCCCAAAATATTGTTTAATTCTTTCTCTCTCTCTCTCTATCTCTTTATTTCAATTTCCCGAGAAAATCTGCCTTGCATCATAAATAATCTCAAGAATTTATGTACTAAAGCACCTCTCCTGCATTTACTATTATCAAACCACACTAATGTCAAAAACAATGACAGATTTCCTTCTGTTCCTCTAGCCACAAAACTTATCCTTACTCTGTAAATTTTCCGAGATAATGAAGAATTCCTCCAAAAGCCATGCCTTTTCCCTCACTTTCCTTCTCCTTCTTCTTCTGCTATCACTTTCAGAATCACAGCTAACATCAAGTGAATCAAGAACTCTATTAGAAATCCAGAAGCATTTACAATATCCACCGGTTCTTCGAACATGGACCAATTGGACCAATTTCTGCTACCTCCCTTCTTCTCCTTCCTTAAAAATCCTCTGTTTCAACGGTCACGTAACCGAATTAACCGTCACCGGGAACAGAACCGTTATGCTGCCCGGAAGATTTTCCAGCGACTCACTCTTCACTGTTCTTACAAAACTCTCAAACTTAAAGACCTTATCTCTTGTCTCTCTCGGCATCTCTGGCCCTCTCCCTTCAAAGATCGTCAGGTTATCTTCATCTCTCCAATCTCTGAACCTCAGTTCTAATTTCATCTCTGGGAAAATTCCCAAAGAGATCTCGTCGTTGAAGAACCTGAGAAGTCTTGTTCTAGCAAACAATCGCTTCAACGGAAGTGTTCCTGATCTCAGAGGATTGTCGAATCTTCAAGAGCTGAATTTAGGCGGTAATAAACTCGGTCCTGAAGTCGTTCCTTTACTCGCAAGTAACTTGATCACTGTTTCATTAAAGAACAACTCTTTTGGATCCAAGATTCCAGAACAGATCAAGAAGCTGAATAAGCTTCAAAGCTTGGATCTTTCTTCTAACAAGTTCATTGGGTCAGTCCCAAGATTCCTGTTTTCGCTTCCTGCGCTTCAGAATCTAAGTTTGGCACAAAACTTGTTGAGTGGATCACTTCCAAACTCATCGCTATGCAGCTCCAAAATTAGGATTTTAGATGTTTCCCGGAATCTTCTAACTGGAAAGCTTCCATCTTGCTTCTCTTCCAAGAATTTCCAGCATCAGACAGTGCTCTTCACATTCAATTGCTTGTCTATAAATGGCTCTCCTTATGCAAAGTATCAGCGTCCGGTTTCTTTCTGCGAGAACGAAGCAAAGCAAGCGGTCGCAGCTGTGAAGTCTGACACTAAGGATCACGAAGAGAAAGAAGAAGCTAAAGGAATCGAACTTGGCTTGGTGATTGGCATTATCATCGGTGTGGTCCTTGTTTCAGCGGTTTTGGCTGGCTTGGTTTTGGTTAGGATGAGAAAATCAAGATCAAAGGAAGAGCCTTTTGAAGCAAACAACGTCGACAAAATCTCTGTTTGCAGCACCAACACCAGGTCCACTACATCAAAGACAGTACCAGATCCAAGTAATAAAAAAGGCTATTACATAGAAATCTTGAATCATGTTTCCACCAACCATTAACCTAACTAGCTCAAGTAATTCAATTGTAGGACGCGTCCCACAAACCATGAGATCTGCAGTGATTGGACTATCACCCTACCGAGTTTTCTCTTTGGAGGAACTGGAAGAAGCAACCAGTAACTTTGACGCAGGGAGTCTCTGTGGAGAACAGGTAAGATAAAAAAGCAATCAAAACATGAGCATAACTTGACATGAGTCTCTGATTGATGGATATGTCTAATTTCAAAACTACAGCTGTACAAAGGTTGTCTTAGAGAAGGCATACCAGTGACAGTGAGGTGTATTAAGCTGAAACAGAAGAGTTCAACACAGAACTTGGCTCAACAAATGGAAGTTTTATCAAAGTTAAGGCATATGCATTTGGTCAGTGTTCTTGGACACTGCATTGTTACTTACCAAGATCATCATCCATATGCTGGAAACACCATTTTCATCGTCCAAGAATACATCTCCAACGGGTCTTTGAGGGACTACCTCACTGGTAATACTTGATAACAGATTTGGTTTCAAGAGAATTATTTTTTTCTTTTGGCTGGGAAACTAATTGTTTTGGCAGATTCGAGAAAGAAAGAGGTGCTGAAATGGCCTCAGAGAATGTCGATAGCGATTGGTGTCGCTCGAGGGATACAGTTTCTGCACACAGGAGTTGCACCAGGAATCTTTGGGAATAATTTGGAGATAGAGAATGTTCTGCTTGATGAAACACTCACTGTAAAACTCAGTGGTTATACTATTCCTTTACCATCCAAGGTATAAAATAACCAGAGATAACAAGACTTGGCTTCTTATTTCTAATTCAATCTCATCACATATATCATCTTTTCGGGGATTTTGCAGGTTGGAGCAGAAAGCCCTAGTAATGAAGATGGAGAGAAGGAAGATGTTTACCAGTTTGGAGTGATCCTACTTCAGATCATCACGGGCAAAGTAATGGCTGCTGCATCTTCAGAGTTGGGAAGCTTGAAGCTTCAGCTGGAGAATGGTTTGAGAGACGAACCATCAGTGTTGCGTAGCTTAGCAGATCCGAGTGTGAGAGGAACATATGCGTATGAGTCACTGAGGACCACAGTAGAGTTTGCAATTAACTGTCTTTGTGAAGATCAGAGGAAGCGGCCATCAATAGAGGATGTTGTATGGAATCTGCAGTACACAATTCAGGTGCAGCAAGGATGGACAAGCAGTGGAAACCTCGGGCTTGGTGGTGGTACATAGATGTAAAGAGGAATATGTCTTCATCATCCCTGATGGAAAGAGAGAAACAGCTCAATGACAAATTCAAAACCCATGTAAGAATATGATTTTAATCCTTGAGAAAGAAAGGCAGAGCTGCAAAAGCTATATAAGTGAGTTGACTCTTCAGAACTCAAAGTACTGAATTTGTAACAGCTCAAATATAAGAGTACATTATGTTGAAAAACAACTATAACGACTAGAACTCTTAAGTACTAATCTCATGTGAAGCCTCGCATTTTGGTTGAGACATTAGATTAGCTCGACAAAAAATACAGTGTAATTGTAAAGGGAATTGATGGGTGATATTTCATACCACAACTTTGATGATTTTAGTACAAAGTAGTTTTTTGGTTACCTAGCTAGAAAATCGTAATACATTACATATATACACAAAAGTGAATAATTCAGAAGGTTTGGTACAAAGTTGTTTTAAAGGATGTTAGGTTTCATAGAACCATCAAAGCATCCAATCACTTGAGAGTTTTGGAAAGATAAAAGACATGAATGAAAAGACAAGGAAGCTGTTGTGAATGGTGACGTCGAGAGTAGGAGGAGGAGAGAGTTTACAAAGCTTACAACTAACTACTACTAGTCAGCAGTCCAGCTTTGCTCGACAACATCACGCACTCTTCTGTTGTACTCACGCTTGCTTTCGCTGTACATCCGAGCGGCTTCCGAGTTTGCAGGAGAATTCGGATTAGGGTCACAGAGCAATGACTACGATAACAAAGGGGAAAACTAGATTAGAGAAGAAGAGAGTAATTTCAAGCTTAAAGCGCATTAAAAGAAGTTGGTAGGGCATTTCGATATTACCTGGATGGAGGTAAGTATAGCAGCAACATCATATATTGGACTCCACTGGTTTTGTAGAATGTCCAAGCAAATACTCCCATCTGCATAAACTGCAAAGCAGGTAGAGAAGAAGAAGAAGGTAAATTTGAGCCAAAGGGTAAACATCAACTAACTGGAAGAAAAAAGAGAATGCTGCATCTGAGAACTTACTATTTGGGTGGAACATACGTGACACAAAACGAACTGTTGGTGGTTTATTTGGATAATCTTCAGAGAACTGCAGCGAGAGTTTGAAAGTACCTGAAAGAAGGATCAAGCTAGATTAATAAGAAAGCTACTATAATCCCAAGAAGAGACGTGATCTTTGCCAAATCACAGCAACGTAACCTTACCTCCATCCCATGGCGTGTCATCAGGCCTGCAAATCCACAAAACAAGAGGGTCTAAGTAAGTTCAGAAAATAGCATGTTTGAGTAAGTAAAGCCAGTATCTAAGGTACTAGTTCCTTTACCCGAATATGACAGCATTCCATAGCATGATATTGTTGTCTTGCGGTGCACCGCTTATTCCCGCAGGCGGGTCTTGCTGCAACCTCTTGAAATCCCTCATCAACCTCTTCCTTGCTGGAGTCGACATCCTCCTATAGTCTATAAAATAAGAAAACCATATGATCATCATTCTGAGGTATGAAAACCGCTTACTTTTAACGGTTTGTGTATTCTAAATTGCTGATATGTGATAGATTCGAAGCTCCAGAGGAAGTAACGACCTCTGAGTCTATGATAGCTAGATAGCTTAAAAGCAACATCAAAACTAAGACTTTGACCTAAAAACAGCTCAAGGTCGCATCAATTCACCAGAATAGCTATAAGAATGACAAGAAGCAGCTCCTTTACTCTATGACCAAAAAAAGAAAAACCAAAATTTCATCATTCTGAGGTCTGAAAACCTCTGTTAGTCTAGGAATTTCTACTAGGTATGGTCAAATGAAGTGGTTTCCTAAGGCTTCAGTATGCTAAAACGTAATAGTTTCAAATCTGCCAAGGAAGTCTACGACCTATGCCAGCTAAATAGCTTGGAAGCAAACATCAATTGCAAATTATTGAAGAAGATACTTCTTTCCAAAACTAAGACTTGAACCTAGAAACAGCATAAAGTCGCATCAATTCACCAAAAATAGCTTAAAAACTTGATAAGAAACAGCTCAGATGAAAGTAAATCCACGGATCCAGCAAAGAAACATCCAAGAGACAAAAAAAAAGATCAGAAGAAAACGTACGTACCGTGGAAACAGATCTCGTTGTTGAGTAAAAGCCGGCGAGGAAAAAAGGAAGAGGCAAAGATCGCGGCGAGAAGAGTGTCGTCAAGCGAACATTTATGTCGCGGCGATGACCGCCGGTGATCAGAGAAGTTCCGATCGATTCGAGAATCAGGTCGGCGATTCTCGATTTGACCGTGCGATGAGTGAAAAATGAAAACTTCAATGATTCGGAAACAACGTATACGGTATATCGTAAGCAGTGACAGATCTTCTAGAAACTTTTGCCTCTCTGACATACATCTGTAAAGTTGGGTTTGCTTTGGCCTTTGGAGGAGCATAAACCGGAATAAACCGTTAGGGCGAACTATACCGTCAACCAGATTTAATCTAAAGTAAATGTATAAGAGATACTATTCAGACACTGTGTATATTTTAATATGACACACTTACCCTTGTATACCATCTCTCTAACTCTTTCGATTTCTGCTGCTTTCATCTTTTAATTTGTCTTTCATTTTCTCTTTTGTTTCCTATAAAAAACAGCTCTCTTTTTCTTCAATGTCACCGTAAAACAGTTCTCTTCTTCTTTAATGACACTGAAAATAATTTACAGTTTTGAAGGTTGCTGCTTCAAGCTCTAGTAAATTTCTATTTCTTTTAACTTTCTAGTCGAATTTTACAAACAATATGATGAAATTGCATTAGAGTATTCTCTGTTTCTTTATCTTTCTTTGTCTTTTAACTGGGTTTCTTCTGGTTTGATTTCGATTTTCAGAGGAGAACTAATCATAGTTGCTGATTTTATCTAATTCAGAGTTATTTTAGTTTCGTATCTTAGCTAAAATTATATATATGCTGATGTAAATTAGAAATTATGTTTTTTCTCTAAAATTCTGGATCAGAGATTGAGAAAGAGATTTTTGAAGGCGGAGATCTCGATGAACATTGAGAAAGAGATTGTTGAACATTGTTAATTATTTTTTTAGTGTAATACATAAGCTCTTAATATGTTAAATTTATTTGTATCGCTTTAAATAAATTATTATCGGACCTTCAAAATAATCTGGATAGCTGCTAATGTCTAATCTCTAAAACATAGATAGTTGTCAACAACATAGTTCTAGTTAAGAATTAATATATTCACAAAACATAACATGTTAGCGAATACAAATATTATGTTAGAGATGATAAATAAATTGTTAGCGGATAAAAATAAGATATTAGAAATGATAAATAAATTATTAGCGAATACAAATATAATGTTAGCAAGATAACATAATCTTTACTAATGTAAATTTATTGTTAGCAAGATAACATAATCTTTACCATACTAACAAAGTATATAGCATAATAACAAGTTATGTAATTGTATAACTTATATGCTAACAAAATAAAAATGATGAGAGAGAAACTTCATATGGAAAAAAATCATAATAAAAGAACGGAGGGTAAATGATAATAACACTCTAAATAGTGAATAGTAATTTGACAATAAACATTTCTTTTTTAGAAGATAAGAACTTATCATGCTAACAAAATATATAATTTGTTAACAAGTTATGTAACTAAATAACTTAAATTTAACTAGAATGAGAGAGAATAATATCTCGTAAAAAAATAATGTTTATAAATAATAAAAAAACAGTGGAGGACTATATGGTAATTGGCATACCGACCAACCACTGTAGATATAACATTATGTCTTATCATTCCTATTTAGCTAATTTTGACTAGTTTTTGGTATTTCTAGCTAATTGACTCTTTAATCTATGACTTAAACCCGAAGGTTAAAGTTTATTTTACTAACAAACTAAAAACACCAACTTGACCGATGTTGAAAAAGAAACTATTTCTTTCAATGTATTCCATATCAGATGGTGGGTCCCGTTTTTGTCGGTTTTTTTTTTTTTTGAACATGTCGGATTTTAGTTTTTCTTTTAACTTCTTTTATTAATTATAAGAAGCTAAAGTAATCAGTATTACATTTGTAATAGGAGACGGAACATAAAAATGGAAAACATAAGAACAATGAGCTGGAAGTGAAGATTTCCCTAGTAAATCTGCAGCTTTGTTGTTCTCTCTGTTCGACCATAGAAATTCAACATTCTCAAACTTCTTACTCCATTCCCAAATCTCACGAATCCAATTATGGCTGCCGAAGTTAAGCGATTCCTTGTTAATGAGACTTGTCAATTCTTGCAATCTCCTTCAAAAATGATTTGTTTATAGCCCTTTGACCAACAATTTTGCATAGTCATTAAAAGAGCTTGAGCTTCGCTCTCTAAAGGAGATTGTGCTGCTTTACTTTCCGCTTGTCCTGCTCCCAGAAATTTACCTTCATCATTACGTAAAATCCAGCCCGCCTTTGCATATCTGTTCTCTTTAATCCAATTACGTCGGATTTTAGTTAAAAGTCAAAAAGAAATAGAGAAATTTCCAATCTGATTGAAATTTTAGATTCAAGAAAGAGAAAAGGAAAGTGTTGTTATTTTTTCCTTTTCCTTACGAATTTTTTCCTATGTATTTGTATACATATGAGCCTTTGTATCTCTTCATCAGGACAAGAATGTCGAAAAAACATTGTTTAAGGATAGAATCCCTGCCACAAGAAGTCGTAGAGAGCATCCTGGAGAGGCTTCCGGTGAAATCTCTGCTGAGATTCAAAGCTGTATCGAGTCAATGGAAGTCAACGGTCGAATCACCATTCTTTCAAAAAAGGCAATCGATCCATCGTCAGCAATCTGGAGATCCAGACGTTCTCATGGTGCCCACAGATCCTGACGAGGTAAACTCTTTCAGAACACTTGTGTTGGGTTCATCATGTTCGGTCGAGATCCCTACTCCTAGGGAAAATACGGAATACTTTGTTTGCCAGAGTAGCTGTGACGGTCTCATTTGTCTGTACCATACCTACGTCGAATACAGACCCAATTTTGTGGTCACTCCCACCACAAGATGGAATCGGAGTCTTCCTCTGTGCCAATTACAACAACTCATTCCCGACTTAGGATTCAATTACTTCAAGCTTATGCCCAGTCCCTCTAAGCTTGCATTTGGTAAAGACAAATTCACGGGCACGTACAAGCCCGTCTGGCTCTACAACTCTTCAAAAATAGCCCAAGAAAACGCTACTAAATGCGAAGTTTTCGACTTTAGCACCAATGCTTGGAGGTATGTCACTCCTTCTGCTCCTTATCGTGTTGTTGGTTGCCCCTGTGATCCCGTGTACGTAGATGGGTCGCTCCATTGGTTCACGGACTGCAAAGATACCAAAGTTGTTTCTTTTGATCTTCACACTGAAGCTTTTCAAGTCCTCTCTGAAGCTCCCTTTGCCAATGCTCCGGTTAACGAGATCGTCATGTGCAATCTCCACAACCGCTTGTGCGTATCCCTGAAGAAGTACTCCAACCAAGTGATATGGTCATTTGATGCAGTCAATAAAACATGGGACCAAATGTGTACCATAGATTTGGATTTCATTTCTCGGCGGTTTGATATCCCAACACTTGTATGCGCTCTCTCTCCCCTGGCACTTTTGGATGGTGGGAAGAAGAAGAAGAAGAGGAAGAAGTTGCTGTTTTATGATTTTATATCACGCAAAGCACTGATGACATATGATCTTGAAACCAGATCATATGATACTGCTTTCTCTTCTAAATCCATCGGAGATCCGGTTTGTTATTTCCCGAGTTTGTTCTCTGTTTCTTAAGTTTGATTATTAATGTCAATGCATAATTTAATTCTTTGTTTGTTTGCTTGTCCAAGTTTGCAACTCTACAAGACAAGGTTATGGTCCAGAGTCTTGCTTGTTATGCTTCTAGTTAACGATGATGTCGCTTCTTCCTTGCTTCCCAATTAGAATGTGATTTGTGTAAGCGAGAGTGGGGTTTGTCTTCTTTTTTTTTGTTGTGTTGTAGACTTGTAGCTAAAAATTGATGACAAGAAGATACATTGAATTTAGTTTCCGGTTAAATATTCTTAGCTTTTTAGTCTATAATTGGTTGTATCATTTGTCCAATATACTAAGTGCTATTTCATCAAATTTGTCCCAAATTTGACTATTGTCAATGCATATTAAAACTTCACATTTCTTTTAGTTATTATTGTGACCTATAGATACAAAAGACTAATTGATTATAGCAGTTTGTAGCTCTATAACCACCACCAAGAACAAACAGGCTACTATTGGACAATATAATCAATTTGAGGCTTCTTCCGTCTCACTGTGACAAATGTTTGTTGAATTTTGTTTCTATGAATTCAGTCTCTTATGTACATGATGGTCTATTTTCACATCTAGTCTACAATCCAAGAAACGGAAGAACCTATATCATCAAAGCATAGGAAAACACTGCGACAAGCCACAAAACCCATTTAATATAACTAATTTAGAATTATATGGCATCCTCACCCGGAGCCGTGCTCACGTTATAATATAAGAAACATAGGCTAGAGTCTAAATTTTTTGAGAAAAACTTAGAAACCTTTTCTTTGCAAGATTTACATATAGATAATTTTTTAAGTTTTTAAAATTTTTTAATAGGTTCAATATTATTGGTTAGCATCTATTCAAGTGAAAATAAGAATAAAGAGAATCTCCTTAAAAGAAAAAGTAAATAAAACAAAATAAAAAGATACGTGTTCGTCCCTCGCCCCAAACAGTATCACCTGCTCTCTCATCAAATTCAAAACAAGGGTTTTAAAAAAGGTATTAATTCAGGATTTTATAGTCTATAGAATCTTAGAGGTGTTTGTGTTTGCATGAGCAAAAACAGAGTATATATTATTTTACCTCTTGGTGGTTGGTGAAATGACTATATGTCTATATGTATAGAACAGGTATGTAATACAAGAAGCCCTTGTTCTAAACCCAAAAGCCCAAAGGGTCGAATCAGCTGGTATCAAACAGAGTATAAACTCGGCCATATATGTATAACAAGAAGCCCTTGTTCTTGCCATCCAAGTAATTACAGTTGTAAGTTTGTAACAGACAGAATTTGAAGAGAAAAAATGCAAAAGTGATCTCCAAAGTACTTCACAAAGAAAAGCCCAAAGTATGTACCATGTTGTCGTGTAAGATGATCCTCTCACCTCATGTAAATTTTGGCATCAATTGTGGAAGTAGATCAGAAATTTCTTCAATATCACTAATGACTTCAAAGTCAGCAGATGACGAGACGAATGTTATAACCAACTTGGTAGAGTCCACCTAAACAAAACAAAACAAAAAACACATCTTAAAATACAGCCACGTCCCAGTCAGTAGAAGAGACGAATGTAATATATATGATTGTACCAGTTTGTGATAACTTTTAGCACAGAGAGGAGTATCGTAGTTTATGACGATGTTAATTCTCTTTCTCTTTATTCCCGGCATGTTGGTGGTGGTGACAATGATTCGTTTTTCGCCATCAGTGAAGCTTTGGCAATGGCTTAACTTCTCTTCTTCAGACATCGAATCAGCAATGCACATAGACAGGTACTTCAGTTTGATGAGAAACGCATTAAGGTATGTCTACTGCATTGCTGAGGCATTTCACAAAAATGAGCAATTGGTTGAAATCCAGTGCATCGAGCAGGTGTTCCAATTTTCATTACTTCTGGAAGTCCTAGAGAATTATGAAGTTCTGTAAAAAGAAGTTAGGTTACAGACTGATATATGGTTGTTAAAATATAAGAGTAAACTGTATGTAATGATGCAAGTAAAGTATCATCCAGATTTCATGTGGTGAATATCAAACGATACCAAGACATACCTGCACAAGCCCTGCATATTATGCCTCATCATTTAAACCATGTTCTAGTGGCTGAAAAGCATAAAACATAAAAGTATCATATACATGTGAAAAAAATAAGACAAAAAAAGTATATTATGTAATGCTAATCCAGATTTTATGTGGTGAATATCAAACGATACTGAAACATACTTTCACAAGCTGCATATTCTGCATCATCAGTTAAACTATGTTCTAGTAGCTGAAAAGCATGAAACATAAAAGTATCATATACATGAAAAAAATAAGACATAACAAGTATATTATGTAATGCTCATCCACATTTCATGTGGTGAATATCAAACAATACCGAGACATACCTGCACAAGTACTGCATTTTCTGCCTCATCATTTAAACCATGTTCTAGTGGCTGAAAAGCATAAAACATGAAAAAATAAGACATAACATGTATATTATATAATGCTCATCCAGATTTCATTTGGTGAATATCAAACAATACTGAGACATACCTGTACAAGCTTTCCATAATATGCCTCATCATTTAAACCATGTTCTAGTGACTGAAAATCATAAAACATAAAAGTATCATATACATGAAAAAAAAAGACATAACAATGTAATGCTCATCCCGATTTCATGTGGTGAATATCAAACAATACCGAGACATACCTGCACAAGCGCTGCATGTTCTGCCTCTTCATTTAAACCATATTCTAGAGGCAGTAATCCAAACTTTGTATACACAAACAAAAACAGGGCAGACCAGAAACTTTTAAAACATGGAGAATCCACACAAAAAATGTATACCGAAAATAAAATAATAGGACTGAAAAAAGGCAAAAAAGATAGCTAAAAATTTATAAGGACAGGAAACCAAGGAATGAAGGCGGAAGAGATTTGGAATTAATGAACGAATCTAACAAACTGGAAAGTTGAACACTTTTCAAAAAAGTGTTCGTCCAAATATATAACTTTAGGAAAATTCATCTACCAAAAACAAAATAAAAGAATACCTCGTGAAAAGTTGATTTATTATCTAATTAACTAATTATAGATAAAAATGAGTAAGAGTTTGTGTTCTAATAAGAGATAAAAAAAAAAAGAGATTGGAGAGATAAGCTCTTTTAGGGAGATACCACGCTTCAACATTCACGTAATACCAAAAAAAAAACAGAAAAATGTACTCCTCATTTAGGCATCAATGTGGTATACCTTTGCTAATGAAAGATGAAAACTACAAAGACCAAAAACCCAGCCTCTATATACTCGTTTGGAATAGTAAACAACGAACTTCCAAAACGGGTCCATATGAAACTAAAATGAAAGACGTTTTAATACATAATAACTTTGCAAGAAACGATGAAAGATTAAATCTGAAAATACACAGATATGGTAACACAACTTCTCAGGCCAAAGAAGAACAAAACTCTTAAACCATTTCTTGTTCTCACATGGAGTTGTCTTGGTATCTGAACTAGATACCAAAAAAAACAGCTTGAGACCATCCTAGAAGAGAAAAAGAAACATATATCGAATTTGGTTTTGTATCAAGAAATGTAAGAAAGTTGCCGTATTTTTGGCCTAAGAAACCGTAGGTTTCATGGACAAGCTTCGACAATTGCAAAATAGTTCCGCTAGCAACAAGTAACAAACCATCTTAAGCTCTCTTAATCAACAAACCATCAACAAACGACCATCACGAACAGACGGTGGGTCCCGTGTTTGATTATTGTCGATGCGTATTATCATAGATATCTAGCAGTTTGTAGCTTTATAACCACCACCAAGAACAAACACGCTACTATTATAGGGCTATATAATCAATTTGAAGCTTGTTTAGTCTCACTGTAATTATGTTTATCGAATTCTCTTTTTTATGAATTCAGTCTCTTATGTACATAATAGCATAATGGTCTAACTTTCACATATAATCTACAATCCAAAAAACGAAAGAACCTGTATCGTCAAAGCATTGGGAACACATTACTCGCACACACGACAAGCCACAAAACCATACAATCAATGTAGTTTTTTACTTGATGTGGGATTGGGAACATATGGTGGATTGCTACCATTGGTGATACATGATCCTTAAAACCAAATCTTCTGATATAACTTTCATAGGTAGATCCTATTATTTCCAGAGTTTATTCTCTAGTCAAGAAAATTGAGTGTTATCTTTATTTGAACATTGTAATTTCACAACTTCTAACTGTTGTTTGAGATGGTTTAATTCTACATATATCATTCATTAAATGGTTCTTAATTGATCTTGTCCAAGTTTTTGCAGTTTTAATTGTTTTAATTGTCATTATTATGGAGTACTAGTTGGTTTTAGAAAGATAGATTAACGTTGTTGATTAGGCTAATAATTATGTGTGTCATTATAATCTGAAAATTGATATATGTGATACAGTTAGATCAATAATACAACTTACTGGGAATAGTGATCATGAACAATAAAGAAAGACCTGAAGACCTAATGCATGAGACAAAACAAGAGATTTAGGGGAGTCTATTCAATCAAAGTATAGGGAGGAGACTGTAAACAGATTTAATCCGCAGAAAAAAAGAGGAACTTGAATCCTAATAAGAATAATAATCCGAAATTGCGCATTATGTATTCTTTGATTACAAACATAATTAAGAACAGCCTCTTTTGCTTTTCCTCTCCTCTCCTCTTCTCTCTCTATTTTTCTTGAACAACAAGCAAAAACAGAGCAAAAGAACAGAGCAAAAGCTTTGTTATGTGTGTTTGTTGGAAGGGGGCAAAATGGTAATTTCAATCAGCATGCTTTACCCGGTTTGCAGCCAAGTGCTCCTGCGTCCATGGTGAGTTTACGGACCATCGTTCCTGGTTTAGGTCGAATCGCAAACTTGTTAGGTAACGGGTTTTTCGGTTTAGGGCTCCACGCATTTGGTTTGCCTGATTGAACAAAATAAGCTCCATTGAGGAAGTAATCTCCTTCTGATTGCCAATTCCAAGATTTCCATTCAGTGAATGGTGTGTACTCTCTCTTTGTAATCTGTTTGGCTTGTTCGTTAGGAGGAGCAATGAAACGATTGCCTTGGCTAATGATTGTAGGGTTCATGTTTCCACCAATTGCATACATTTCCCAATGCGTATAGTCATTGTTCACCACATGGAACGTTCCGAATCTGCAACGAGGCATTCTCTGTTCCAGTCTCTTACCAAAGTGGTTAAACGCAACCGTTATCTGCATTTTCTTATCGATCACGTGTTCGTCCCTCGCCCCAAACAACATCACCTGCTCTCTCATAAAATTCAAAACAAGGGCTTTAAAAAGCAGAGGACTTGATTGTTACAAACGAAACTTCACATGATGTTTAGGGTTTGAATGAACAAAAACAGAGTATATTTTTACCTCTTGGTGGTCGGTGAAATGACTATTGGAAATGGTTACAGCAGTAGAGCCATCAATTGCATCGATCATACCATCTGCACATCTCGTCATCGAGACATGGTCGATCCAAACATTGGTTGCTCCAAACAAACTGATTCCATCACCATCGCTTTTTGTCCTGAGCCCTATATGGTGCTCAGAGTCTCTGATCAACCCACCGTTCCCAGGAACAATGTGCTTGATATATATATTGTGTATGATCACGTTATTCACAAACTGCAACGTTAGTCCAGCACCTTCCATGATGTAAACCCTAGCTCCTCGTCCATCGATCGTTTTGTCGCTCGTTATCATCAGTTCTTGTTGCAGTTTAATGATCATGCTTTTGGCGAATATGATCCAAAGCGGTCCATCTCTGGTCACCGCGTGCCTTAACGTTCCTGGTTTAGGGTTGGCAAGATCGTTGTCTGAAGCATCGTTGACTACGTAGAACGGTCCGTTTTTTCCTCCGGTGGTTCTCCGGCCGAATCCGAGCACACAATCCGCTAGTGTCTTCCGGTTTTTCTCCCAATCACGGTCGCATCGCCAACATTTGTCTATCGGGTTATAAGCTACGCATTTTCCACTGCTTTTTTGCGTTTTCCTACCACTTTTCACCTGCGAAAGCTCTCTCCTTGTGCTGTTCATTGCTTCCGTGGCGTCCACTGCTCTGTTAAGAAGAATTGGATTTGTTTTATTAGGTTGCTTGTTTAAGAAGTTATGTTAATATTTGACCTAACAAAGACAAAAACTCACAGAGCGACATGGTGATTTAAGTGATTGGTGACGTTTAGCGGATTAGGATCGTAAGAGTCCATGGTTTGTTTCAATGCATCGCTTTGACGCTGCGTCCAGTAGTTGTCGAAGACAGCAACATTGGCTCGACCCTGTGGAGCGAATGTGGCTAATAACGACAAGGAGAAGACGAAAACGTAGCAGCCAGTATTCAAAAATGCTGCTGCCATTTGCAAATGCGGCGATCAAAGCCGCTGAAATTTATTTTTCCGGCAAAACCTTGAGCGGAGGTTGTTGTTCTCAGATCGGTAAAACCTTGAATCACTTAATTCTTTAATAAAAAGGAAATGGAGAGAGAGGGAGATAAAAAGGGTCAATGGAGGATTAAGAATTAACCGAGATTAGGCAGCCATTGGTTAGTCTCTTGGGTTATATCTCCTTAAACCCAATTTTAGGTTTCAGATGCCTTTGTTTGTCCTTCTATTGTGGGATATTTCAGTAAGCACCTTTAAAACTTTAGGTAAGCTATTTTTGGTTTTTACTAACTAGACATTACAAAGGTTTACATAATTTCTCAAAATAACTATTCAAGGTTCCAAACTAGTGAAAATAATAATCGAAAGATCACAATATGTTTTTTTGTGTGGGGTGTTCAATATGTGTTCAATATGTGTTCAGTCATATGTTTTTTTTTCACAGAACAAAAAAAGAAGTAAAATTGCAGTCAGTGTTTTTTTTTTCCATAATTTGATAGTTTTAAAGAAGATATTTAATTTTAGATTGCTTGTATACAGAAAAAATATATGAGTCAGTGCATTCGTGAAGTCTCAAGTATTATCATTTGCATTTGTTTCACTGAACCACATCTCAATTTACTGTGATATATTTTACTTTCAGCTATTGGAAGTTCCTGATGATCAATCTGCGTCTGAGTTTGAAGGGAAGTCTAGTTGTATTTCATTATTCTTTTTGTGTTTCTTGTGGTGCTTTAGTGAAGTCTCAAGTTATTATCATTTGCCTTGGAGTGTTTTTTTTTAATGTTCAATATGTGTTCAGTTATATGTTTTCTTTAACAGAAAAAAAAGAAGAAAAATTGCAGTCAGTGTTTTTCTTCCAGAATTTGATAGTTTTAAAGAAGATTTAATTTTAGCTTGCTTGTATACAAAACAAAATATAAATAACTTGAATTTGTATTCAGTTGATCAAATCGAATCAGAGCTCAGAATAAATTGGTTTATATGGATTTCACACTCTTACTAAAAGTAAAATTCTCTATGTCAGTAGTTCATGTTAAAAAAGATAATCATGTGATTTGATGGGATTATCATCAGTGGTAAATTATATGCTCAAGCCTTTGAAGATTCAACTCTGCCTCATCATCAACATAAATTTTTATCATTTTTTCCTCGAATGAAGCAAATAAGATGGAAGAAAATCTGTTAGGTATTTCTAATCATTAGTTAATTCTATACATTCTTTATATGGACAAAAATAAACCATTTTTCTTCAAATTTGGATAAGGATAAAAATATTTAACGATTGTTGTAAATCTCACATTTAAATAGAATTGATGACATGTCCTTTAAATTTTATTATATTTTGTTCTACTTTTGTACATTTTGAGGAAGATTGATTATAACACTTTTTAATCACTTTTCCAATTAATTAATCATACTAGTAATCATTGAGATATTGATTAACTTTTGATCAACATCCCACAAAATTTAATAATCAGAACTCAAATTACACAAATATTGATGATTGTTTAAAGAAAAAACCAATGGGCTCTATTTGATGTAGACAACTTTCTTTCAGCTGTGCTATACTTCCAATCAAGACTGAGCGAAAGTGAAAAAAAAAAGTGATCATCATTGTGCGAGTTACCAAATTCGACAATGGTTGATTTTATTACTAAGGAAGCATCTTGTAAACCGGTACTAATTTATCATTGTTGTTTAAACCAAAAAGTTAATTCATGTAAAATTAACAAATTACTCATTCATTGATCTTAGTGTGTTGATAACTAAACACATGCTATGGGTTTGTGCTCATGGATGAGAATTCACAAAGACCTTTTCACAGATTATGATAAAAAGTGTCTATGGAAAGCACTATACAAGGTATGTGTTTGTGTGATTTTCTTTTTATTTATATTTTTGAGTTATGATCATCTAATATATTTTGACATCTTCATACTCCATTTAAAATTAAATTTTGTATGACCTAACCACACAAACTTTTGAAATTATGAATTCATATGACCATCAACATTTCAACTTTTCTTTGATACCATGTCAGAATTGCATACGGAAAACTTTCTGTTCCTTTCATTATTCACAAGTTACATATATATATAGTATTGGACGAGATAGAATACTTTTATATTGTATTTAATGGATTTGCTAATATCTCATCGTGTTCATCGTGTTCATAGCACGAAATTTTCATTGTGTACATAAAACAAAAAATCTAAAACCTCTTTATCGAATCAACCTGACCTAAGTTACTAATTACAAATCCTCACATCGACAAACTCAGAGATATATATTATATATAACCCAAAACAAGTAGCTCTACATTCTAAATAAAAAAAATATCAATAACCAGGCCTACTTTTTATCGACTAATTCGGCCTGTTTATTCTAGAACTATGCATGTTTTTTGGTGGTAAAAAACTATGATATTTAAGGTTTAAAATACAGTAATACACTATTAAAGCTTATATAATAAGATTTCTCTAAGCAAATCCAGGTCAATGGTCACTAAATCTAATTTCAAGAAAAGTCATGTTCATTCAAAAAGCCCCACACATAAGGAGATGAAGAAGGGAATCGAAGAGAAGACGATGACCTTACCTTTCTACAAACTATTTTCTTTCTCAGATTCTTACCGATGTGTTGTTGACGATCGTTGGTTCGATCAGTGCTATTAGAAACGGTCTTGGTATTCCATTAATGACATTATTTTTTCGGTGATCACATTGATTTGGTTTGTCAAAACCTGAATATTAGAGGCATTGTTGAGATAGTCTCCAAGCTTAGATTATAACTAAAAAATGAACAATCTTTTTTTTTTTTTTGTTAACTAAAAAAGAAACAATCTTTCAAGTTTATTTTTTTATTTGTTATGTTTACTATATTGTGTTTGCAGGTTTTTCTTCGTTTAGGTTTGTTTGAAATTTGTCTACCTTGGACTTGGGATATAGCAGCCTTTCTTTCTTCGCAAGTAATACTATAGCATTGTTTTTCGTGGTTTTACATTTTCGATGTAAATTTTGACATAACTGTATTATGGCGGGACTCTCTGTTCCCCCCAACAGAAAACAGAACAAAAAAATGCAAAGTGGATCTCCGAAATAGTTTTTTTTTCTTTGGTGATAAATTCTTTCTTTTTAAGAGCTCAGGCATACGGATCCGAAATAGTTCACACAGCAAGTTGATGAAATGCCAGATTCTTACCTCTGTGAAGATGGTCCGTGATCAATAATACAGATCCAAATTCACCAACTTATTTGCACATCTCATAAGCAATAAATCATTCTTGACCCTTATGATATAAATCATTATGTACGTAGCACAGTGAGTCTGTGATTATACATTTCACCAGCTAAAAGAAAACACCATAAATGTTTCTTCTCCTACCTATTTGCAAGAAAGACAATAATTACCCAAAGAAGCTTCAACTGTCCCGGAGAAAGAAGACTCAGAGCTGAAAAAAAAAGAAGAAAACGAATATGAAAGAAGAAAGATTCAAGAAGAACCTATACGCACTCGTTTTATCTTTCTTCTCCTTCTTCCTCTGTTCCACTTCGGATTTGCTCCTCCCACGTTCACCGTTAGCGATTCTCGCCGGCGGGAGGTGGGATCTCCTGCAGCCGAGTGTAGGCATATCGGCGATGCACATGCAACTCCTCCACAACAACAAAGTCGTCATCTTTGACCGTACGGACTATGGCCCTTCGAATCTCCCTCTCCCTCCTCAAATGTGCCGAAACGCCACCGTTTTCGACTGCTCTGCTCATTCCCTCCTATACGACGTCGCTTCGAACACCTTTCGCGCGCTCACTCTCCGTTACGACACGTGGTGCTCCTCCGGCTCCTTAAACGCCTCAGGCTCTTTGATCCAGACCGGCGGTTACGGCGTCGGCGAACGAGCTGTACGTGTATTCACACCTTGCGACGGCGTCGGTGGAAGCGTGTCTTGTGACTGGGTTGAGAACAGAGCGTATCTTTCCTCTCGCCGGTGGTATTCCACCAATCAGATTCTTCCCGACGGCCGGATTATCATCGTCGGCGGAAGAAGAGCCTTCTCCTACGAATTTTACCCCAAGAATCCAGGAAAATCCGTTTTCTATCTCAGGTTCTTGGCGGAAACGAGAGACCCGAAGGAGGAAAACAATCTTTATCCGTTTCTTCATCTTCTCCCCGACGGGAATCTCTTCATCTTCGCCAATCGAAGATCGATTTTGTTCGATTTCGTCAATCACCGAATCGTCAAAGAGTTTCCGGTGATTCCCGGCGGCGATAAACGGAATTACCCCAGCACTGGCTCCTCCGTGCTCCTCCCTCTCTTTCTCACCGGAGAAAATAACCGATCGAAGATAGCGGCGGAAGTTATGGTCTGCGGCGGTGCTCCGCCGGGAGCTTTCTTAAAAGCGGCGAGGACGATCCCTAAAATCTTCGTCGGGTCGTCTCGCACGTGCGGGAGATTGAAAGTGACCGACCGGAATCCGCAATGGGTCATGGAGCAGATGCCGTCGCCACGTGTAATGCCTGATATGCTGCTATTACCAAACGGTAACGTTTTGATCATCAACGGTGCGGCTAATGGAACCGCTGGTTGGGAAGACGCCACAAACGCTGTTCTCAACCCGATTCTATACTTACCCGACGAGCCTGACCCGACCCGGAGATTCGAAATCCTCGCCCCAACTCGAATCCCTAGAATGTACCACTCGGCGTCTCTTCTTCTTCCCGACGGGAGAGTCTTAGTCGGAGGAAGCAATCCTCACCGGAATTACAATTTCACGGCGAGACCGTACCCGACGGAGCTCAGTCTCGAGGCCTATCTCCCGCGTTACCTCGATCCGCAGAACGCGGGCGTGAGGCCGACGATTCTCACGGTGGAGCTGGCCGGAAACATGCTTTATGGGAAGGCGTTTTCCGTTACGTTCGTGATTCCGGCGTTCGGTATGTTCAACGGAGAAGTCTCGGTGCGGCTCGTGGCTCCGTCGTTCAGCACGCACTCGACGGCGATGAACCAGAGATTGCTGGTCCTGCGCGTGAGGCGCGTGGCTCAGTTATCTGTTTTCGCGTACAAAGCTGATGTGGATGGGCCCACTAACTCCTACGTGGCACCACCTGGGTATTATATGATGTTCGTGGTCCACCGTGGAATTCCGAGTGTGGGTATTTGGGTTAGACTTTGAAACTTAATAGTTTTTGGATATTTTTTTGAAGAATGTTGTAAAACATTTTGTTTTGGTGAAAGTAAGAGAATAATGGAAACTAAGAGATTTTGTTAGGAGTAAAACAGAAATAGATATTAGTAGAAGATTATGATATTCATAAATTAAAAAGAGTAAAGGAAAGAGAAGTGGTTGAAATTAGAATCGGACTTACAGTTTTTCCTTTTGCTTATCATCTGAAAATACTGATATTTCATCAATGGTGAGATCGCAATTTAAAACAACACAAAAGTCGAAGAAACATTGTTTCAGCATGCATGGAATGGATATATATCTCATTCGTAGTGGAGCAGATTCTCGAGAAAATTAAAGTCATTGTATCGACGCAATGGAAACCACAATTGAATCCCGACACTTTCAAGAAAGACAATCGATGTTATTGTCAGAGTTCAAGAGGTCCTAATATCCTCCACCTAGGCATCGACAACTCTTTCTCCGACATATATTCTAGCAAAGCTAAAAGCCTTTTTAGTGATGTCCAATATTGACTAAATGTAATAAGTTATTGTTTTCTATATATTAATGGATATACGAAAAAGGAAACCAATGGTGGTACATGATCCCGAAACCAAATCGTATGATCTAGTTTTCACGGCTACATACATCATACATCTATTGGAGCTCTTGTTTGCTATTTCGAAAGTTTAGTCTCTATTTTATAGATTAATTTGTTTTCTTTAATATCAATGAACATTGTAATTTCTTGTTACTATTTAACTTTGCTGATCAACCAATTAGAATGCATTGTAAATTATAGATGTTTTGCTACGAAATTAATTTATTTTTATTGGAGGAACGTCTTCTGTTTTCAACTGAATTTTACACCATTTTCGGCCAAGAATACTTCTCCAAATTCCCATGGCTCATCTGGTTCAAGTCTATGTTTTAAAAGTCTTGTTGCTTTTTAAGTGATTTTAATTCATTAATGACGCAGAAGATTATTCGATACAAACTCTTACTTAAGGTAGATAAATTTAGAATATATTTTTGTAACATATGAGTGAAAGTCTCCACGGTCCATAATATTTTGAGTCAAAGAGATTTGTTTTTTTTTTAATTAGTCGAAATTGGAAACCTGTGACAATCGGATTTCAAACACTTGTTAGACAATAAGCTAAGCATAACAGTTATAGATCTCAGTTACTAATCCGGGCTCGATCGTTCAGTCTTTATTGAATCTGTAGGGTTGTTTTGAACAGGTAATGTGATTACAATCACAAAGTTTTCAGTAGGAAGAAGAGGGGACATTATTTTCAACTACATTAATGGAGTTTCCTTCACATAACATGATAAATAGGCTCAGAATATCATATTTTCTTATTTATTTACTCCAATAATAAATGTAACAGTGACGACTCTCCATCCTACACATTTCAGTCCTTTCTTTTAGCACGATTAGATATAAAAATAATTACTTGACGTAAAAAAAAAAATTGAATGCAGATTGCAAAATATTTATTGTTTTATCAAAAACAAAGTGAGAGTTATTGTTGTTTTTAGTACTTATATGTATCACGATCCTTGTCTATCATATATCGATAGGATAATACTCCTGTTTCTTGTTTGGGGATTTCTACCTCTCTGAAAGTTAAAATTAGCATACACAGTTATTTCACCCTAAACGTAAAAAGTATTCCCACTTATTTACATCGATGTGGATTTCACTATGATTCAAACAAAATAAAAATTATAAAAGTCACTGTTCATTTCTCCCTTTTCTTTCTGCAGCAAACGAAATATTGACCACAATTAAAAAATAAAGAAAATGTTAAAACAAGCGATTGTATGCCTTCAAAATTGCATCCTATAAGTCGTGAGAGAAAAACGAAGCTAATACATAAAATATGGTTCGATGTGTGAGTGTAATGGTGGACAAAATAAACTGAACAAAAAAAAGTAATAACGATAAAAGCAGTCAATTAAAACGCAGCATTAGGCAACATGGAATATTTGCTCATAATATTTCATGCATCTAAATCAAATAAGGGAGAATCAATTAGATCAGTTTTTAAACTCCAATTACGAATAAGTAGTTGACTTGATCTCGCAATGTCAACTATCTATGTCACTAATTCAATTTCATTTTGGATAGGTGATTTATGCCTTGAAGGCTGTATTATGAACAACTTACCCCCAAAAATTTATTATGGACCAAAATTTTCACAATAAAAAAAAAGTGTCAACAAAAAAAATTCTGAACTGAAAATAACAATATATATATATATATCGAATTGGCATTCTTACGATTATATATCGACTAAAAGAGGAAAAATGAATGAGCTTGGTGAATGCATTAAACAAATAACACATGCGAGGCATGTAAGTTATTCTATACAGAAAGAAAATATAGAAAAACTTATTCTAGAAACCAACGGAAATTGATATATGTGACGTGTAACAAAGAACAGAACATCTTAACGACAAATATTTATTTATGCAATAGCTCATTACATTAATTAATTGTTAATTTATAATATACCTAAAAAGTGGAAATACCTAATTATTGAACATACGTAATATAGAAGAGGGTTAATAAATGTGATCACTTTGTGACACCAACTGCATATTTACTCACCTTATACGTCATTCACAAGAGGACGTGACTTACAACTCGCGAGTACACTCTTCAGCTCTCTATTAGTAGAAACTTTTTTTTTGTAGTAGAAACTGTTTATTTGATTCTTTCTTTAAATTTTGTTATATGATTGTTATTGTATCAGTCCAAGAGCAAAATAAAAAGCATATCTTGGCCACACTTCATTTAGTCAACGTGAAACTCGTCTTTTATTTCTAATTATAATAATATATAGATTTGGTTTGTAAATACAAAAAGAAAAAAAGAAGAAGAAGAAGAATATTTGAAAATGCCAAAAGCCTCTAGCTACTCCGGCCGGAAGTTAATAAAAGTTTCATCTGTTTTTTTTAGAAAGTACTGTAAATAAAACTTTCATCTGTACTTATAGACTTCTAGTCTACTTCGGATTAACCAAGTTATAGTTCTAACTAGTAACACCATTTTCAATCTAAGACATGAAGAAAACTACTTAATTGATTACAATTTAAATTGATTACAATTTACAACCACAAAACAGTTGTAGTTCGCTATTCTAGATATTTACACCGATTTCAGAAGTCATGCAGTTAGTGAAATACGTATATAACTTATCTTGCATGCAGGCTTTGTGAAAACAATGATCACGAATTGCAAAAAGTCTAATGATTCAAAATGATATAACCAAACTAGCTTTCCTCAAATACCCAAAAGAAGAAGAAAATATAAAATACGACTGGTATTACATTTATGACAACAAGTTTAATATATATAACTTCCAAAAGGGAAAATAAAAAGACACTACATGGACCAGAAAAGAAGAGATATATTATAATCATTAATATGGCATTAATCAGATAGCAAAACGAGTTTATATATAAACACACCAACTAGAAAATAATATTGAAACCCTAGTAACTAACATAACGATGACTAATCATAATCAAATCATAAACAACAGCATAATTAATATTAAATCATGGTACGATCTTAGTGAGGTCGTTATTACCGGACAGATCAACATGATTGTTAAGATTGTTGATCTTGTCGTTCTCGTTGTCTTCAAGGTTAATGTTGTTATTGTTGTTCTTCTTGGAGAAATGGAGTTTGTTGTTGTGCATCCAAACCTTAAGGACTCTCCTCTTCACTCCAATTTCTTCACAAAACCTTTGAACAACACAATCTTCCTGCCTTTGTATCTTCCACCCAACTTTCTCAGCAAAACTCAGCATCTTCTCTTTCTGTTCCGGCGTGAACTTCGTCCTAAACCTCTTCTTCTGGTTGTACGGCGGGTGCGGTAGCGGTCTAGACGCGGTGGTTACCCCGTCTTCCTCCATAAAGTCATCGGACTCCGAGTTATGCATATACCGGTAGTTAGAAACTCCTATTGGCATGATCATTTGGTGAGGCATGGCTGATCTGATATTATGGTGGTTGAGCATGAGTTTTCGCGGTGGAGGCGTTTGGTGGTAAGAGGAAATGGCGGTGGCGGTTGTTTCGCCTTCAACTTCTTTTCTATGGAAGTTTCTGTGGCAATTGCAAGCTGAGCACGTGAGAGCTTCAATGGAGCCATCTTCACCACTTGGCATAAACTCTCCACAACCATCAGTGGCATTGCCTCCCATAGCTGCTGCATGGTTCTTGAGACACTCCTTGTACTTTGTCGTAGGCTTCTTGATGATGGCGTTGTAACCCACATGATGAGGATCTTGATGATGATGTTGATGATCATGATTGTTGCCATGACCATTAACCTGTAACGGCATTTGCGGTGGTTGAGTAGTAGTGTTGTGAGTTGGAGGAGCAGAATTAGCAACATGATGATCATGATGATGATGGATCATGTGACCATGACCACCACCACCACCACCAACAAATGTAGTGTTTAATGGGATGGGCATATCATGATCTTGATCTTGACTTGTAATTTCCATCTTTTTATTGGGTCTTCTGCAAAAAGTTTTCTTTTAGTTGCAAATTGTTTCTTGGTTTGGAGACAAAGAGACTAGCTAAGGAGAAAACAAAACAATTGGAGAAGAATAATTAACAGAAAAATGATTATAAACTATTGAAGGTGGATACTTTCTTGATTTAAATCTTAAATGAGTATTCTTGGAATTCTTGGAAAATGTCCACTTTTTCAGAAACAACTCTCGGAAACCATTTTAAATGAGTTTACTGAAAAAGAAGAACCCAAAGTTTAGAAAATCACAAATTAGAGGACAAAACGGAAGAATACAGAAAAATACAATTAATGGAGAAAAAAAAACTCTTATTGCAAGCCTGCTCGATAAAAAGCTGACAAACGCACTTCAAAAGAAGTCTTCGACTTCAATGTAAGTGAGGTTTACGGTGATGAGTTAAAAAGAAAATAAGAAATGGATCATAAAAACAACTGTTCTTTGATTATCAATCTCTTTTTCTCCCCAAATCTTGATGATAAATTAAATAGAGAGGGAGAGAGAAGTTAAGACTGGCTATGAAAGTAAACTGACTTAAGTTGTTGATGATTGAACTGAGGAACACATACCCGCGCACAACTAAGAGCAGTAGACTTTGATCTTAATAGGCTTCCAAAAAGTTCAGAACTTTGTTGAAGATAGTCAGCATCAGCCAAATAGAAACCCTTAAGAGAGATAAAACAGATTAGATACTTAGGGGTTTTGTAATGAAAAAACCTTTGAAGGAAGAGAGGAGACAAAGATTTGCATTTGGGTTTTGGATGTGAAGGCAATGTCTTAAACTAAGAGGGCTTTAGGGTATTAGTAGTGAAAGCCTAAAGACTAATAAAGCAAGAGAGAGAAAACCAAACTAGATATTTTCAACCTTTCACTCTCTCTCCCTCTCCTCCCCTCGGCCCCTCCCATTTTTTTCTACGGACAATTAGAAAACAACAGCATTTAATTATGTCAGCAGTTTTGTTAGTATTATATTAATTATACGAATAAATTCTAATCTAACTGTTTCAAATACATATGGTTTCTTTAAAAATGTGTTTAACAGAAGATATATAACCTAACTATAATTCTAGCTTTTTGTACTCCAAAATAAATTTTATCCAGAGTAGGGGAGAAACGAAGAAAATTAAAGGTCATGGGTGATTGCTTTGCTTGCACTATCAGACATCAAATTTACACAATTTTTAGAGAGATAAAATGTGTCAGAGAGTGGTGGGGAGAGTACTGAAGCAGTGAGACAAGCATAAAAGTAATATTAAATCAAGTAGGTTAACTTTCATGAATAAACGAATGTCGTTTGCAAGGAAAAAATTTGCTTTACGTTAGTAACCAACAAATAAAATAAGATGTGATTGTTTATATATTAGGAAGAGAATTTTTTTTTAAAAAAACTTTTTTTTGGCTAACTATTTGCAGCTGACTTTTGATAAATCTTAGTATCCAAACCTTCGTAAATACTCGTTTGGTCAGTAATACTCAATTTACTTTAATTAGAAATTTGGGGATGACTATATAATTATTTAAATTACACGTTTATTTACCCAAAATCACATAGATAATTCTTTTTGTTTAATTCATCGTTGAACATTAACTAAATTAGACTCTCTCTTGTTTTTTTTTTTTTTGCCAAGACTTTCGACTCTCGAGGTTGTCATGGCCTGCATGTGAATTATATAACTAAACAGAAGTTACTATTAATTATGGCCCTACAATATTTCGCGAATATAGAACCTGGAATTAATACTCGATATGTTTTAAAAAGACGAAATTTGAATATTTTATAAATTTATGGATTTAACTTATCTTAGAAGTATATTAACTTGAAATTACCTTTTTAATCAATGATATAGCAATGGTTTGGATGGTATATTACAGTTTTCTTAAGACATATACATAAGTGATTTTCATAGCCGATATATATCTGCTGCGTCACACATTCACACGTAGTTCGAGAATATGATGAACTATTCAAATCCACATACACCCTAGTAAACTATTCAATTCACATCACAAACGAGATATTAGTGTTTCTCCTAATTTGTAAATATATTTCTGTATCTTTTATCTATTCTAGAATTTACAGTCATATATAGGCTTTAAATGATGCATAAATCATATAATACAGATCATTTTAAGCAAACTAAAAAATATTAATAAATAAAATAAATAAAATCTGCATGTAGAATTGGGTGAACAGCTACTATTTTACAGCAGTTTTGGAAAAAATTACTTTTCTTTTATTTTTAGAAGATTAAAGATCTGCATGCAGATCTATTAGTTTTATATTAATATCTTTCGTTCTGCATAAAATTTGTAAATGGTAAAAAGAGCAGATTATTTTATATATAGATTAACTGCATTTTTCTGCATTTATTTTGTTATCCATTCAAAGTCTATTATATCCAACCACTGAACCAAATAAAAGCTCACCATACTTGAGATGAAATTGCAGTAGTCATGTAAAAAAGAAATAGCACTGATTATAATTATATACCCTCATAGTTTTAGTATTGTAAATTAGGAGGCATGGGCAAAAGATCGAAATGTTCGTTTGACTAAAAACAGAAAGTCGTGGTAAAGTGGAAAATCTTGCTTAACATTTCAGACTTACTGCTCCTAGCAGTAGTAATCATGCAATAGCCACTCTAATTTAAAATTGCATTCGTTTATTGAACCAATATTTTGAACATATAATATAATAATGCTATGAATCACTTTGTTCTTTTTTTTTTGGGTCGAAATCACTTTGTTCTTTATGTATCCTTATGGTCTTTATTCTTTACATCAGATCCCATATTTGATATTCTTCTTTTTCTGGTTTTTATTTTTGTTGTCTCTTCCTCTGGTAAATTCTTTAATCCCTCTTTGTCGCCGTATATTTTCCAGTTTTTTTTTTTGTAAATAATGAATGACTAATTTTTAAACTCCATGTTTTCACATTGTCTTTTGACTTGAGAATCACTCGGTCCGGCATATTTATAGGGTGAACCAAAATTTGGAATAATTTTACGTTTATAAATACATAAAATTTGTTTTGTTATGTTTAGTCTTTTTCCCCTAGTTTTATGTATTCATTCAAGTAACAAAATAAAAAGGGTCCACACGAATAAATGACGTTAGGTCGATGGTCCAAAATTGTTCACAATTTTCAAGATGTTCGTATTTACTCGTTCCCTTTTACTATTATGACACTTTAATTTTTGTATATATCTCTAAGTTTTTTTTTTTTTTTGAAAATACTCTCTCTGTTTCTTAATAAGGCCCTTCTAATATATATGGTGTTTTGAGTGAAAGTATATAAGTTAAGAAAATTTATTAGGTTTTACAATAAATTTATTTAATAATTAGTCTAAGACAATCTAACCAATCAAGAAAAAAAACTGCAGAACATAAGTGGCCATAAACTATTTAATATATTTAAATTTTGCATTGATATTTGAAAGCACTTTATATTATATAATAAAAACTAAAAAACACCATATATCAAGAAATAGAGGGAGTATATATCTCTAAGTTTTATATTTATGGCCTGTTTATTTATTTATTTTCCTATTTATCAAAAAAAAAAAAAAACAAGATCTATTTCTAGGCAGTTATACGCCTTAAAAAGACGGGTGAAATCAAATTTTGTAAACTTTGTAAGACTCATATACTAGATATATAAGTTAATTACTCTATTAAGTACGATTCAAACCCTTTCGTTCTTTTTTTACTATATCTTTTCAGTGACAAGCGTGCAAAAGCAGTCGGTTTATTTCTTTTTCTGGATGGAACCATCAATTTTTGGTGAACCAAAGCTTGTATCCTTCAAAAATAATAATAACTTCTTTCAAGATGCCAACTTTCTTCTAACAATCTTTATCACGAAAATTCAAATAAATGTTACATGATCCTATATGTATGTTTAAGATTTCAATCATTTTATGTTAGCTAATCAAAATGAAGATTCAGGTCACAGTCACCTTGACAAATAATAATGTATTCATTTTTGGGTTGGTTAGAATCAAATTATGATAACAACATCATTTGCTACATTATTATTTTTTTTGACAAAGATCATTTGCTATATTTATATTAGGTAAAAGGGTAGTTACATCCCTTAGTTTTACGATTGTTAATTAAATTCCGTAATCTCATGCACTAGTTCATGATCATATATGCTACGGTTTGCACTTTGCATATAAATGAGGATACAAAGAAAAGTCCAATATATTTCAATTATTTGTAATACAATTGTTTTTTTTTTCTTATATGCCTTGATTACAGTTCATCAACATGGTTCTGCAAAAACGTGTTTTTGTAAGTTCCATCATTATATATATCGCAACAAGCATTTAACTTGAAAGCAACAAAAAAAAATGAATCTTAGATTTCACATTTTATTCATACTCTTCCTCAGTTTTTGCATGTGTACTGTCCTTGCTTTTCTCACACACCATTTCGATTAATCCATTTAATCCATTTTTACGTTAGAAATCCAGCCGTTGCCGTTGCGAACATTTTCGCTCTTTATTTTTCTTTGTTTTTAACTTATTTATTAATTCCTTTTGGCATGAGATTCAATAGCCTCACACCACTTCAATCCAAACAAAAGCAAAATCATGTTTAGATAAGTTTGTTCGATTTATCGGGATGTCCGTAACCTAATCATATGGTTATATATTATAGTATCCGGAAAGCCATGAACTTTAAGACTTTTTTTTTTTGGATCCGATGAACTGTGAAACCGATAATGCAAATTTCATATAAATTTTTTTGGCTTTTTTAATTGAAATCAAATTAACCCTTAAACCAAAGATGTTTCGCTAAGCTTAGAATGTGTTTGTATCTGCATGCATACAATCAAGACCAATAATCATGCAGATAGAGCATTTCTACATGATTTCACATGATTTCATTTTTGTATAGTCGAGCTATATATAAAAGGAAACACAAGAAAGAAATTCTGTTTACACCAAATCATTTTGTCATATTTTCCATTTGAAAAAATTATAATAAATATAAGTCTAATACATCAGTTTTTTTTTTGTCAACACCTAAGGACAAATATCAGGCTCTATTTGTATTTATTTTAGAATAAATTGAATGATGAAACCATAGAATCCCTTTTTTTTTGTGACGATCAGAAATTCAGAATGCAAATTCTCATTTAAATGACCTTGTGTTGCATACTTTTTCCGTTTTTTTTTTTAATGCGTGTTTGTACATATTAATTTATCATATATATATATATATATATACATGTGTCTTCTCTTCAATCCCAGCACCTTCTAATATCATGATTTTATCTTGATAACTTGATATATATGTTGGAATTTTTTAAAAGCAACCTTGCTTTGAATCTTGACATTCCCTGCTTTTTCCTTGCAATTTTACCTAAAGTTCAACTATATATTCCGATTTTTATCATCTAATCTCCTTCATTCTATATATATACAGAGTAATAATTTAGTCTTTTCTTTCTTTACACTTAATCATGTGGCATATTATTAAAGATCTATTAATACATTGCGTACTTGATCTTACATTTCATCCAAAATAGTAATAAAAATTTCTTTTGATAAAAAGTTAATTGAGTTAACAATTTCAATCAATAATTAACCATTAATATACATATAATGGATAAAAAAACCTACAGTATGTCTTAATTGCTTGGTCTACAATACATACAATATCACAATTATGTTTTTTTCGTTTTCTAACATAGGAACGCAATTATGTTAATAAAGTGTGTAGGTTTGAATATATATTCGTATTTTTTGTCATATGTTTACATACATCATAGTAATTAATACATGCACAAATTCATAAGCGCACACATTTAATTATGTATACTAGAAACGGTGCAACAGACTAACTGGGGACCGATTCATGGACCAGTTCATAGCCCATTCGGGAAAATAACATTAGTTCGGAAACGAATTGTTGGAAAGATGGTTTGTCTTAAGGTTCAAAAAAGAGGTTGTCTTTTTTTTTTTTCTTGGATAAGTGGAAATGGTTCACGATGTAGTGGAGGAATAATATTGGTTATCGATCTTTTTTTTTTTTTTTTTAAACGGAGGAATATTGGTTCGCTAAGACCCAAAGAATTTTCCTTTTTATCTTCTTTATTTTTTAATAGTTTAAGAAGGAATTTCAAATATAAGTTAGGCTAAAAATCTTATTTTAAATATAATGCCTTGAATGTTTCAAGATTTTAGAATAGATTTTTTTTTGTTTTTCAAAAATCCATTTTTCATCCAATCAAGATTTTAGTAAAGTTGATTCCCTATTTTTTAGGAAAACTAGTTTTTCAAATAACTACCAATTTGTAAACAAAAACTAAAATCTACTCTTATGTATTTTTTATCTAAATTGTCGAGAATTTTTATTCTATAAAAAAAAATTCTTAGCCATCAATATATTTTTTACATAAAATCATCAGTCTCATACTATTATACATAAAAACAAATCTCATAATTTTGTCAATTAACTTTCTGCAAAATAATTTTATTTTATTAATAAAAATATATCTAAATTAATAACTTTAAAAACATACATATTTCCATACACACTCACATATGCATTTCAGTAAAAAATGTGCTTGTTTTTTTTAAACACTTAAAACAAAACAAAGTCTGAAAAAAACATAAAAAATATAAATCAAGGTTTAATATATATATATATATATATAAACAAAATCCAAAATATAAATAAACCACCATTCAAGTTTTTTTGAACCCAAAATCTACAGCAAAATCAAAAACTAAAAACTCAGAAACTAAAATCTAAAAACCAAAAACCAGAAGTCAAAAACCAAAAACTAAAATCTAAAAACCACTTAAACATTCATGGCCTAAGTTATCTTCTTATCCTTAATCCCAAATTACCCATCAAACACAAATACACAATAGCAGTTCAGTTCCAATCGAATTTACAAAGAATCTTCATCTTTTTAAGACAATACTTTAATTTGAAAAAGGCATATCTTTAAACGAACATAAATGACATATTCTAACATCTATAGTCGTTATATCAATAACGCAAAATAAAAATAAAAGACAAACTGAATTTTTGTTTTTGACAGCTATTAACAATATATGCGATGGTTTTGACTACGATTATGGATAATACACTACATACAATATAATGAAAATTCTCACCATAAAACTGTAGTAGATCATTTATAGTTTTATAGCTAGTGGCATTCCGCCATCGACCGGTCGAGATCATCAGAAATCAATCTATTTTACCAAACAATTTTGTTTTTCAGTATTGTGAAATTTCATGAAAGCAATCTTTTGATTTGAGTAATTTTTCTAATCTTAAATTAATGCGTAGTTATTATTATTGGAAAGTAAGCGTCGATTAAATTACCTCAACGATGTATTTATTTAACCAATTAATACGGTAATACCACCCAACCAGCTTAAAATCTTGAAATTCAAAATATATTTTAGATAGATTTTTCCTGAGATTAGAATGTACATAGAAACGAAAAACATTCTGAAATTTGTTTCTGGTTAGTGTTTTTCCTTTAAGAAAATAATTCTCTTACTATGGACAAACTTTCCCACAAAGCAAGTGCACGAGTTCTGGATTTTTTAACACTATTATGGGTTTTACGTGCAATCAGTTTGCTGACATCTGATTTCTCCTCAAACATGTATTATTGTATGTTTGGTTCACTTTTCTATTTGTAAATATTCTCAAGGTACAGTTATATGGCAGATGAAATGGACGTAACGTGTAAGAAAATACAAACCCGTACCTTATATATAATTTTCTAAACTAAAGGATAAAGTTAACATTATAATAATAAATAATTGAGAATAATTATATATTATTTTCTGACTATACTGCAACGCCATATCCATCACTCACCTTCCTTGGAACTATAATTTCCAAAATAAACCAAATAATAGTCTTCAAGACAATTCTCATTCTTATTTCATAAACATCCCTTTTTCCGTCCAACATAAAAACATTCCTTTTTTAATTCGACTCGGAAACTAGAATAACAGAACAAAACATACCGGGCCTATTATTTTCCGTCCAGGCCCATTTCAAAAACCACACAAGACCTGGATCTCTACTGCTAAAAGTATGTATAAACCGGAAAGCTACTATCTCCAAAATGACGCAGTTTTTTAGCTGCGTATCAACATAGAAACTAGAAAAACCATCAAATATGAATAGGGAATCTTCAATGTCATTGTAGAGGAAACACAATTTTCTGGGATACAAAGAGACGCTTTGCACAAACAACTGAACAAGCTTTAAAATTGAACAGAGAAACCAAAGTCTTTGTGAACAAATCAAGCAGATTATTAAGACAATCCAAGAAAGCTAGTAACCGAGAAGAAGCCTGCCTTGAGTTCATCATGTACCACTGTTTCAGGCATCTGCAATCAGACATATGTACAAGTTTTAAGTGTAAGAGACTTGATACAAATTACACTTGAGAACAGAAGCAGAGGTGATGGATCTCATATAACACACCAAAAACCCGACTACTCTTTATGCAGCTATTGCCTATGCTGTTGCCAGCAAAACTAAAACTTATAAATTTTCTGTTGTATTGAATTGTTCTGACTATCTACTCACTCAACCTTAACTCTTATGGGTTAGTTTAGATTTTCATTCACCCTTGACTATACAAGCGAACACAAAGGGCGCATGTATAATGTGTTGCAAATGTTATTACCTGAAACCAACATTTTCTAAAATCTATAGGCTACATTCCACAAAGAATCTTTTGATGAGAGCACTGAACTTAGGGGGTACAAAAAATACGTACTTCAATTTAAGACAATTGATTCCTTCAGGCATTTCAAAAGCATCAACTAAAACCAAGTGATGCAAAGGAGTTTATGTAAACGATTTGCAAGTGTTATTACCTGAAACCAACATTTTCTAAGATATGGTTCCTCAAAAATATGACCTTCCTCAACATTTGCTATCATTCTAAAATTTATCCTTTCTTTTAACTGCTCTTTTCATATCTCCACTTTAGTCATGCAAGAACTAAGTAAGACAAATATATTGAACAAAAATTCAAGACAGACTCACTAAAGTAAGCTGATGTTAACTATGCCAAATCTTATAGAGAGTCAATGGGGGAAAAAAAAAAACAAATAGAGGATCACTTTGCAAAACATTTCCAGGTTCAAACGAGCTATAAGCAACAATATTAGCAGATAAATCAGGTTTTACTAGGGAATATTAAGCTAAGTAAACGCAAATATCAATTTAACATAGACGAGTATGATTCAGACTAATTAATATTTAATCCCTCGATAAACTACATCTCTGCGTTCCGATCAAATGAGTAAAATTACAAAATTAGCACATAAGATGAATCAATCGTCAACGATTTTACCTGATCGAAGAAGATCAATGCTCTTCAGTGAGACGGAGCAGGCTGTTTCTGGTGTTGGTGAGATGATTTGGAAGGAACCAAAGCTTTGCTGTAGATCTGCTCACCGACGAGGTAGACGCAGAAGGCGGCGACGCCGATGCCAAGACCAGGAAGAGCGTGTCTCATTTGGTTTGATAGCATCGGATGCTTCCTCCATTCATCTCTTCGCCGGAAAAATTCGCCGGTGGTACCCAAAGGCTTCGCCATATTCTCCGGTGTTCGATTAATCTCCTACGACCGTACGTTCTTCAACTTCTTTATTCTCTTATGACAAAACATGGGCTTCTTCAATAGTTGCGCTTTATTTCGGACCTTAATTTTTCGTTATGGAATAATCTGAAAATTGATGTAGGAACAAATAATAAACGAGAATAGTGATTAGCAATTTTACGTTTTATTTTAATTTTCTTTTATAAATTAACCAATTTTTTTTTTGAAATTTTATTATGTTATGCCTTTTTACTTTTTTTTTTCTTATTTGTGCTTATACTTTCTTATGTTTTACTTATTATTTCATTGGTTTATCTAATTTTAAGAAAAAAAATATTTAAAATAGTTTTAGAGTTTTGGTACTTTTATACCAAAAACATGGTTTGTGGTATTTTAGAGTAATTATCTTTTCTTTTTCTTTTTTTGCTATAAAATTTGTGTTACTTAAAAATAAATTAAGTGTTGAGTCAAAGGTATATCCGTGTTTCAGTCATATATGTTTTTATCTTATTGGATGTATTGTTACTAGAGGGACTAGAGTAATTTTTTTTTATCTTTTATAATTTAATATCAAAATATTAAGTTGATCATGTACTTTCTATTGGATGTATGTTTGAATAGCTTTGATAAACAGTTTGTTCGAAGACACAATTGTAAAAAATAACAATAATTGACCAAAAAAAATATATTACTTCAAAATGATCATATTTATATAGTAAAGTTTCATATTGCATATTATATAAGACTTTATAATTTTAGAGTTGTTATCGACTATTTCTCGTTAAATAGAAGATAAAGTACAATGATAAATCATAGTAACATCTTCTGATATTTTCAGCTCATGCATCTGGTTCAGGGGAAGATAACATAGTGAATTCATCAGAGAAAGTGTTTTCAGGCATGGACAGCGAGTTCTTGTCGTTTGCAGATGGGATTAGTGGAGGAGGATCTAGTGTTGGAGAAGATGGAACTGGTGGAATTGCTGCACCGGTTTTGTCTGTGAACGGTTCGGCTATTGTTTGGACTGATATTAGAAGAAGAAGAAATAGAGTAACCTCCATTGTTGTTGCGGAGACCTTCATGATTTTTTGTTGTTGTTTTGTGTATTACAGTGGTGACGAGCTTAGCAGGACTTGTATGGATTGTATTTGTATGTAAACCAGTGATTGTTTTGTTTTGGTCAGTTCATGTCACTTATGTGTATAAATAGGTGGAGGTAAACTGGTAAAGTACACGAGAGAAAAACAGACCTTATCTTACTTCTATGTTTATTAGTTTTTAATAAATGATTGAATCTATAATTGGAAATTTTGATTCACAGATTATTATTTTTTAGATAAACTAATCTAGATGGTAATGAAGATTCTTTTTAAAAAATAACATTTATAGATTTATATCGTAATTACACAATTAGATTTGTCTGTTCCTCTGATCAAATCTATATTTTTAAAGGTTATTATTACCTAGATATTGTTTGTTATTAACTTATTAAAGAGTTTATTTTTTAAGAAATGGACAAAATCCTACTTATATATATATTTTTTAAACTTACTTTTATAAACAAAAGTATAGTCACTACTCACGAGTGCAGTTATTTATAGGAAAGTATACCATTTTAAGATATTTCTCATTATTGTTTTGAACCACTACATTTGTATCACTGTATAAACAATGGGCAAAATAATATAAAAAACAGTTTTAGCATATTACAGTAACCTTCCTATCGAATTTGAGTACTCTTAAAATTACATTACTTATCTCATTATTTACTACTATTAAATTGCTTTTTACCATTTCATTACTGTAACTTTCCTATTTTCTTCATTAAAAATTAAATATAATAATACAGTAAGAGAAACGAATTATACTATGGTGACTTTTCCTGAACAATATAACTTTGAGAAGTGAGAAGAGTTCTTGGCATTTTGAATTTTTACTTCTTCTATGGTAACCGTTCTTACTTTCTTGGCTTAGCACATCCACTGAACAACGAAAACCGTCTCTTTCGACTTCTTCGTGATCGCACAGAAGTCCCTTTGATCTATATAATCAAGTAATCAAAAACGTTAAAAATGAAAAAAACAATAAGTAAATTATGTTTGGTTTGATTTCACCATTAAAGTGAAATTTTGTCGATGGACTCACCTTGCCTCCTCTTGGAGACTTCTGTGTGTTCCAACAGAAAAGCAGACTGCAAACTCCTCTTCCTGATCCTGATTCATATCCTCTACACAAACCAAACAAGACAATTGTTTGTCATGAAGATCTTATTTGGTTTTTCTTTTATGATCAAGATTACTTACAGATTGTCTTTGTTGTTTATGAAGTTACTATCGTGGAGTAAACTCGGGGAAACAGGACAATGCTCCATTTTTTTAGCAGTCTGATTTTCCTGAAGCTCACCCATTTCACCAATCCTGAAAACTTTAACTCCATTTAATAGGCCAGAAGAAATAGTAGAACCAATTACAGGTTGGTGATGATGATTGGTGTCTTCTTGAGGTAAAACTTGATTCCGTTCGGGTTTTAAGTGGCCTTGTGAACCTGGAGTCCTCTGTAACCACTCAGTTTCTAATCTCTGTTCTTGGATGATCATTTCAATCCTTTTCATTGGATTCTCATGCCCACTTTCAGTGTCTGAACCAGTACTCACTGTTGTTTGTCTGGTCTGCTTGGAGTTGAGTAGCTCAGTTTTAGACAAGAGGATTATCTTGACCTCTGCATTTCGTCGTAGTACATTCTCAATCGAGTTTGTGATACTGCTTAAGAACCTTTCTGCTCTTAATTTAATCTCTCTTTCGCCAAAGGCAATATAAGCAACTAGAATACCTGCAACCAAGATCCTATTAGTATTTCAATTGCTTGGGTTTTCCTTCAAATGTAAAGTAATTAATAGCAGTTTTAGGCTTACCTTCAACTTCACTGATAGATAATAGCTTCCCATGAGTATATAGCAGCTGCTTCAATGTCTTTGAATGGCATTTATCTATACACTTTATCCAGATATCATTCAGTTTCTCTGAATTTCTGCAAGTAAGCGTCATGGTGCTTGCAGTTGTATCGCCATCCGAGGAAATGGAACCGTCACTGGATGAGGAGTTTAATTTCATTTCATGAACGGTATTTCCGCCTTTTCTCAGGAAAGTTGGGGATGATGAGTTACTACATTGAAGGCCTGATCTCTGTTTGTAAGCAATAACTTCTCTTGAAATGCTTGACAGGTTTTCTTCAGTTGCTCTAGAGCTTTGCCTTCTACTACTACCGGTGTGTGTGGTTCCGGGAGAAGGCATCAGACCGAGCTGCAGCAAGGTAGCTATGAACCATGTTGAACGATCAGTAGTAACTCTAAGCTGCTTCTCAGCCTCAGAAAGAATCTTCAAAGCATGTTTTAGCCTCTCCATATCTGCTTCACTCACTACAAAAGAAAACAAACGAACAAGATTGGCCAAAAAAGAAAGCAATCAAGAGGCATCAATAAGCCAAAAATTTGTATAAAACCATTCTAGAGAAAGGGAAACCAATAAGCAGAAGCTTTGCATTTGAATACTTTGCAGTCTCATTCAAAGATTATTAGAACTAACGACTTTGAAGTTCCGGAAACTCACAGTTCCGTCCATCAAGGAAGGCGTCACTGTATTTTGCGTCCAAGGCCTTGTATGCCCCAGCAATGATATCCATGATAAGACTGGCGAGTTGAGACATCATGACTATTGGGTCAGCTCCTAAGTCAAGTAACTCTCTAGCTTTCTTCACAGTGTCTGCCGTGTCAGAAGACAAGGCTAATTCCAAAAGTTCAAGCAACTTATCATCTGAAACAACACCCACCTGCACAAACACCAGCAGTTACATTTACGTTACTTATCGTCAATGCAAAGGAAAGGAAACATAGAACAGACAGCAAAACTTACTAGCTCATTTACAAGATCCACGGTGATTCGTTTTCCCATCAAACTCAGCTGATCCAACATGGTTTCAGCATCTCGAAGTGAGCCATCAGCATTTAAAGCAATCAGGTTCAAAGCCTGCGATTCCACATCGAAGTTTTCATCTGAAGCAATTTTCCTTAGTCTCACAACAATGTCACCATCTCTGAGTTTGTTGAAGAGGTACTTCTGACACCTTGACTGAATGGTCCGAGGAACATTGCCAAGGTCGGTCGTTATACATATGAAGACGACTTTTTGCAGAGGGTTCTCAAGAAACTTGAGTAAAGATAGCCAAGTCTTAGATGGCAACAAGTGACACTCATCTATCACAAAAACCTTGTATCTTGGCGAACTCTGTGGAACCAATGTCAGCAGTTTTTTCAAAAGGTACCTAACTTTCTCAGCTCCATTCTTCTTAGAAGCATCAAGTTCCAACAAATCCTTACTTTTCCCCAACATGAAATCACTGCATTCTTTGCAATACCCACAAGGTTTCATTTCTTCAGTAGCCACCTCACAATTCAGGGCAGCCGAGAAAATTCTCGCAGTAGATGTCTTCCCAGTTCCTCTAGGACCTTGAAAAAGATAAACATGAGCAATCCTACCTTTTATCACAGCGTTCATTAGCGACTGAACAGCTATACTCTGCCCAATAAGTTCATCAAAGAACATTGGCTTGTACTTTTTGCTCAAGCTCTGAATATTCTCCGGTGTACTTCCTTCTTCTTCTTCTTCCTCTTCCTCGTCTCCTTCTCCATCCACAGCTTCCAAACCACCCTGACTCCTACGACTAGTAGACCATCTCCTCCCATCTAATCTACTTTGAGCCTCTAAATCAAGCTCTCCGAAATCCGTTGAAAGATCATCATCACTACGCCCAATCCCTATAGATGATCCTCCTCTACTATGACCACCATACTTGAGCAAAGGCACAACGCCCAATGCACTTCTTGAAGCAAGTTTCTGTTTATTGTATCTCCCAGAGGAATGTCTGTGTCTACGATATACCGATTGACTCCCACACAAAATGCTACTTCCTTTCCTTCTAAGAGTATCAGAAAACGAAGGTGAGCAACAACTCCTACATCCACCTCTATGTTTCAGATTCCTCTTGGTCCAATAAAACGGAATCCCACAGCCTTGTCTCCCTGTAACATACAAGTTATCATCATCATCCAACTCATCATCACCATCGTCCCAAGATCCAACAGTGCTGGGATTACGTATAGCATACATATTGTACGAGCTAGTCGACAATGCAGGCGTACTATTACAAGTATGAGAAGAATCATCTCTTTTACTACTAGCTCTCAAGAACTTAGATGAAGAGCGTGACCAGTTCTTTTGCTTAAGTTTCAAGAGCAAAGGAGATGATACTCTAGTAATCTTCCGGGGATTGCTAAAATCCTCTGTTTCGTCAGATAAATCACCAGATTGATCCCTCACTGCACTTAAACCCGATGCAGCGTTTCTTGTGCCGAGGACTGCTTCTTTAGGCTGATGATATCGAGACAAGAACTCCAATCTCTTACTCTTCTTCTTGCCTAAACCGATCTTTCTGATCTTTGAAAAACCCGGTGACACTAGATTCGTGTCTCTGCATCTGAAAATCATCGAAGCCGATCGGGTCTCCCCGAGACGCGAATCTCCACCGTTCCTCGCATCACTCACGTCATCATCGTCGTCATCATGATTGACACTACTTTGGATCCACGAAGTTCCATCTTCACCCTCACTGTTCCTGGAAAATCCACTCTTGTCGCTTGAAGTTTTCTGAGTTTTCCAATTATACAGAAACACCTTCTTCTCCTTCCCGTTTCCAATTCCTCGACTACTCTCCGCTCGAGTCGGAAGCTGAGAATCTAACTGATTGTTACTGGGATTCTCGACGTTCTTGTTCGCCGGAGGCTCCTCCACCGTCTCCGCAACGGATCTAGACGAAGCCAGAGGGGATTTCCATGAGGAAGTGGTTCCCGGATCGCGTAAACCCCTTGCTACTTTCCTGATTTGAGTGAGCTCCCTCTTCAGATGCAATTTGCTCGGATCCGAAATTCTTAGACCCGACATTTGTTTCTCGACAGCGAAAGAGCTTATCTTCGAGTTCTTCCTCCTCTTTGGCCTCAAGTTTACAGAAGCATTTCGATCGAAACCCCTTAAACGAAGAAGAAATTATAAGAAGTTGAAAAGGGAAGGTAGTCTACACTTCTCCGTCGATTTAGCACAGTTGCGCCGGGAACTTCAACGGCGTTAAAGAAGAAGAAAATTTGAAAGAAGAAGAAGACGAATCACTTTAAGAAACCGAAGCTATGAGAGCGAAAGCGAGTAGAGTACGAGAGAGATGAAGAAAGGGATGGATAATAAATTCAAAAAAATCACGGTGATGATTATTTTTTTATTTTTTAAATAAATAATTAAATGTTAAAGAAAGAAAGGACACGAAAAGAAATGTGAAAAGAGAAAACAGAGTCGGAAGGAGCGGTGACGCTCGGGATTCTCCTTTTCTGGGGGACTCTTGTCAGATCCATCCTCACGAGTCACGCCTCTTCTCTGTCTTTCTGTTTTGTTTACCTTTGCCTACCATTATTAATGTTCTTTTTTTGTATAGATAATGTTTAAACTCTTTTTTTTTTTACATATATAATGACTCGAGATTTTTTTTCTTTTTTTTTTGGAAGTGAATAATGACTAAAGTTACTCAAATACCAACATTCTATTCGAACATAACTAAAGACAATCCAAAATATCGTTATAATACCATACTATTCATAGCGAAATAAGTATCATAATTTATCATAATCGGGAAAAATAGAATAGTACCAAAATTATTAAATATTTTTAACGGCCACTATTATTGTTCTACCAACACTGTCTTTACAGCTTTACTGATCAACAAATACTGTCTAATTTTGTCAACAAATATTATACGTTACACATTTCTGACATTTGCATGTCTATTAATGCGAGACCAATTATTCTTTTTAAGTAATATATGTTGTAATTGTACAAAACACAAATCATTTCAGCCTGTTATTTAGTTTTCTAGTTGCGTTATATATTCTATATTTTTTTACCAGAAAATAATTAAATATTATATATATAAACATAGATGTATAATCTTTGCCTTGACAAATGTCTTCACTCTTCTAGATCTCACGTACGCCTCAGCTGTTTTATTGTTTGGTCCGTTTGAAATGTCGAACAAATGTTCTCTACGATCGCTTAAATATAGACACAAATATGTATTGTAGATGCATGTGAACAAATCTCTTGTCTGCTTATTTGTGCTCTTTTTTAATAATGCATTATAATCATTCATTTATGCAAAAACAAATTGACGGTGAAAATGCACATGGCACTATTTTGTCTGTTTTCGAAGTTTCTTATGCCCCTCAAATTAGTTTATTAGTCATCGATCTAAATAGTTTAGTAAACGCCGGTCTCAACGTTATTTTTCATAATATAACATGTAGACAACCTTATTCAATACTTAAGGAGGAATTAAGACAAGCGACAAATTAATCTGGTCGGGTAGATAATAGATGGTCCTCTTGCTGTGAGAGTCCTGTTGTCCACAATTTATAGTCATAATTAATGTCCGTAAATTTTTCTCTTTAATAAATAGCTAATATTTGATCAATGCTTCATGCTGATACATTAGATTGTAGAAAATCTGGAAAGTTCCATCGGTTTTGCATATCAAATCGTCTGTCTTTATCGTATTAAATTGTTTACTTTGAGATATTCTCTCCGTTTCATTAAGAATGTCATTCTGACATTTTTCACACTTATTAAGAAAACTATTAAAAATACTACTTTACCTTTTATTAATGCATTAAATAACTTTTTTCTCTACATTAAATCAATATGGTCAAAACTGGAATATTGTTTAAAATTCTGCATTGAAAATATAAAACGACACTCTTTGTGAAACAAAAATAAAACCTTAAAACGACACTCTTTGTGAAACGGAGGGATTAAAAAAAATATCTGCACAAATAGTTTAACATAATAATATAAGATCAAAGAAATGAAAAACTTGCATTACTACTAATGACAACTTAACAAACTACGTTGGTTTTTGAATAACATCATTTGTTAACGTGTCTCTCTCCCCTTTGATGGGCAAATAAAAAATTTTGATCTCTTTATTTTTTAAAAAAGTTAGAAAGGAAAAGTTAATCAGATGTGAGTTAAAAAAAACATACGGGCCTAATGTCCAACTAATGGGCTTAAACGAGCTTTCAAAAGCCTATATATATCAAGTAGTAAAATAATTTAACTAAAACTTTCTTCTTCCGTTGAATTTCGGAATAGAAACCAGAGAGAATGCGTTGAAGCTATATATATGTCTGGAGAGATCACTGCATCTCTTGGCGCCATAGCTTCACAAGCTCTAACATTCACTCAGTTAAACCAAATCCAAGCTCAGCTCATCGTTTTCAACTCCCTCCATCGACAAAGCTACTGGGCTTCGCGCCTCATCAGCTCCTGCACACGCCTCCGTGCGCCGCCTTACTACGCGCGGCTCGTTTTCGGTTCAGTGGCATTCCCCAATGTCTTCGTCGTCAATTCCATGTTTAGATACTTTTCGCAGATGGATATGGCGAACGATGCTCTTCGTCTCTACAAGCAAAGGTCGCGTTGCGGGATTATGCCCGACGCCTTTTCTTTCCCTGTGGTGATCAAATCGGCTGGGAAATTCGGTGTCTTGTTTCACGCTCTTGTAGAGAAATTGGGATACTTTGGGGACCCGTACGTACGGAACGTGATGATGGATATGTACGCGAAGCATTAGTCAGTGGAGTCTGCACGCAAAGTGTTCGATCAAATTACTCGGAGAATGTGTTCTGATTGGAATGTGATGATTTCTGGGTATTGGAAATGGGGGAAAAAGGAGGAAGCTTGTAACTTTTTTGATATAATGCCAGAGAATAAAACCGATGCGGTTTCTTGGACGGTAATGATTACTGGTTTTGCGAAGCTTAAGGATTTGAAAAGCGCAAGGTGGTATTTTGATCAGATGCAGGAGAAGAGCGTTGTGACTTGGAATGCCATGCTTTCAGGTTATGCCCAGAACGGGTTTACAGAAGAAACTCTGAGATTGTTTAATGATATGATGAGACTTGGAGTTAAGCCAAATGAGACCACATGGGTCATTGTTATTTCCGCGTGTTCTTCCCGTGGTGATCCCTCGCTCGCACATTCACTAGTAAAACTGATTGATGAGCAGAGAGTCCGTTTGAATTGCTTTTTGAAGACGGCATTGCTTGATATGCATGCTAAGTGCAGAGATATTGTATCTGCTAGGAGGATTTTCAACGAGTTAGGCACGCAGAGGAATCTTGTCACTTGGAACGCTATGATTTCTGGATATACTAGAATCGGCGATTTGAGTTTGGCTAGGCAGCTTTTTGATACAATGCCTGAGAAGAATGTTGTTTCCTGGAACTCGATGATAGCTGGGTTTGCTCATAACGGACAACCTGCACTAGCTATAGAGTTCTTCAAAGAGATGATTGATTCTGGAGATTCCAAACCGGATGAAGTGACAATGATTGGTGCTCTCTCGGCTTGTGGACGTATGGATGATCTAGAATTAGGTGATTGGATTGTGAATTACATTGCTAAGAACCAGATCAAGCTTAGCGTTTCGGGATTCAAGTCTCTGATATTCATGTATGTAAGGTGTGGAAACCTGAGGGCAGCAACACAGGTGTTCGATGAAATAAAGGAAAGAGATGTTGTCTCCTATATTACACTAATCTCAGCTTTGGCAGCTAATGAAGACGGGATCGAAAGCACTGATTTCTTGAAAGAAGAAGAAACAGCTAAGGAAAGAGATATTGTCAAAGATTAAAGAAGAAGGCATTGAGCCAGACCATGTGACTTACACTGATGTCTTGACAGCTTGCAAGTTGCAACCATTCAGGATTACTCGAAGAAGGCCAGATAATATTTATATCTAAACTGCCATCGGCGGATCTTTGTTTAGGCCATTCAGCTTGCAAGTTGCAACCATTGTTTCTTTTCCCATTTGAATATGGCGTGGGAATGGAATATCCTTAAATGATTATGATATGAACCTTAGTTCAACGTAAGAATTAGATAGAAGATTTACAATGCATAAAGGAAAACACTCTAACATAGAAAATAAAATATCAAAACCTAATTTATTAACTAAAACACACTAATTATCCCTTAACCATTATCACGTATCAGATTAATAAATAAAAAGGTTAGGTGTGATAACTGGTTCTTGCTTCGAAGCTTCCTGGTAAAACGCCCCTACAGTTTCTTTTTGTTGCTTTATTTTATTTTATAATCCTTAATGATTAATAAACAAAAGGGTTAGGTGTGATCGTGGGTATTTCTTTATTTATGTTGACATTTGACTACGTTCGGTTTAAACTGGTTTTTGCTTCGAAGCTTCCTGGTAAAACGCCCCAGCAATTTCTTTTTGTTTATATATATAACAAGGCCACAATAGAAAGTCAACATTTATCGAAAAAGAAAATTTCTTCAATAAAAGTTTTTGTTCCTCCCCATTTTATTGCTCTTTTTTCACCTCTATCGATCGTGTTGAGTTCTGTTATAAACAAATTTTTGATTCCTGAGTTTTTGCCAAAAGCTCTCTCTGTATGGATCCGAGACTTGAACAGGCTGCTGAGTCGGGAAGCATTGATGATGAATCTTAAGCCATCGTTTGCAAGAAAGCTGGACAAAAGCGGGTGCAGTCCGTTGCATCTCGCTGTGGAAAAGAATAATACAGATTTTGTTTCCACGATGCTCGGGCTTGATCACGGCCTTGTCAGCGTTAAAGGGAAAAATGGCATCACGCCGTTCCTTGCCCTAGTGTCCAAAGGGAATGTCGATCTTGTGGTAGAGTGTCTCAGACGTTACCCTGAATGTATCCAAGATGTGAGCGTCAAGGGCCAGAATGCTTTGCACCTTGCTGTGAGACGAATGATAGATTTGAAGTTCTCCAAGTGCTCACGGGATGGATCCAGAGAAAAGTCCAAAGAAACTCGATCGAGACCAGAATTCTGAATAAAAAGGATCTCAGCTGCGATACGGCCTTGCACCTTGCAGCATATAAGAAAGATCTTAAGGCATGCTTTTATTTTCTTCAGTTTCTTTTTTTTTTTTTTTTTATATTTCTATACCAGAAGTAAAAGCTCTTCCACACTCACTCAAAAAAACTAACTGACAATGAATCGAGTGAACTATGTGAGATTCCTGGTAGAATAAGATTACTACTAAACTAATCTTCATGTATTAAGATTCTTATAACCAATATGATGATATGTATCTTATCTTGTGTAGGCGGTTCAACTGTTACTAGAATGTCGGTTGGTGAAGCGGAACAAAGTAAATGGTGATGGTTTAACAACACTTGATATCTTGAGAGCCGCAGGTGGAATGTGCTTGGATTTAGAACATAATCTTGTAAAATCAGGGTGTAAAGAGGCGGCTTCAATGCCAAAATCCAAGAAAAGGTCTGATTTTCTAAAATCGCCACTCACTTTCTGGACATACTGCTCCACGGTCATGACACGCCTAAGGTCCAACATTTCAAATGAATCTCGTGGAGTCTTCCTGATCGTATGCACTTTGATAATAACAGCCACTTATCAGACTGCACTCCAGCCTCCCGGAGGTGTACACCAATCCAACGATGAGAATGCGGGTTCCGTGGTGATGAATCAGACATTCTTCATCCTTGTTTTTGGTTACCAACACTATAGGCTTCAGCTGCGCTCTGTTCTACACCTTCTGTCTCTTACCACCTCAGAGTTTGTTTACACTATATATGGTTTTCTTGGATAGGCACATCTCTTTGCGTCTCTTACGCCTTATCAATGGCGGTAATCTCGCCACACCCCATGGTGTTTCTCTCCGCCACAATGGCCTTCTTCCTGCTTTTTCCTCTCTTTCTCTTGTGGGAATTTTTCTTTAAACGCTGGCACAAGACTCATCGGAAGGTGAGGGTGGTATCTGAGCAGACTGAGCCCCGATTTAGTTGCTTTGATTGCTGCGTTATCCTTTGTTGCTTTGATTGCTGCTATAACACTATAACAGCATCGTATCCATAACATTTCCCTTTTGAGAATGCAGATGCTGCAACCCTTAACAGATTATAATTCTCTCTTATGACTTGTGACTTGGAATGTAATGTTCCAACTAGTAATTGGCTTATATCAATATATGGTGTGTGTTTCCATGAGTTTTATTACGCTTCCGGAGTTCAAGTTGCCAGTGGCTAATGAATAAAGTAGTTTGATGCCATGCCAACAAGAAAAAAAAACTACGTAGTTGGCATAGACAGACGGAGTAAACTAATAATGAAATTTGTTACCAAAATCATAAATCAAGAAAACAAAATAAAGGAGACATTACTCACTGTATAAAAAGCTATCTCAATCCCATAAAGAATAAAATGCAAATAAATGTGAAAAAACTTGTTCTGTCTTTTAGCTCAACTGTGAAAACTTTGTCCTCTTTCACAGCATCCTCTAGTGTTATATTAATCACAACTCCTCTAAGCTCTGAGATCCAGCCTTCAGAGATCCAATAAACAATTCAATAAGGTTCTAAAACAATAAAAGGGAATAAACAATCATTAGGGACAAAAATTTAATAACCTCTAAAGAATTCAAAGAAAGACACATGGGAATGGGATCATATTTTTATAACATAAGTCAAATCAAATTAATGTCAAACGTCGAAGCTGAAGAGTGTAGAGAGATTTGTGAGCAAGAGAGGAGTGAAGTCAATTCTGATACACAAAAAAAAAACCTAACAAGAAGATAAAAGCAAACAGCCGAGATTCTTGCATGATACAAAGCTGAAACACTTCAAAAGATTGGATTGGTCAGTAAGACGGTGGAGCCCTGGCGGTTGGGGCCCAAATCACATCAGAGCCACCCATGTGACAGCTGTACATCGACTCTCCACCGCCTCCAGAGACCGGCGGCGATTGACCCTCACCTTCCCTTGTCTCCGCCGACGCCGATTCCCTTTGCTTTTCCTCCGCCGGTAACCGGTGGTATGAGGGGTTGTTGAAACCGGCGGCGACGACGTAGACTGTTCCGGCGGAAAAGAGTGGACCGGAGACGAATCCACCGATGACCTGTCCCTGAGGTCCGGCGAGAGAAACGGTGAAGAAATCGGAGACGGGAGGAGGCAAGGAGGTGCGAGGCGGAGGAGGGAGGAAAGTGGCGGAGACGGAGAGGAGATCGAACTTTCCGTGAAAAGTGATGGTGGAGCCAGGAGCTGCTGGAGAAGGCTGACGCAAGGTGACGTTGACGACGGAGCCGGAGCCACTTAGGACGCAGACGCCGATGGATTTTCGGCGGCAGAAGCGGTTGATGGCTTCGACGACGTCGTTTCCGGAGGGAACTTGGAGGATGTAAGGACTCATAGGAGGCTCCGGCGTGAAAAAGACTGGTGGTTTCGGTTTGTTTTTGGAACCCGGTGGTCTGCCACGTGGACGCCGGACGGCTTCCATGGAGGAGGAGGAGAGAGAGCGTTGTTGTTGAGGGAGCTCCGATAACATTTTCCTCTTCTTCTTTGGATTTTTGTGTGTGGTTAAATGATACAGAAGGAAAAAAAAAAAAAAAGCTGCAGACTTTGTTTGGTATAAAGACTAGTCGTAATCTTCTTGGGAAGTGGTATGTTTTTACTTATTAGAATGGCAAAAAAGTAATAATACCTTTTTTGGTTTAACTTTTAGGATAAGGAACATGGGCTTTGAAAAGCAACAAACTTTAGGATCCAATTACAAGAAATGAGGCGAAGAAATGCTCTGAATCTACTAAAGGCATCGTTTGTAATGATTATCTTCCATCAGAATCTACATGCTTCTGGGAACATACCTTTTGCCATGGAAATGCTCTGAACACAAGTGGGTACAGTCCATGGCATCTTGCTGTTGAAGAATTCATAAAGATAACATGGTTGCTCAGGCTGCATACACGGAAGATCATTAGGTATGGTTCTTAAAGCTTCAAATTTTCTTTAATTTTGTTTTGTTTGCTGAATAATCCATTTTGTCATAATTGAACTGACTGTAGAATAAATGTATGCAGACGGTAAAACTGTTGCTAGAGTGTCAGCTGATGAAGCCGAACGAAGTAAATGGTGATGGTTTAGCATTTATTGATATCTTTAAGAAACCAGGGACAGAGTAGAGACTTGGATTTGGAACAAGCTGTTTTAAAAACCGTGTGTGTTCAAGGAGGATTCTGAATTCTCCTTTATATGCTTCAACCAAGACTTCACAGACTAATCACGCCGGAGAAGGAATCAGCCTCACAAACGCCGGCGGTGATGGGTATTCCGGGGAGAATGCGTCCAAGCGTGGAGATGCAAGACAAGAAAAAAGCCTCAATCAAGGAAGAAGTATTGTATATGTATGATGACAACAAAAAGTGTAAAAATTTATAGAATAATCTCATGGATCTTGCATCCTCTTGCATCTTCTCACTTGTTTTCTTAACATAATCTGTCATTTCAGATTTTATATTCAATGAAATTCAGAAAGCTTTGCTTGAGCTATCGTTATGATCTTCTACTCGCATATGTATATGGTGCAATATCTCTGCTTCCGTATCATCCCATACGGTAGATGGCGATTCCAATTCCGCGAAGAACTCGTTCGACACTAACACAACTTCTCTATATCTCTTGACGGGAATTTTCCATAGCCCTGAGGCTGAGCCATCTGAAAGCTACAGTAAAACGACTTTGAGAATCCAAAGATATAACCTTTCTAACATACATTGAATGGGTCGATGAGTTTCAGGAAATCAAAGTTGTAAAATAGATTTGATACCAGGAAGAAGAAACTAGTTGACATAGACTAGAGTGGCTTAAAGACAGAATTTTCTTAGAAACATAAAAGACAAATTAGTCGCAGCATTTTGACATTAACAGCAAAATCCAAAAAAAAAAACAAAAACAAAAACAAAAAAGAGACATTACTAACTGTAAACTGTCTCAATCCCATAAAAACTACACAATCAAAAGACTTTTGCTTCTTCTTCTCCTTCTCTGAGAGCTAATCCTTTCCGTCTTTTTGTTCGACTGTGAAAACTTTCTCCTTTTTCACAGTCCCTAATGCCATCACCTTTCAAGCTTTGATTTTCTTGTTGGTACTGCAACTCGGGCACTTGTAATGTTTGATGTGCTCAGCCTTAGCAGGTGTGATCTTCACGCACTTTCCATGGAACCATTTCTCACAGGCATCGCAACATATCCAGAACTCATCTCCTCCGTAATTGTCTCCACATGCGCCACAAACCGCACCTTGTTCGTCATCTTCCTCTTCATCTCCGCTGTCATCTTCTTCTCTTGGTGGTGGGGACATCTTTGAAGCCTTAGTGTGAGATTCGGAGTGACGAGGCTGCACGAGGAATCACAAAAGGTGTAAACACAGATAAGATCATAAGTACCCCATCAGATAGATAAATTGAGAAAGAGAGAAAAATAAATGGAGAAACGGAAGCTTCTACCTTGCCACTGCTAGATTTGCTTCTGCTACTGTTGTGGTTAGCAGATTGATCCTTGGCTGGTTTTGCATTGCCAGTTACAACCTCGAAAATGGTTGGGAGATCATTTATCATCTGGAAGAGCCTCTTCCTGAGACAAATTAATAAGCTCAGAGGCAAGACAACTATAAACTGTTTGACTGAACAGTATAAGAAAACAAACACAGTTCTCTGACTTTTCAACAAACTTGTATACAAGATAAGAACTAGGGGCTCACATGAACTTTAAACTTTATATATCTCAATAAAATCTATCAGCCAGGTGTGTTTCACAAAACTTGTGGGTTTATTTCTCTATATTGGAGTAAAAGATTGAAAAATGATAATCCACAGAAACAAGACAACTTGAGTTCAAAGGTGTACCAGAGATTGTTATTATTGCAGATATCATAATGGTCGAAATTATCATAGAACACCGAGCAGAGAAGGGATCTTTACCTCTCATTCTTACCAAATCCGAAACGTGCACCAAAGTAAAAAGCAACAGCGATAAGCCATGAATCACTGTGAACTGCAACCAAAGATATCCAGTCTTTCTCTGGCATTCCGTCCCTTGCAAAGTTGATGCCTAAAGCTGGTTCAGGAAGCTCAGGAGGGACCTCCTCAACGGGAAGATTAACCTCCCATGTCTCATTTGGAAGTCCATAAAGACACAAGTTTTCCTTCTCTGCATACAGTTAAAACAGAAATACACTAAGAAGAGAAACACATACAGAGAACTAACTTCACCTTAGCTACAAACATGTAGGAACTCACAAACACTAAAAAGTTTCCAATCTGTTCAAAAAATCAGGAAATCAAAACTACACCGAGGAGGAATATAATGAAATATAAAACTACGGCCAGAGGAGATAAGAACTAGAACCCTGACAACAACTGTAGATCTGATAAATAGAAACGAGAAAATCTAAAGATACAGAATCAACAGAGCAGTGAGCAAACTCATGAAGCAAAAATGCATTTCCTAACACAAATTTTTCCCTAATTCAAACCAGGAGGCGATTCTTGCAATAAAAACATATAATATCAACTATTCAACGATAAACACTAGCTGAAACCAACCAGAGAAGAATCAATGCGCTACGAAGTTATACAAGATGGGTGACGAAATAACTCACCAGGGTCACACTGATGGAAAAACTTCTGTACATCTGCAAAAAGAAAACCCACACAACGAAAGAAAATAGTGAATAAACCCAGAATCGTCGAATCCCAGCAAAAGAAAAACCAAAACACGAAGACGAAAGCCGAAATTGTTGATTTTTATCTGAGAATGAAGAAAGAAAAAAACGAGCATAAACATAAAAACTCGCAAATCTGTACAAAACACACGGCACACGGTGCTCATTGCTTATTCTCTGAGAAGCAAATAAGCTTAGATTCGAACAAAAGAAACAGAGATTATAGAAATAAAGAGAAAGAGAGATAGAGATCGAAGTCACCTGTAGAGAGAGCCTTGATGAGACCAGCTCGACGACCCCTAAAGTCGCTAAACACCTCTTCGACAGTGCGAGGTATAGGATTCTGAATTCCCTCCATATGCTGCAACCAAGACTTTCACGGAAGAATCACGCCGGAGAAGTAATCAGCCTCACAAACGCCGCCGGTGATGGGTATTCCGGGAAGAATGCGTCCAAGTGTCGAGATGCAAGAGAAGGGAAAGGAAGCCAAGATCGGCTTTTTCCTTTCTATCCTTTTAAGGGGAAATTGTTTACTTTGAATTCCGTATTTTGGGGAGAAGAAACAAATCTATAATCTTTCAGAGGAACTTAATTGGGAAAATTGAGAAAGAAGAGAAGAAATTGTGAAGAGGAGAGAGCAGAGCTAAAGAAGAAAAAAGAAAGAAAAAAAAACCCTAGAAACGAAAAAGAAAGGCGACAAAAGATAATTTGGGGGCTGGTAGGCATGGATCAGATAACAGCGACAATATGTATTGTTTTATTTTTGACACAACATGTATTTTTAATTTTCTTTTGCTACTAAATTCCAATAATTTGAAGACTCCACAAGCGTGTCTAACTCTTATGGAGGCTTAGGCAAATTTTAAAATATATTGTCATTTAATATGTTTAAATATATATTTTCATTTATAATTTATTTAATATTAATATTATTATAGTTTTTTAAACAAAACAAAATTTTAAACATCATAATACTAGTATTATTGTAGTTGTGTCTTAAACATTTATATATAATTACATAGTGTTTTCCTACTATATATAACAAATAAAATCATGTATCTTACATATTTGATTAAAATTACAAAAAAAAATATGACCTTTAAAACTAGAACAAATTTTGGTAGCCTAAAGTAATTGCTTTTTTTTATACATGCACGGCTCTGTCCACAAGTATTCTATTTTTCCTTTGTTTACTTTTGGGTCGACATTTATATGTTTCTGTTTGAGGTATATGCTGGTTCTAGCAATTTTACTGTATTTTTTTGTCGTAGCAATTTTACTGTATTTAACTCTTAAAACTTGTACTACATTATCCATATTTGCCATCAATATAATTAATGGAAAGACTAAAGATAATAAAAAATGAGTTTTAATTTTTTCAAAAATGTATGCCTTTACAATTGTCTTTAATTTTTAAATGTATGCCGTTTTATCATATCAAACAATAATAACTACTACAACGCATACCAAAAAATAAAAATAATAACTACGGATCTGGTTAGGAAGGACTGTTGCTGTAGATTTTAAATTTTGACTGTAATTGTAAAGAATTTTGGCTGTAAAATAAATGGTTGTGACTTTAAAAAAAAAAAAAAGCCACATGTTTATGCTTTTAAAACTTATGTGTGAATTACGTGAAAAAATAGAAAAAGAAAGCTATGAAAAAATTTAGAAACAGTCTTTTTAATTTTAAAAACTATTAAATTAATAAAGTTTGATTGATTAATTAGTAGCTTTTAAGACTTTTATTTTTGTTAAAGTCGTTTTAAAAGTTTATACATCTACTGATCTACATTAGGCGTAAGAAAAGCCCATGTGATGAATTGGACGATATTGCTTTTCCATTGCAGATCAGAATTGCCGCCAAGTATATAAATTGATGCTTTCTCTACAGATAAAAAAAAAAAGAAGATGAAGTTTGTGTTGAAGATACTTGACTTGAACCCCAAGTTACCGGATATTTTGATGGCCAAAAGGATAATAAAACGTCGAAAGTCGAAACCAAACTAAAACATTTCAAAGTACGTAGTTTCCAATTGCTGTCTAATAATTAATTAAATTATTAATATGGTTATAAGATATGGTTAAATTATTAGCTCGGTTTATATGGCCACGGTCCACCCTACATTCTAATCTTCATTCGATACAAGCCAGCACCGATTTTGACTTACATATAAACAGACATTTGATTTCAGCTATAATCCCCAGTATAAGACGAGTTTTAATCGACCATGGTCTTCAGTGGACAAGGCTCTTTTGATAAAATGGTTTACGACATGAAGTTACGTTCAAAGTAAGGACAGACTCATCATTCTGTTAAACATTTAACTAGGGGAGGCGATGAATCAAAATTCAGTTGAAAGATAATGTTTTGTTATATTTTCTTCTCCAAGATCTTCGCAACTATAGCTGTGGCTGTAGCCGTCATGTACGGTGTGGACTTTCTAAGGGGCTTATGTTTGGAATCAGAATCAGACAGCGAAGAAACCCATTAAGGAGCAGAATGAGACACCAGTTGTTAATAAGTTTAATTTGGCTTACCCTCTGGGTCTATTTTTCTTATAATCTGCCACTCTTAATTAATATATGTCTATTTTTCTTATATGTCTAGATTAACAATGCTAGACAATAGCCATCAACGTTTCAACGATCGCGCGATCCAGCCACCACCTTTTTGTCCCTTAACAGAAAAGTTAATATTTTGTTCGTCAACGAAGACCATAATTGGTTACCACTGTTCCATGTCTGTTATCCTATAATCCTATTCTGCAAGAACATAACACAAAGATCATGCAGCGTATTCATAGAGTTTCTCAATATTATGACAGTAAATAGAAGAGAAGCTCATATCATAATCGAAAGGATGCCTATTCTACTATTGAGTTAGAAAACTATATAAATTTTGTAATAGTCCAGTCAATTCAGCAATCAATTGGTCTTAAGGCACATGATAAGCTACTCTACAGCAAAGAAATGGACAATGAGGATGAAGCTACACGAGTTGAAAGGAAGCTTCAATTATAAAAAGAAAAACAAAACGCGATTTTATTCCATTCTGCATGTTGCGCAAAATAAGAAATGTTAATTACACCTGAAGAAAGGTAAAGGAAGCACCATATTACACGAGTTCAGAGTAATCTTCAGTTGTAAAAAGAAAAACCGGTTTTATTCCAATTACTTTTCTGTCAGCAAACACGAAAACTCTCCCTCCGCATGTTTGCACAAAATAACAAATGTTAATCACACATGAGAGTTCAAAAATAGATAAAGGAAGCACCAAATTGTGAATCTTTTGTAACACAAGCATCCACTTTCACAGAAATTCTAAGGATGAATTTCTGGGATATAGAGTGTGAATAGGTAACATGTGGTAATGTTATGAGTGTTAAGCGCAAATTCTTTTTTGATCATCAAGCTTCTTTCCTAAACCGACTGAGCATACATTTTGTTTGTCATCTTCGAAGTTGTTCAGACATGCTGAATGTAAAGATAAACCGATGGCATTATGTTCGAATGAACAAGTAAGATCATTTCCGTTCTTGAAAATAACTTGGGTGTTAGAAAATAACAAATATCAAAACAAAACCAAATAACTAATAAAATATGTTAATGATTTTTATGGAATTCTATAATGTTTTTCATAGACGTGTGTATATTTTGCCATAAGTTACTGCATTAAAGGTCATGTGTAGATAAAATGGAAAAAAAAATAACAGTTGCGTTTTTTATGCAAAAATTCTTGATTGGTTTCTTTGTACTAGTCAAGCCAGTCGTATAATCTTCTCTACTCTAAATTGGAATCAACCAGCCTTAAAAACCTAAACCCAAGAAAGACATGTTTGATTAGCATTGTTTGAAATTGGTTATGGTGTATGGTGTATGGTTTAAAATTCGGTGATAAAGCTTCCTATGCAATTGGGAGTGGTAAATTCATGAAAGGAAGCTTCATGAGTGGTTGTATTGGGGCTGCCATGAAAAGCAGTGACATCATGGCTTCAATCATATAGTAAACGGTTTCGTGGCCATTTAATTTCTATATATCCTAAAAAATGTCAAAAAGGTCTTGAAACGGCAACATTATATCTCGCCGGCGAGTGACGGTAGTTTACCTTCTCTTTTTTCTAGTATTCGAACTTTATATCTCACTAAAAGCAATCCAGTAAATTAGTGATTTCCATCTAATTCATTTGACATTATTAGCTGGAGGGATTCAATGACGGGATCATTGGTGAAACATTTAAGCTGGTGTTGTTTGGGGATTGGCTGAAAGTACTATTTAAGTCATCAACCCTTCAGACATGATGTAGGGGTAAAAGGTTGGAGGTACAAGGCTGAAAAGTTTGTAGTTAAGTTTAAGAAAGTCTGTATGACTCAGTAGTTAAGTTTAAGAGTGTATTTGTTTTGTGACTTTGTTACTAAACTCTGTAATCTTTTGTAAGCTTTGGATGTGTTACAAAATGTTACTTTGTGTTAGGACGCGAATGTCAACAAGAATTTTTTGTTTTGTTTTTTTCAAGTATTTTTGTTTTTACTTCAATTTCTTTCATGGTAGATAATACATCTCTAAATGAATGAGCCATTGGAAATGTAACGAAACAACTCTCTGTTTTATTCATCAAGGCATATTTCCGTCAGTGCCTATTAACTAAGGTTTAGACATGGTCACACTCATCACATTCGTTTTATTAGAAATGCGTTCTGTTTGTGAGTTTCACCATTTCAACTTCCCCGGGAAATACTGCAAAACAAGAGCAAGCGATAAAATCTGCCGGTTAGGACAGAAAACCAAAATCTGATAAAAACTGTAAATATGAAACTTGCATATACATTTTATGTATACATACCTTGTTGATAAGGGAAAGATAGTAGGGTTTCACTTCCTCCACGTTTATACGGAATTTGCTCTTGCTGTAGAGATCGTACTTGTTGAACACTTTCAGCCACTTCATGTTCTCTCTATCTTCATTGTTCATCAAATGCTTGTATGCTTCTGATTTGTGAAGAGCTGCGAGAACAAGAAGAACCCGTGGTTTTATAACCTTGACTCATATATATTTATGGATAGATTTGATCACCAATAGGTCAGTGTTTCAAATACCGTAGAACGAATGGTATCTTATGATGAAAAGACTGGCTGATGGTAATGTAGTCTCATTCTCCTTTGCAACCTGTGAAATTCGGTTATGTAAAAAAAAAAAGAGACTCTTAGGTATCGGGAAATCGAAAACAAATGTTGAGATTGCAAATTACTTACCAGGTACATGTAATCATCATGTCCCCAAGACATGAACACATTGTCGAGCCCACAACCTTCAGTGTATATCCCATACTTAGTGTTGTAACTCGGGTTATCATAGTCTGGATTCTCCTTGAAGTACTGCATCAAGAAAACCCGCGATGGAATTTGAAAGCTCAAAAAAAGTTTTCAAAGTTGTGTTAAGGATCTCTTATATACCTTGTGGTGAACAATAGATTCATCAAAAGCACATCCCACTGGATATGTATCGCCTGCGCCAAAAGTGATGAATCATTGGAGAGAAACAAAACAGATGTTCACAAAACCTAGAGGCAAAAAAAGAAACACACTACTCACCAACAACAGCCCATTGAGGGAGCTCACCGAATGAAGGGTGGAGAAGAACTTTTCCGAGATCTGATGATTCACATACACACCAACACAAGAAAATCATCTAAACCAGGAAACAATTTGTTATATGAGATCATAACAAATAGAAATTTACCGTGGATAAGACCGGTTAGATGGAGCCAGTCTTCATCAGGGTAATCTTTTCTGATGGCTTCAGCTGTCTGAAGCAAATGCTCGATCTGAGGCTCGTCCAAATCAGGATCACTCTCGTCTATAAACTCATTCAGAAGCTCACAGCATTCCCAAATGCTCATCTCAGTTCGGTTTAGCTTCCCGTATGCCTCCCTCATCCGCTTCACGAAGTCAACGGTTTGGCCAATGTGGTTTGTTCTGTAGAAATCCTCCACACTTCTTCTCCTTCCACTCTCAGCATCATAATCCCTTTTTATTTTATTTTAATCACAACAAACAAAATTAATATCGATTGATTAAAGTTTCGATCTTGCAATCTATGAAGCTAAAACCGGAAATTCTCTGGTGTGGATTGATTCTAAAGATGATCAAATAAACAAAGATATTTGAAAAGTTTTCAGGAGAGAATTTTTAATTTACCTGAAGGTGTGACCAAAGGAGTTGGTGTGAGGAGCCACAAAACCTCCATCTAACACATGCTCTGTTTCTTGCTCTTTTACGTTCCCCTGATTCTTTTCCACAATCTCATCTCCTGCATCTACACAAACTCAGATTTTAATCATCGAAATTCCCAAAACTTCAATCCAAATCCCACAAAATAGATGCTGGAATTTTAATCCGAAATTCATGAGGAGATGGTCAAAAGTCTGTAATTATATAAGCAGATCATCTCAAAAAGTCAAAACAGGACAAACTCAGAATACGAAAAAGAGATTAAGGAATCACGAACGGTTTTGATCAGGGTGATGATCGATGTGGATCGTCATGGAGATTCAGATCCAGAAACCAAAAGCTAGGGTTTAATTTGGTGGAGATGACGGCAAGTGGAGAAAGGGAAAAATGATGGTTTATATAGGTGAGAAATGGAGTCCTGAAGTGAGAATAATGGAGGAAGTGAGTCCTTCGCCATTATTTTCAGAACTAGGACTGTCAAAGAGTCCTTCAATGGCAAAAATTCAAAAATTTCGTCTTTTTATTAGTTTAGGGTTTCTCATGCAGAGAAAACAGAGAGGCAAAGAAACAGCTGTAACCGTGGAGATGAGTTAGACAACGACTTGGCGCCTGATATTTTTTTTGATTTTTTTATATAATGATTTTCTTTGTATATGTGTCAGGCTTTTAATTCACTAACTAATAACAATTTATAAAAAATTATTTGTTTTTTCAACTACTTTGACATAATGATTTTGACTTTTGAGTGTATTATAGTTCTTAGGTTTGTGTATATTAAAAAAAAAAAGTAGTGTGTGGAACTGTTGAAAAGAGCAAAATATTTCTATAGTAAAACCACATTTAATTATTTCTCTAAACTTAAATCTGTCGAAAAAAATTAGATATTTCAAAACAAACTTCTGTTCCTAATATCTAAAGTTTGAAATTGTTTTTTATTAAATAAGAAAAAAAAATTGATACGAACCAAATAGAAAGGGAAAATGAAACAGAAAACAAAAGTGCGTCATAATTTTTTCAGAAATAGGCAAATTCTATTCTCATCATATCATACCAAAAATCCATCAAAACTCCTTCGCGGGTTCTACACACGTTCATCAACGGTAAATATAGCTACGTGAAGCAATTTTTGATTTTTAAGGTGTAAAGACCAAATAATATCATGTGGGAGCTAGCTGTTAGCGAAAAATTAAGACTAATAGATTCCGATATTTATTTTTTCATGTTATAAAATCTATTAGTACATAACTAATAATAAACGACAAAAAAAAACGAATAATACACGTGTGCTGAACATGAGCCGTAAATAGATTAAGGAAAGAAGAATCACGTCCCTTTAAGGAAAGATCCGCAGAAAACAAGGAAGCATAACACATGACGTAACGCCTATTACCAGAAAATGACAGTTTTGTCCATCTCTTATCTCGCACCGTTCCTTTTCTTGAGAAACGCAATGAGAGTCTCTATGTATGAGCTGTTGGATTGGATCGGTAGGCTTTGTTTTTATTGAGCCGACGGTGCTTATTCAAGAACCGAGTTAAAGAGGAAAGACGTCTCGATTGTACATTTCTACTTTCTTTCTTTCTCATCTTTAGAATTGTCTAACCAAACAATCCCACAATTCACGGATTGTGCTGAGTCCTCCTTTCTTTATCTCTCCAGCTTTTTCGTATTACAGACAAACAAATTTAATTAGAAATATATTTAGTAAATATCGATTTGATCAATAATTGATGCCTTGACGGTATGACAATTTTGTTAAATGGTTTTCACAATTCTTCACTTGTTTCGTATGTCTTATATTTACACTGCTAATGATTGGCGACAATATATCTGAAAATAATAAGCGATGAAAACAAACACACTTCAAATTTTGATTAGAACTAAACGCACGCACGAATGACTAAAGCAGAAAACAATTTGTACGAGAGAATTTCACCACACTTTCAAATTAACAAAATAGAGGAAAAGACCGGTAGCGAAAATACCAACCAGTCAAAAGCGATTACATTTGCATCTATCTTTTCCTTTTCAAAAAAAAAAAAAATCTCCGCGAATGAAATGGCCAGCCATGATATATACATAAATTGTTCCTTCGTCTCGTCTCATAACCAAAAGTTTGAAATCTCAATAACCTTTCAAAGATATGAATTCTATCATTCTGAGACCAAACTACTTTGAGTTTAGTAAAAACAAGAGAGGCTACACTAGTTAACCCACATTCAATTAGTTAAAAGAGACATCACAACCCATTGTTCTCTTACATGTACATTTTATCTATGAAAGGAACAAGAAATCCCCGGTTACGCCTACACGATATTAACTCCTGGTAACAAAACAACCAAAAAGAGATCAGATTTCGACCCTTTTTCAGCTGTTTGTCATGTTTTTCTCCCTCAATGTATATTATCCAGAAAGTCAACAATAATTACCTCGTTGTTTAGACTGTCAGCATCCATCTCCATGTTATACAATCTCAGTTCATTGGATCTGATGGTACTGTGTGATTCCGCGTTTTGGTGGAAGCTTTCTTAGGATAAAGAGGACCAGAGAAGAAGGCAGTATCTCCACCAACTGTAAGTAAACCAGACAAACGCCCTTTCTTAAGAGATTTTCACCACAAGTTTCATCATCATCATCATATATATATATGCACATATATGGCAGTGCAAGAGCTTGATTAGAGAGCTTACCAGGTAATATATAAAGTTTAGGATGGGGTGATCCAAGACATCAAGATCTGCTGCATCATCGAATGCATCAAAGCACATCTAGACCATAAGTAGATGATGAAATAAAAGCTCTAGTTAGATGTAGCTTCAAAATTTGATCACTAGCAATAGATATTCAGCCAACAAGAAACGATATATTCATATCACGATTATGATGTTTATGAGTTTACCATGATACACCTGATGAGGAAACACGTAAAGCATATGGTTGTCACGTAACCGACCTGTCATACGCACAACACATAAAGGGCGTAAAGTTCCATGAAACGGAAACAGGAAACTTGATCTGTTTAACTTTGTTTGAAAATTCAAGTTTCACCTCTTGCAGCTTCTTGCGCCTCCCTTTGGATTCTACAGGAAACCGTTGCAGCATTAGGAACAGCCTGCGAGGAAATAGTTGTCATAAACAACAAATCAAGGTCATGGGCGCAATTGTCTTCACAACAGTAATGGTGATAAAGTATGCTTAGGCACAAACAGGCTCTAGTAGGTGCCTGCGAGCAGGTTACGGAATTGCTATGTGATATCGTAGGGGTAAACCACGATCTCAACCTCAGCACTCAATGGCAAAAATTCACAATAGCAAAACCGTACAAGCTTCAAGAATATGTTGGAAAAAGGACAGCAATTTAACAGCTTCCGCATAATATCTCCCTAAACGTGAGTTATAGGGTATGATAGATGATGAACATATGTGCAAGTTGCATATCGTTCTCAGAGATAGAAGCCTTATGAATGAGGTTCTGGCAAGCCGGGTTTTCATAATGAGATCAACATCACACTCAATTATGGCAGGACAAAAGATGACAGGTAAGAAGAATATAAACTAAGCTACCATCATGGTGTAGCATATGCAAGTGACAAAAGACTAACCTTCCTCCATATAATAAAAAACCAAGGGCCGCGAACAATGACACGCCTGCAATATACATACATTCACAAGAGGTGAGACATAAAGCACAGAAAAAGAATGTAATCAATCTCTGCACAAGGATGAATTACACGTCAAGTTATACCTGCAAAGAACATCTTAGAAATGATTACCATAACTTGAACAGGCTTCCACCACAATACCAACCAAATAGCAATCTGGAATAATGCAGTTCACATGAAAGATTAGAGCTGGGGAAGGCACATCAATCAGACACAGAGGATGCGAGGCAATTGAAGAACAAGCTCAGGCCCATCGTTCAACTAAGATCAAAGTAAATTTTGAATTTTGAAAATTAAACAGATATTACAAAGGCCACAGAGAAAGATGGTTTCACCTGAACTACATATACAACAGCATTAATGGTGAAGAAACTTGGCCTCAGTCCATCAGTGGATACAGCACGTGCCTGTTGGGACGGAGTAAATATCAACAACAATGCACCAGAAACCAAATTAAAATATATATATATATATAACAAATCAGGTTTTACCTGATAGTAAATTTCTGCCCAAAAGAGGACCAGAAGCGCATACGTAGTGAAGAAAGCAAGACTTGGAATGTCAAGCAAGATATGTTGCAGAATCTACAAGAAACCAAGCGAGACTTGCAAGTTTAGAAAATTCATATTCAACGAGGTGTATCACAATCACAATCGTCAATGGAGAAACCAAACCTCTGGCTGCATATTCTGAGCATCCCGCCGGAAGACAAAAACTAGAGCTCGAACTAGAAAGAAGAAGACAGGACAATCAACAAAAAGATAAAACAGACAAAATCAGAAGCTAACAAGAGAAAAAAAAATCATCACGTTGCACAGAAACCCACCTCCGTTCACCAGGAAATTGAGAAAGTGAAAGACCTTCTGCGTCGTCCAGCCGTATTCTGGAACTCTCAATTGTATTCTCACCAATTGAATCTATATAAAACAAATTGCAACATTATTCCTCGTTCCAATATCTTCGAATCCCTAATCTCTCTCTACATCAAACCCATCTCCTAATTCCAATCTCAAATCTACCAGAAAAAACTCAAGACCATAACGAGACGAAGGCGGTACCACAGCAATGACGGAAACGATTCCGTATAAAACAGCGAGGATATGGAAGATACGATCCTGCCAGACCGGAGATTCATTGACGTCCGACCACCAATTCGTAGCCTCCTTCAGGTTAAGCGCTACCACCGCTGCCGCCGAGTAAGACGACGACGACGACAAAATCCCCGACGAAGAGTGCATCATTTCCAAGCCGCCGGTTCTCATCATCTCAGAGAAATCAATGTATTCTGATTCCTTATAAGATTTAGCTCCAATCTTCTTTCGACCACGAAAAGAGAATCGATCGAATCACTTCTCCTCTCTCCTTCTCCTTCTGTTTAAGTTTTTTTGTTTTTTTTTTTTTTTTTTTTTTCTTAAGGTGTTTATAGTATTCCAGAAATAAGATTGAGAACGACCATGACATGGAATACAGAGAATGACGTGGAAGCAATAGAAGAGTAGATTTTAAAAGTAACTGAATAGAGCCGGTGACTCTATCTCTGGGGACTTGTGGTGATTGACACGCGACGTTGTTGTCATACTTCCACGTGTACGTATACTTGGAAAAGCTAATCTTGCTGGAATTTTTTACTGTTTTTTTCCTACGTTTATATTTGCTATGTATTGTGGACAAATCAATAGAATCATATATTGTACATTATATAACATAGACAGTTTTTTTTGGATAACTCAACATGAACAAACAAATTTACATATACGTTCATTACAACTGATCAACAGAAATCTGTCCATAATGTGTTTAAGTTGTAACACACTAAAAGGTAATCAAATTTCAAAAAAATAGAAATTTTTAATTGAACTAAAATCAAACCAAATTACTGAGAAAAAATTAGCATTTTATAAACACCAAACAATAAATTCATATATTTCACCAAAGATTTATATTCCTCTGGAAGTTTCTTTATCATTGCTATATGAAAAAAAACCTTAAGTTGTCTTTCTATTTACAGTTTTCTTTACATCAATCTTAGAGCCAAGCCCTTCTTCTTCTTATTCTACAAATTCAACCAATTTCCTACTCATCCAAGGAATCATTCTAGAGAATTTCATTGTTCACATAGCCAATCACATATATTATTTCCATTGATATCACTATAAAATCTCATTGTTTTAGTCACTAATTGTCTCAATTACACATAAACAAGTTCGGGATAATCTCATTAGTCAAACACTATTGGCTGGAATTACAAGAGAACTAGAAGATAGCTTTGATAGGCTCTTCAGTAAAGAACCACCAATCCTTAATGCTTTGTGAAATTGCTAAAATAATTCACACAACAAACAAACAAAGTAACTAACCAAAATCAAAATTTTCAAACCCTAATTTAAAAAAAAAAATTCTCAAACCCTTAACTGAACAAATCTATCACCGATAAAAATTCAGAGTCATGCCCTTTCCACCTTAGATTAGTTAGTTTTGGGATTGATTTTATTCTGAAATGAAACCAATTATCTAGTCAATGAAAATAAAAACATATCTACCTTTATTTCTTTTGTTCTCTCTTTTTAATTTTTTTCATATGATTATGTTTTTAGATGTTAAAAAGTAATTGATTAGAAAATATTTTGCATTACATTGCTTGAAAAGAAGAAAGTAACCTCTAAGATGGATCAATCGTATATGATCAAGTGCCCAAAGTATGTACTTGCTTCATCAATCTCATATTTGAAAAACGTTTATGAATAGAAGTTTTCTTGTTTGTTTGTGTTATTTACTAAGTTTGTATATTGACATCGTAACCAGCTTTTAGAGAGAACCAACACTGATTCTTCCTCGTTTTTTTTATCTAAAACACATGAATTTTCAAATGATGATTATGGATTTTGTGTAAATTCAACTAATACAAGTGTAAGTTGTTTTGATGATGTTTTTTTTTATTTACTTACGTCAGCAAGATTTAAATTGGACAAAGTTCTAAACAATAGATGTTTCATTGAAAACATCATTATATATATGATGTTAATTAAACTAATTGCAAGAATGAAGTATGATCTCACAAATAGATCAAACATGAAGAGTTAGCTATCAATAGACTGTTGTTGGGTAAGTGTCTACCAAAAGTGCTATCATGAGTTATTTCATAAGGTTTTAGAGAAGCTATCATGATGGTTTTATTAGCTCATTTTCAGACCTATAAAGTAAATCATGTAAATCATGACTTCTTTTTTTGTAAAACCAAACTTCATTGGTGGCTGATCTTGTACAATTACATGTCTAGAGTTGTTAGACATACAAGAGTTGGGTGTGTCCACTTGGTGAATCGGGTACGTGTGTAGCTTTAAAACAAGCAACAAATTCTTCAATAACTTGGTCTGGTTTTGATTCTCATTTAGATAAGGTAAGGATCTGCTGCTTTTCCATGTTACTCTTTTTTTTTTAACTCTTAGGATATTAATAATATTTATGAGTATTATATATCTCATAAAAATTAGATGAGTATTTTCATACTCTCAAAAAGCTTCAACCCGATCAAGACATGAAAGCTTTGATCTCTTTCTTCAATCACGGATCTTACTTTTATTTATGTATTTATAAACCGATTTGGAGAATGTGTGTGAGAAAATATAAGTACGTCGTCCTATGATCGACTTTTATTTGGCTTCGATACTGAAGTTTTTAGCCATCAAATTTGTTTGTTTATTTGTAACAAACAATAGAATAAACAGAAACCTGTTTTTTTAAAAAAAAATAGAATAAATAAATAAATTAAAGTAAATTGAACTGATACATTTTTCAGATTTTCACTTTTTCCGTGACAGTATATAGAATGAATAAATTTTTATTCAATAATATTCAAATAACAAACGAATTAATGCAGGTAATTAGTTACATACAGTTACAACAATGAACCAATCAAATGGATAAATGTAGAATTCTCGAAACTTTCTCGGACAAAGAGTAGTAATATCTCTTTAATTAACAGCAGTGCAGATCCTCCGGATTTGTCCAGCTGAGCCAGTGAGTGTCTGAATATCTCCCATCTTGATCATTGCAGCTGCGTAATCAGACGCGAATCGAGCTGGGTTTCTGCTATATTCCGACACAATATTGTCTGTAGAAGCCCCGGTTCCGAACAAAACCTGATCGGTCGCCAAAAGCCCTTTCTTCTGCATCAAGTTTCTGTAATAGTTATTGTCGAACGAATTTGGTGTCACTTGATCTAGAGGTGCTAGGGTCATATCTCCACCTTCTACCGGACAGCGACGCTTACGTGTGCTAGAGAATCCGGCATCAATGTCGCTCGAGTTGTCGTAAAGCCTTTGCTTGAACGTGACGCATTGAGCTTGCCCTAAGGTGTGAGCTCCTGCAAATAGAAGTTGCTTGTGTCACAAGAAATTTCTTAAAATATAGTAATTAAAACAAATTAGCGACTAATAAGAATTTTTCTTTTGGGGACTGACCTGAGAGAGCGACGAGGTCTCTAGTGTTGAGACCTTTTCGAAGGAAGAGATCAGAGAGTTCGTCGAGGCTTGCCGTGAAGTTGGGGAGATCGCCGCTGTCTGCAATAGCTCTAAACGCGGCGGTGGAATCTCTCCGACCAACCTTTACTGCGTATCGTGGACCTCCGACCTATTGATGACACCAAATTTACATATTAAAGAATTATTAGAACTACGAGAAAACAAATTGAAAAAGCTGATGTATAATGCATATCGTATGACCTCAATTTCTTTTATCTTTACGTTTAGATGGTAATGTTATAATAGATAGTGTTTCTTTTTTTCTCAAATAAAATACTTTAGAGTTTTAACATGGAGACTTGTAAAAATAAAAGTTGTATATGCAAAATTCAAACACAAAATGGAATGAACAATTCATTCAGTACTTACATAAGATTATGTTAAAAATGAAATATCTATTTCTTACAAATATCAAAAATAAAATTTAACCATGTAAATATATCTGACATATGTCAATGCGTATGGCTATAGATACTGATAAATACTTACGTATTCAGAAGCGTCTCTAGCGGCAACGGCAATGATATCAGCACAAGAAACGACACCAGGACAGACTCTCTCAACAGCAGATTTGGCTTGATCAATAACTTCAAATCCTCTCGCTGATTGAAAGTTTGCTAACGCATCTCTCTCACTCTCCATGGTAGGAGTTGCCACAAGCATGACCGATGCATCACAACCCTACAAAAAAAAAGTATATAAAAAACCAAATACAAATTTTAGAGCGGTCCATGAACACACACGCATGTTAGATCAAAATGTTAATGACATACATTTACGAAGCAATCGTGGAAATGGAGACGGATGAGAGAAGCAGCCATTCTACGTTCGCGGCTGATGGCGGTTCGGATTGAGGATCGGATAGTTGAGAGAGCATTTGGACATCTTTGGTCGTAGAAAGTAGAAGAAAGTTGTGCTTGGCAGAAACAAGACAAGCTTAGCAACAACACAAGAATCTTGAAGATGGCCATTTAGTGTTATTACAAGAAACCTTTTGTTAATTTGTTGAGTAATATAACAAATTTTGTAAAGAGCTAAATTTAGAAGTGATCGATGAATTTGAAGATTCAAATATTTGATGTGAGTTTTAGAATTGAGACGAAATGTGTCTTATATATATATATATATGTGAGCGAAATAGTCAACTGCGGTCCCTTTTAGCTGCGGGAGCGCGTGGAAATCACCCATATGACCTTGTCCAAGAATTGCCTTTTCTTCTTTTAAGATATAATCAAATATTTCATTTTATTTTTATTATTGTGCTTAATAGTGAAACAATATAAAAAAAATGATTACGTTCTTATATTGGATTCAACAATCAGAAGTTAACTAATTGTTTTTTATGATGAATAGAAAACTCTAATATACTATACTATATATGTCTTTTAGCGGATTCAGCCATTAAAGAGTTATAATTTGTTCTGATTTAAGATTTTCTTATTTACGAAAAAGTGTTTATTCGTGGTATAATTGGTTAATTCCCCCTCTTCGTCTTTATTTATACTCTTGCATTACTTAGCATTTGTCAAAAACTGAAAAAGGTATCCGAATTAAGTTTAGATTAATGGAAAGCTGGTCTGCGTTGACCAATCGAAAACTTAGTAAATATAATATTAAACGCGAAATTTTGAAAATTGACTTTTTGACTTTGAAAAAGTAGCGAGAGAATCTTTAATTAGGATAATGCGAGGTCGAATTGTCCATACCATGTCGAGGTTGCTTCTTAACTTGTTCTGCTTTGCTTTCCTCTTTAGCTAAGTTCTCGCTGTTACTTGTTACTAGCGTTAGATAATAGCAATAAACTAGTGACACAACAAAAAAACGAAATTGTAATAAATTAAGAAAGTTCTATACTTTATAGTATAGAATGATAAGGTTAATGATTTTACGTTATATCCTGCGCACAATTAATTAAGTTTTATTTTATAAAAGGTTCGTCTCAACATTTATCATTATCAAAATATACAATATTCAGATTTTCATGACACTATTTTCGGCAGAATAGGTTTGAAAATGTGGATATACTATGGGTCTGATTGGTGAACCAATGGTTAGGTTCGTAACTTTTAAACTGTCAACCAAGAAATCAAAAATGATTATGGTTTTTTCTATAAATCATATACCACTAAAGTTGTGTCCCACTTGCAACCAAATTAAGTGATGAATGATTCGATTGGTAGAAAAAATTACAACGTAAAAGATTTTTTTTTTTAAAAACAGAAATAGAAGCGCTAAAACGAGACCACGGTACTAATTAACGACCGCCTGTAGCGAATTAGCGATCGACATTACAAAAATTCCTAACAAATTTTATCAAAGAGTTAACTAGTGATGAATCAAGTTTGAGGACAAAAGCCTAACGATGGGTATATGTAGTTCGATCAGGAAAATGATGTTTTAATATTATCATTTTATTGGCGGGGAATAATAGATTATACTTTCTAGCCCACAAAGACTCGACTATGTGATTTTAAAGCGAAAAAGGGAATTGACAGCGACAATACATAGAGCTATCTGATCATTTCTATCGCCATTGACCGTGCCTAGATTGCCTTCGTCAGCACCGCGTAGGGCATTGCAAATCTAATTAATCACCCAATTAATAGTTTTTGTTTTTCGCAACAGCTCAATTCCTTCTTTTTTCTGTCAACAGCTCTATTCCATTTATATTTTCTAAAATATATATTACGTCGACAAACTAATTTGGCCAAACAGATCAAATTCAAAACGTGTTTCATTGATTTTTAGACGTAAGTATGGCAATGAACTTAATTTTTTTTTTTCAATGAAAACCTTGTGATCATTATTTTATAATAATGTGCTTCAAAATTTGACTTTTGATTTTCTAGTAGTCAATTATTCGTTTCAAACTGATCGAACTAAATAATTGCTGGTTAGTCTTCAGATCAGAACTTCAACCTATATTATTGTAAGAATAAACTAATCGCTTAATATAATGATGCTTTTTTTTTCTCAATTGAATAAGTTACGTTCTTCTATAAGTTAACAAATTGACAGTTGACCAAAATACAAGGTCAGAACCCAGAAATTATCCTTCAATCCGAAATATTCGTTGGCTAAAATATAATAAAAGCTTAGACATATATATTAATTTACAGTTTTCAACATTGAACAGCGACACAGCGTGAAATAAACCCCTTAGGGTTTGCAACATTCAACATCAAACTCATCAAATATCATTCTTGATCGATATTCCCTAACAATAAAAGATAATCAATTTTTACTATCAGGAAAAAAAATTGCGTTGACCATTGTTCCGATGCATCTCTAAGTGATTTGTCTATATACGTGTTTGTGTGCAATGCATAAAAACTTTTTAGGAGCTCACACCATAGGGCAATCTCAATGCTTCTTGTTCCGGGAGAGGCTCTACGAAAACTCACTGACGCTGGATTTGCTAACACGCGCAAACGTCGATGCCCAACCGTTGGCAGTGATGGGAATCTAGCAGCGTTGGATCTTGTGACACCTAATTCTTTTGACAACAATTACTAAAAGAACTTAATGCAAAAGAAAGGACTTCTAGTAACCGATCAGGTTTTGTTCGGATCCGGTGCAGCACTGACGGTATTGTGTCGGAATACAGCAAGAAGCCATCCAAATTCGCAACAGATTTTGCCGCAGCTATGATCAAGATGGTTAGATGGGTGATATGGAACCTCTAACCGGCCGGCTCTACCGGATAAATCAGAAGGATTTGCAGCTTTGTTAATTAACACAATGCTTGAAAGTGGAAACCTTTGGGTTAACATGCATGCAATGCACTTTATCTCGTTTTTTTACTAAAAAATTGCTTCATTCTTTGTTGTAACTGTTTGTAACTTCTATTGAAATACTTTGACGCAAGTGAAAAGTTAAATCTGCTGTATGTATGTGTATGGTTTGGGGCCTTTGGGCCTAATCACTGTATGTATGTGTATGGTTTTATAGATTTGTGACACGTAGTTGGACAATCGCTAGGTCCACCACGTTTTCGGTGCACCGAACCTCATGCAATATTTACCTCAAAAAAAGGTATCTCTGTTTCTTGGAGCCTCTGAAAATGCGCGACCAATGAGTAAACAGAGCAGAGACGAAGTTTGAATCGAAAAACCTTTTTGTCTTCATTATTTCTTCTCTCAGAAATTTACGGCGAGCCTTCAGTCGCTCTTTCATCAGCCAATTAATTCCCCGAATCTTCTCCGATAACTTCGTGTTATATCTCGCTCACAAATTTTGTTTTGCTACTCGTGAATTAGCGGTAGGGTTTCTTTTGTCTTCTCCTCGACGAGTTTTCCCATTGATTGGTTCATTTGGATCTGAAGAGATATCATTGTTCATCGATCTCAAAAGGGTACTTGTTCGTTTGGTCGATAGATCGGTTTTGCTCGTGGGTTCGGCTTCTGAGAGCACTGGAATTAGTATCTGGATCTGTCTAATTGAAGATTAGTTTTTTTGCGATTGGACTATCGGTATGATTTGATCTTTGGTTGGGGTTGATCATCGTAGCGTGTGTCATTGAGGCTGTTAATGAATATTGCTTTAAGAGAAGAGGAGAATCTGCTTCCAAGCTTTCCGAGTTTTCTGGAATATCTTAGGTTCACAAGTTTGAGTTCCGAGAAGATATCTGCCTCGACCATAAACCCTAGATTTAGATGGGATAAGGCGTTTTGTAAGCTTAAGGGAGAGAATATACCAAATTTGACTTAAGTTTCATTTTCCATCAAAAACTGGGTTGAGAATTCGAGATGGGTTCGTCACAAGGCTCCACACTCTCGGCTGATGTGATGGACCTTGTTGATACATTGCCTGTTCTTGCTAAAACGCTTATCGCTGGAGGAGCTGCTGGGGCATTTGCTAAGACTGCTGTTGCACCCTTGGAAAGGATCAAAATTCTATTGCAGGTGAAATTCTGGCTTTTGTTGATCTTATTATGTCTCCATGGACCTGATTGAATCTATATTGTATTCAGCTTTCATCTGTTTAGCAGAAAATTGGGTATTCTTGTGTTTTTGATGTTTCTTAGTACTTTGGTCATATCAGTAGACGTTTGCTTTGCTGTTCTTCGAATCATTGGTACAGTTTTTACCATTTAATGATTGTCTACCTGTTTTTTCAAAACCAGACAAGAACAAACGACTTTAGGACCCTTGGTGTGTCCCAGTCACTGAAGAAGGTGTTACAATGCGACGGTCCTCTCGGATTCTATAAGTGAGTACCTAAGGTTTTGGCTCTTCTGTTTTGCTGCTTAGCTACTTTACTAAATCTTTGTGGTGCATAACTCTTGCAGAGGAAACGGGGCTAGTGTTATTCGGATTATCCCATATGCCGCCCTTCATTACATGACATATGAAGTGTATCGTGACTGGATTTTGGAGAAAAATCTTCCCTTAGGTTCAGGTCCCATTGTTGATCTTGTGGCTGGTTCAGCTGCAGGCGGAACAGCAGTTTTGTGCACATATCCCCTTGATTTAGCTCGTACTAAGCTAGCTTACCAGGTTTGTAATTTTTAATACCTATCTTTGATAGATTTTTGATGTTGCCTAGCTGAAAATGAAGAATATATTTCTCTTCTGATGCCACTCTTATTGCATTTTAGGTTTCTGACACAACACAGAGTCTCCGAGGTGGGAATGGATTTTACCGTCAACCTACATATTCAGGCATCAAAGAGGTGCTTACAATGGCTTATAAAGAAGGGGGTCCACGTGGGCTATACCGAGGCATAGGTTAGCTCATTAAATTTGCTTGCATTAATGTTTAAAGTTTGTTTCAAATTGATTGAGGAAGTCATTCCATTATATAAAAAAATACCAACTTTATAAGGAATTTCTTAGTTTAATCTTGGTTGATTTAATTGAGTAACAAACTGACTCTTATAACCCTATCTTTATGTGTGTATGCCATGTAATACTAACTTAAAGGTTGAGGATTTCCTGTGTTTTTTGCAGGGCCAACGCTGATCGGCATCCTTCCTTACGCGGGCCTTAAGTTCTACATATATGAGGAATTGAAAAGACATGTTCCTGAAGAGCATCAAAATTCTGTTCGAATGCATCTACCTTGTGGAGCTTTAGCTGGTTTATTTGGCCAGACCCTTACTTACCCGTTGGACGTTGTAAGAAGACAAATGCAGGTAATAATAAACAAACTAGAAACATGATTCAAACTTTGCAAAATTTTCAAAACTCAGAATCTGTCTGGTTTCGTGTGTCAACAGGTGGAGAATCTGCAGCCTATGACTAGTGATGGCAACAACAAACGTTACAAGAACACATTTGATGGGCTTAACACGATTGTTCGGACTCAGGGTTGGAGACAGTTATTTGCTGGTTTAAGTATCAACTACATTAAGGTAACTCCGGTATAAAGTTTTCAAGTGTTCTAAGCCAATGACTCCAAGTAGTCTCAATCTGGGTCTCCAAGACAATGACTAGTCATGACTCGTTGATTTGTCTTTGTTTGTTAGATTGTTCCGTCGGTTGCCATTGGATTCACGGTGTATGAGTCAATGAAGTCGTGGTTGCGGATTCCACCACGGGAGAGATCAAAACCAGCATAAGGGTTTTGTTCATTTGATCCTCTTAGAGCAGACACAGAAGAAGACAAAATTTCTTAGACAGTTTTTTTTTTCTCTTACTTTCTCAGGCGAATTTGCCCCCTATTTTTCCTTCATTGTGATAATATTCTTTTGATAAATTAAGCAAAAAAGGTTATATACATCTGTTATCAAATACACAAATGATAATCTGCTCCCTATTTTCCGTCGACTCATGTGTTGTGCAGCCAGGTACTCAAAGTACTATCGACGTGTTAGTATAATATAACAACGTTATGATTCCACGATTCCATATGATTAAACTCTTAATAAACTGGGGACAATATCTTAAAATGAACTCGATAGTTACATTTAATTGATGTGCCACTTTCACATGCGTATGCGTTTTGGAAATGTCATAAGCAACCCCACTTTCCGGCCAAGATACTTGACTAGACGTGGGGTTATAATTGTCTTTTCAGTGACAAATCCGAGATAGAGAGAGAGATATATATGCGTGTAATATTTTTGGCAGTAAGATCAAATTCAATCGCATGTCGTTCCTTCTTCTCCTCGCGCAGGATTCGACTCCACTGTTTCTTATTTAATCCGATCTTCTCCTCTTCTTCTGGGCAAGTGCGATTCCTTGGTATAAATTCTGGGTTTCTCTTATTTTCCCAGATCATTCGGAAAAAAACTCGTCTTTTTTTGGTTTTTCTCAGATATTTGGGGTTTTTCTTTTCTCAGGGTTTGTCGACTTTAGAAATGGAGGGAATGCTCTCTTCCAGTGACCAACAGAGATTAGTCTCTTCCTTCCTTGAGATCGCTGTCGGGCAGACATCTGACACAGCTCGGCAGTTCTTAGAGGTTCGCAGATTGCTCCTTTGCTCGAAACTGGTAGATTTGTTTTGTTCTAGGTGCTATAGTCAACTGATGTGATTGATGTGAGTGAACGTAAACTTGATTGAGCTTCTGGTTTATTGGTTTCGGTGTCTAAATTGTTTGTTTCGGCGTTATTTCAGCTAAGGGCTTAGTTAATATGGAAGAATTTGGGATGTCGAGTTGAAACCCTAGAATTGGTCATCCGAGCAATTTGATGAACACTCTGAAAATGGTTGTCAAAAGAAGAAAATGAACACTGAAAATTTGGGTATTCGAGTTGAAACTTAGATTGGACGCAGAGAGTATTTTTGTTTTGGTAGTTTTCGGTTGATCTGGATTTTGGTGTTACAAGATCTCTGTGCTAGAGAGTAGCTTGAGTTGGTCGCTGTAGCGTTACTGTCTGCATTGTGATCGAGGGTTTATGTGATGAGATTGACTTGGCGTTTTTAAAATTCTTTGTATGATCATTATTCTTCATATGACCTGTAAGTAACTCATTTGAGCTGTTCTATCATTTCTGTCTAGAATTTGTTTTGTGTGGACTGATTGGTTGGTTCCATAATGAGTAAAACGTTGTTGTTCGCGATTCACCACCCTTCTATTTGTTTGTTATGCTCTCTTCACTTGTGTAAAACCACTAACATAGTAGATATTTTCTTTCAACAGGCGACAAGCTGGAAACTTGAGGAAGCTATTCAGCTTTTTTACGTTGGAGGCGAAGGTGGTATGCTTCCGTCTGGTACACACACTCAGCCAGCGTCCGACGATCACATGGCTGCACAATCTTGGGGGTATGATGATGTTATACTTTGTCCTTGTTAAGCATCATTCATTTTGGTTTGTTAAACATGTTGGTTTGATGTTATATTCCATAGGGCGGCAGGAAATGAAAGGATACAGCAGAATGATGTAGATGAAGTCCGTCCTCCTTTGCCTGTTGTGAGGGAGACTCTTTATGGTGGTGACTATTATGGGTTAGTCTATTTCTCTCATCTTTGTTTTTTCTTAAACCCGTACCATGTCTCTTGGTTGAAGATTTATCCTCTGAGCTGCCTCTGCTGTAAGTAGGTCGTAGGTTAGCCCATATTTCAAGTGTTTCCCCCTCACTGGTTGTGATTACTTAGGATCCTCGATTTTAGAGCCGTCCTTTCTAGTTTCTTAGTTTAGGTTTTTGTCTAGTTCACCTATGTCCAGTTTTCAGATTTACTGTTGTTTCAGTTAGCTCTACTCAGGATTCGTTTCTAGCTTTAGTTGATGCTGTAAACTCAAATGAGACCTGGGTTGATATGCACTTGGCTCTAGTCAGTTGCTAGCAGATTCAGGTTCTGGCTCTGTTGGAATCTCAGATCCTGGGGAGCATATTGCAATTGCTTCTGCAGGTTGATCATCCCAAACTTCTCTATCTTAGTTGTAAAATCACTCAAGCAGCTAGCTAAAAGCCAGTTTAGTCTTTCATCCTTATGGTGCTTATTATAACGAACTATGTAACTCAGGTAGAGAAGTGAATCACGTGCCACGGCTGTACTTCGCGAATAGATGTGTGTTTCATCTGTCATAAGCCCACTAGAGTCAGCATCTGCATTAATCATAACCCAATTTATGCCCATATCGGTTATATTGTTTTGTCCTGGTTATGCGGGATGTAGCTCTCATAATTAATTCACTTGCATTTGTGATTAGGGCTATGAGATTGGGAAACTCTCAGCCTGAACCTACTTCTTTAATTGCTTTCCGTAACTTCAATGAAGAGCCGAAAAGCCCGGGAGTTTGGGAACCAGATGAAGGTGCTTCCTCTGCCTCAGCCTCAGCGTCTGTATCAGAGACAGCGTCGGCTCCTCGGGATAGCTTGGCCTCATTGTACCGTCCCCCTTTTCATCTGATGTTGCATGGCTCGTTTGAACAGGTTCTCTACGAAGTTTCTTGCTTTGTTAATTGCTTGTCTGCTCTCTTACTCTAAACCTCACTGTATGGTTTTCTGTTCAGGCAAAAACAACTTCTTCTTCTCAGGATAAATGGCTTCTTGTCAACCTCCAATCTAACACGGAATTCAGCTCTCATATGGTTACTCTCTAAAATTTCCTTTTTCTGGATTTCTTTTTGACGTTCAATTCTTTTGAGTTTCAGATATTTCGTTTTGGTTGATATCTCGTTTTTAGAAAATAGACCTTCAATTTGAAGGACTTTCTAAGTAATTGCTGCGGTTTGAGTCGTTTTATTTCCTTCTCGGTTTGGATTTTATTGTCTCTCTGGTTTGGTTTTTTGTTCCAGTTTTGGTTCGTTAGGATCAGTTAACAGCACTCACTCACTCGCATCCAATTTTTTTTCTTCTTTTCTCAAAGCTAAATCGAGATACTTGGGCAAACGAAGCTGTTTCTCAGACTATCAAAGCCAACTTCATCTTCTGGCAGGTTTAGTATAGAACCTCCCCCTTTTTTAAACATCCACGTGCTTAAACTGAAACTCTCTTTACATGATTGATTGAAATAAATCCTTTTCTGGTACTAGGTCTATGATGATACCACGGAAGGAAGAAAGGTTTGCACATACTACAAGCTCGAATCCATTCCCGTGGTGCTTGTAATTGATCCTACGACTGGTCAAAAGATGAGAATGTGGTGTGGAATGGTTGAACCCGAGACTTTGCTAGAGGATTTAGTGCCGTTCATGGACGGTGGTCCTCGCGAACACTTTGCTTCTCTCTCAAAGAAACGTCCAAGAGGCAGCTTCTCATTGACACCTCATTCCAAATCCAAAGGTTAGTTTTTGAAACTTTTCTGCAACTTCAAGGTCTTGTCCGTTGGAAAATTTACTGATCGATCTCTTTACCTGTCTTGTTCCTCTAGAGGATGCTGCAAAAGATGGAGAAGAAGAAGAACTGCGACGAGCATTGGCTGCTTCCTTGGAAGACAACGGCATGAAAGTGTCGTCAGATGATAAATCACCAATAACGCCTGAAGCAGTAGCGGTAGAAGCAGTTACTTCCACGGTGCTGCCAACATTCCCACCTCTGCCGGAAGAACCAAAGGGAGGCGATCCCAGCGTTCGATGCAGAGTCGGGATCCGTTTACCCAACGGACAAAGAATCCAGAGGAATTTCCTCAAAACCGACGCAATTCAGGTCTGCAAAATCCTAAGAAACAACGTTGATTCTTGTACTCTTTTTTATTTGTCTGAGATTTTCTAAGATTTTGTTGTTGTCTCCATTGTAGCTTCTCTGGTCTTTCTGCTATTCTCAGCTTGAGGAATCAGAGAGGAAGAAGCCATTGAAGCTAACACAGGCGATTCCAGGTGAATCAAAGACGTTGGAGTATGAATCTAACTTAACCTTGGAGCAATCTGGTGTTGCCAATTCCATGATCTCTGCTACGTGGGAATGACAAAATCATATCTATAAAACTTTATATGATGCTGTCTCTTAAGGTTTATCAGATTAGTTATTTAAAATTCGACTTTTTGAAGAAAGAAAATCTATGATATTTAATTTGCAGTGAATGGAAAAATCATCTCTTATTGGATTTTTTAAAGGTTTCATATTTGTTTATTCCACATAATAGTGGAAATTCGACATTATTAGATTCAATAAGCTTTCAAATCTCTATTAATTTATGACTTTATGACTAAATGGTCACTATGATTCTTAATTTGGATTTAATAATCTCTTGAATTCTATTAGCTTAGTTTGGTTGATGATTCTTAGAGTGAAATGGTCACCGATGCTTTTGTTAGATTCAATAATTATCTAAATATCTATAATCTAGTTGAATGAATGATTTTTAGACTAATCGGTCACTACTATGGTGCTTATACTAGATTCAATAATCATTTAAATCTCTATAATCTAGTGGAATTAATGGTTTTTAGACTAAACTTTCACTATGCTGCGTTTTAAGTCTCTTATAAATTAACTGGATTAATGATTTTAAGACTAAACTGTCACTATGCTTATTTTAGACCACAAACAACAAGCAGCTGAGTTGTGAAGCTAATTAAGGTAGAACGCAACGCGCACTTGTAGCGCGTAAATTACACGCTTCATGCAGTGGATGTAAGGCGCGCGTGTGGATAAATTTTACGAAGCCCAAAATGTCCGTTTCACTTTCACGTTTTGCTCCAAGGAGACCCAAATCCAAATGTCTTTGCAGCTACAAGTGGCATCTTTAAAAATTATTAGAAAAATGAAAAGAAAATTGGAAAATTTTAAAATACAATGCACTTAAAATGAATTATTCAATGAGTTAGTTGGCATAAAAAAGGAAATGAAAATACAATGAATTAGTTATGAAATATTTATTGTATTTACTGTGATATTAATTGGTTTTTACCTTTTTTAGTAGAGAGTAACAAACTTTGGCATTCAGTTAATACATAATAATATGTGTCATACATTTGAGCACACGTGTACGATTAAGATTTTCATTATTTCAATGTAAAATGTCATTATTTATATCTATATTTACATGTGAAGTATAGCTACTCTTCAAAAATAACAATACTTTAATGTTTATTTAAAAATTTACCAATTATATTGACAGGATATTAATAGTTTTCCAGTTATTAATGAAAAGAGTCTTTAGTGTTAGTCATAGTGTAATACTCATTAATACACATTAATACCATCACAAACTGGAGCACACGTGTACAACTGAGTTTAACTGTTTTAAATGCAATTGTTTGTATAAATGTAATAATTATATGTTGACCAAAATGTTAATAATTATATTTTATCTATAGAAAATATAGTGTTTTGTTTTTATCCTATTAAACATCATTTCAAAATGGTAACGCCAATAGATATTTTGTGCTTCCAAAATATTGTGTAAAAAACATGTAAAAAATAACTATAACTATAAAAATAACTAACGTTAATCAATACTAGTTACAATAGTAAATCCTAAAGTTATTTTAAACCTCGACTGAATCAAATGCAAAATCAAATTGATAAATATGCAATTCGAACACTGAAAAATATATACATATATCCGGTCTTGATATTTATTATACTATTCTAGTAGACTAATTAAATATAAGTTTTAGTTACATCAATGAAATAATGTTTCATCGTATATTTTAACTTTGAATATTAGTTTACATTTATAATCACCTTTAACAAAGGTATATGAAATCATACATTACTTTATGACATAAGTTATATGATGGAACAAATTTAGTAATATTTTTCTCGTCTACTCTGATGGGTAGTACGTAAACTAATATTCGGTTAAAAAAAAAAATAGAAGAAAAGTATTGAAGGCTTTGGTTGTTTAAAGACAAAAATCATGAGTTAAATGAAGAGAAAGAGAAAGGTTTTGTCTTAAAGCCATCAGAGAGACACGAGAAAGAGTCTGAGGTGGCCCCCTGACCACACCCGCATGTGCCCACATTTCACCGTTTTACAATGACACCCAAACCGTAACCTTCCTCATTCTTTTGAAACCCGAATTATACTAAGGTTAGCTTTTAGATTGATTTTATGCTGCAATAGCTAAAGGAAATGCAATTTACACATTGGTTTTACGACACTGTGATAATAATATAAAAATACAGATAAATTAACAATTCTTTTTTAATAACAAATAAACTTATAATAAAGCGAAATTCAAATTAATCTTTTCAAACTTAATAAATAGAAGCGTATTTTAAATGTTTCAAATATTTACCACAGTTAAACGGTGTTAAATTAAAATGGGATAATCTAAACCATAGTTCTGCTATTCTAAGATAAAATTTACAACTAATAAAACGTCATTAATCGGTTACTAAAAATTTCTCATAATTTGTTCAATGTTAAAAAGAAAAGTCCGTTACTAAAAAGAAACGTATCGAAAATTTATTAGTTTCTTTTTGAAAATAAATTTCTTTCTTTACTAGATAAAAAAGAGAAAGGGACTGTAGCTATATATATTTTGAAAATATACAAGACTCAATCCCAATTATTACAAGAGAAGAGCACCAAAGCAAAACAAAGCAAGAGAGAGAGGTAGGGTTTTTTAAGAGAGGTGTGAGTATTTGTTTATTTTTAATATATATATTTGTCTATGGCTTCTTCTTCTTCATCTTTTAACATTATCATCATCATCTACTTGGTTTCTTTCTTTGTCTCTGAGTTTTAGCTTTTTATTGACCTTTTTCTTCTTGGTTTCTTTCTCTGCATCTCAAGACTTAGTACAATAAAAAACCAACTTATACTATGTCTTCTTTCAAAAAATTACAAATTAAATCAAACTCTTTGGATTTATATTTGTTCTCTTTGTTCTCGTAAATGTCTTCTAGTGAATTTTTTTTTTCTTTTCATGTCGTCAATCTCTATGGCGTCTTCCTGTTCTTCTAATTCTTTGCTTTCGTTGTCTTCTGAATCATGTTTCATTTCTATCTTCTCTCTCATTTTTTAAAATTATTTTATTAATGAAACTTTGTAGATTAAGCTTAAGCATACCCTGAGAAGATGTCTTCATCGTACAACAACACAATTTCATCATCCTCCACTCAGTCTTTCCTCCTCTCCGGCGCCGCCATCGGAGCAAACAACTTTAACCGTGATGAGACGGCGATGACGATGATTCAACAACCCAACTCCGTCGCTCCAACACCACCACCCAAGAAACGAAGAAACCAACCCGGAAACCCAAGTAAGTACCTCTTATTTATATTTATTGTTATACATAAGCATATAATATGTGTGTGTGTGTTCCAAATTCCAAAAAATGAATCAATAAAACCTCAGTGAAGAATTTTCCTTTCAGGAGGAAAAAAAATGAAATATATGAACCCTAAACTTGATTCCTTTTTCATTTGTTATCATTTTCGAATTTCAAGAATTTAGATTATCATCATTCGATCTGATTAGATTATATATTATCTTAAATTTATCGTGCTCTTGACCAAATTGCTATTTTTTTTGCCTTTTAATCGAACAGATCCCGATGCTGAAGTGATAGCGTTGTCTCCAAAGACGATAATGGCGACGAACAGGTTCATATGTGAAGTATGCAACAAAGGGTTTCAAAGAGAACAGAATCTACAGCTTCACCGGAGAGGACACAACCTTCCATGGAAGCTGAAACAGAAGTCTACCAAAGAAGTGAGGAGGAAGGTGTATCTTTGTCCGGAGCCCTCGTGCGTCCACCATGACCCGTCACGTGCTCTCGGAGACCTCACCGGAATCAAGAAGCATTATTACCGGAAGCACGGCGAGAAGAAGTTTAAATGCGAGAAATGCTCTAAGCGTTACGCTGTTCAATCTGATTGGAAGGCTCACTCTAAGACTTGTGGTACCAAAGAGTATCGATGTGACTGTGGTACCATCTTCTCAAGGTGAGCTATCTTTCTTGATCCATTCAATAATTTTGTTCATATTATATAAATCATTTCAAATGAGAATCGGTAAATTCTACCATAGATGATATAGTCTCGTGGTTATCATTTTTTTTTGGTTGAAATTGAAATCAATTTTTTTTTTTTAAAACTGCGATTTTACATGTCGGCTCTTACTAGTACTCTAGGCTTCTGCTTGAGATTCCAGTTAAAAAAGATGTCGGTCGGTGAATAGTAAATTTGCTAACTAATGATTATGTAAACTATAGTGCATGAGTGTGGTACCTTCTTTATATACATATTGACTTGTGATTCATGAAATCTATGCATATAGAAATCATCAGCTATATTGGTCACGGAACATCATATTTCCTACATAGGGACATGAACATATATGCATATATACACATAGGATCTATCAATCTATTTGTTTGGTTGCTGATGAGTAGAGAAAGAGAGAAAGACAGTGAAGGAGAAAGGAGAAAAATAAAAGATGCTAAATTTGGTCACATGTGAGTTGGATTTGTTTCCATGCATTCCCACTTTTGTTTTCTTCTCCTTCACCTTTGCAGGTTCCTCTTTCCATGTAACTCCTCCTCTTGTGGACCCCGTCCCCATTTCTCTCTCCTTAATTTATACTGTATTAATTAGATTAATTATATTTGTGCTTTGTGTATAAAGAGTGGTTGGTTTCATTGTTTAATCAATGAACTTTATGGTCAGCGTGATAGAGTAGGAGTAGTTGATGAACACTTTACATTTTTAGGGTTTTATATATCTTTTTATTTTGTTGATTCTGGTAAGGGATTCTTCCTCTTCTTTTTTTTATATTGTCGATATACACATATTGACTTTATCTAAATTACTTTTGCAGAAGAGACAGTTACATTACGCACAGGGCATTCTGTGATGCACTAATCCAAGAGACAGCAAGAAATCCTACCGTGAGCTTCACGGCAATGGCAGCATCCGCTGGTGGCGGCGGGGGCAGACATGGCTTTTACGGTGGCGCTGCTTCTGGTTCTGCTCTCTCTCACAACCATTTCGGTAACAACTCAAACTCCGGTTTTACCCCTCTAGCTGCAGGTTACAATCTGAACCGTTCATCTTCCGAGAAGTTTGAGAACTTCGTTCCTCAGTCCACAAACCCTAATCCCGGCCCTACTAACTTCCTCATGCAATGCTCTCCAAACCAAGGATTGTTGGCGCAGAACGATCAGGGTCTCATGAACCAGCACGGTCTGATTAGCCTCGGTGATAACATCAACAACAACAACAACAACAACAACTTGTTCAACCTCGGCTACTTTCAAGACAACGCTAAGAACTCTGACCAGACCATTGTTCCTCCCCTTTTCCCCAGTGGTGCTGATAACAACGATCCTTCGGCTTTGCTTAGAGGGTTAACTTCTTCATCTTCCTCAAGTGTGGTCGTCAATGACTTTGGAGATGGTGACAATGGAAACTTTCAAGGTCTCATGAACTCTCTAGCTGCGACATCTGATCATCAAGGCCGGTCCGGTAGCAGCCTCTTTGACCTTCACTTCGGAAACAATCTTAGCATGGGAGGCTCTGATAGGTTGACTCTGGACTTTCTTGGCGTTAATGGAGGAATCGTGAGCAACGTCAATGGTCGTGGTGGTCGTAATGGAGCTCCTTTGGACGTTGATATGAAGTTTTCACATCCAAATGATCCCTTTGGAAAAGCTTGAGATGGATACATGGTGTTGCTGGGCTCCTCGGACTGGATAATTTAAGCTTTCTTTCATTTGTCGTCTTCATCTATCGGAACTGGATAATTATCTCTCTTAAGTAAGGATTTAGGTTGGGATTTTCAGTTTGCGTCTATCTATCTCGCTATATATCTATATTATTCTATGTTTTAATTATATAATAATGTCATGGTGGGAATCTCGAACCGGGGTTCCTTCACTAAAATATGTATTATCTAACCAGTTGAGCCAATTATATTAATTATCCATTTTCTTGCAAATTTACTATATAACTTAGTTTTCGGCCCAAAAAAAAAACTATCTATAACTTAGTTTTTTTCTAAATAATATAAATCTGCGAAACATCATATAATTTGTTACAACATACATTTGCATGTATCATGTGACTTAAATTTAAACAAAACTTAGTTATATAAAGCATATGAAGAAATATATGAAAAACTCCCACATCACATGTAATGATATTTTTTTTTAATTCTCGCATAACAAATGAATAAATTTCTTGATAGGTTCATATAAAAATTATATATCCCACGTTGCACATGCAAGTTATGCAGATTTCGAGAGAGATATCTGTCTATAATAATACGTCAACGGAACGGATAATATTCCAACAAAAGCATAATACAAACAGAAGCATCCAACATTCCAACATTATTCAAGTTCGAGTCGTAATCTAATATTTTTAAGATATAAAGTATTGTTATAATTGTCAGATTTGTTGTAATATGTATTAAAATATACAATAGAGAGATGTTCGGCCACCTAATACAAAACAACGCAGTCGGTAAATTGTAGTACATATAAAACGTTATCTAATAATTTGATCAGTAAATACTTTGATTTTTCAAACATCTAATCGACATAAAATAACTAACACAAACGCCATTAGTTTGACTGGTTAGAGATGTTAAATTCAGTTGTTTCGTATATATTGCAATGTTTAGAAAATATGAATTTTCACGAAAAAAAAAAAGAAAAGAATAGTGGTTGCGTACCCGTCAAACATTCCTGAAGTTAAAAAGGAAAAACGGTGTTGACATTCTGAAGACATAACTTAACTTTGTTTCTTTTGGTCTTTATTGTTACTTTTCCGACGTTGACTCCACCCAGCGCACACACTCCATTTTCTATATATGTTTCAATCCGACACGATATATATAGACAAATGTCATAGTGTATCCATGCTTCTTATTTAAAGGGTTATGATTTATGAAGTATATAGGCTACAAGCCTACAAAACGTAATAACTGAAAAGTACTTAAATTCTGTTTGAACTGGTCCAATTTTTTCCCGTGGTAGCTATATTGAGAGTCGTTTATGAATTGATTGAGAATGCTTTTAGTCTGGTCGGTGTAGATTTATATTTATACACAATCAATTCTGAAATTAGTTAAGATTTTAGCTCTGTAGAATTGCTTTTACGTTAATCTACGAATTTAATATTTTGGAGGTTTAATAATTAATTTATTTCAATGTTTGATGTTATTAAAAACAACACTGCATTGGCTAGCCCTGACTTCAATAAAACCGCAAGTAAAAGAGAAATATGGACTGTTTTACACCTTTTTTGTCAAATGTGTGGTTTTGCTTTATAAAATTAAAACACATTAAAATAGGCCCGTAAACCCATACTTGGTCAGCTTGACCCGTTTTGTACACTAATAAAGATTAAAGAAGACACTTTAAAATTTACGTTGGCTATAGTGGAATCGAGAGTACTGATCAAAGTCTGAGGAGGATTTTGATGATCAAATGTAGATATATATATATATATATATAATATATATAGTATAGTGGTGATTGGAAAGATATTTTTAATGTAGAGGGAGAAAAAAAAATGGGAAAGCATGTGAATGGTAGACTTGTCGTTGACGTGGAATATCAAATATGCCCGTGAAGAATATATTGTCGAGAAAAAAATTGATGAATAGTTGAGTACCACAAATGCTTTGAGATATCTTTTTCTCCTTTGGTCGTTGGTCCACACCATTTACGGGCAATCTCGAATTGGGCCCTATACACAATCTGCATACACACATATAATCATGTACGTATATATTTACTTATGAAAACTAAAATTTAAGTTTCGACGTCGGTCTAGGAACAAAGAGTGGGGTAGACACATTTTTATTTTATTTTCTTACAAATGTAGTGATAACAGCATCTAATTTTATGACGAACTTCATTTTCGTAAAATTCTTCATTAATTGGTCATAGTATACAACTAAAAAGATTCTTGCTGGAAAATAGCGATGAATTTGCAATGAAATCCATAGACCAAAAAAAATAATATGACCGGAGACGAAAATCACCTGCTTTTTTTCACGTACGAAAATCAATTACTTGTTAAAATAAAATCACATGTTTTGTATATATAAAATCTTTCGTGATAATTGCTAATATTGATTTAAGTGGTAAACAGCCTATTGTTGGGGTGCAATTGGATCAGACTCTACAGACATGACCCGGGGACCGTTGGATATATAGAACTCTAGAAGACACTGAAGAACATGCCATGTTTTATAAATGGTATAATATATCATAAATATTGATTTTAAATATTTCAAAGAAAGGAAAAAAACAAAATGTTATTTTAAACTGCAGTTTTGTTGCTTTTCTCTTTAACAAAAAACATTTTTTTGTTGCTTTTTCAATTTTTACAGGCGAGAATAGTAACAAAACCGCAATTTAAGAAAAAGTCGGAAATAAACTGTAACGAAAAAAGTGAGACTCGGTGAACTTTGTGTTGTGATGATACGCTATATTTTATTTTCCCGCAGTTCTCGTTTTTATTAACTATGATTATTATGTTTTTGTAAATAGGTTGATAATAACATATACAGTTTTTTAGTGCTCTTTGCTAAAACGGGAAACACAAACGGTTGCTTTTGTCTAACTATGCTAAAGTGTAACCACTCGTCATGTTAGTTAATAATACGTTGATTGCTCGACAAAACACTTATCGTAATTCATCAAACAAAGTCATTTTAAAATTCAGATCTGGTATGACTGCACTTTTATAATCAGTTGGTCTGAACTCATTTAGCTCATATAACATATTGTTTATTACAGTTGGAGATTTTAGACCAAAACATAGACAAATTCTCAAAAGTATATATAACCATAAAATTTATAGTGGCAACAAAATTTTATGTAATAAAGAGGATATCTATCGTTGGTTAGGAAAACAATAATCATTGCACAATAGTCACATACTTGATATAATCATGATGTGCTATTATAATGATTTTTACTATTCCACACAGATAAGCGAATTTTCTAATGTAAGCTATAAAATTCAATGAAAGGGAAGTCACAATTATATACGTTTATGTACGAAGAGAGATGAATGTTGAATTAGGATATACTGTTGATTCTAGGCCGTTAAATTTAATTTTGATGGGGACAAGACAACCCTTGTGGATATGACAGTGTTAGATATATAGATACATGTCGATACATACACCAGCATGGCAATTGGCAAATTATATAAAATGTGAATAGATTTTAGAAAAAGGCATTACAAGACAAACACTCGTGACATAGCCAGCTATCCTTCGTAAATTAATATGATGACAAGTGAAATGAAATTAGCGAATAACAAAAACGTAAATGTACAATAAATTTGGAAAAAATAATAGTACTACTAAAGAAAAACACACACGCACACTAAAAAAAGCTGCTACTACCCTCTCAACTCTTTACTGCCCTATGCAATGATATGACAATAAATGTGACAGGCCAAAAAAGTCCCAAGTTTTTTTGGTTTGTCTGTCCAATAAAATGGATATCAAAATCCAAGAACGATAAATTGACATCTTCTTTAATCAATCGTTTTTTTTTTACTTTTTATTTTTTAGTAATACCAACGACTATTTTATTTTTAACCACGATTAGTATTTTAAATATACAAGAATATTATTGATTACCTGATATAGATTTCCAACTAAAAAGTGATAAATATTTTATTAAAACATTAAATAGGTATTGATTTCAAGGGCCAGTTGCGAACTTTGAGATAACTTCTTTCACAGATGGAGTAGTATTTTTGTCTTTTATATTAACAAAAAAAGTTGAACAGAAAAAAACATTTGGCGAACTCACACACATCCGAAAAAGCCTGTTGAGTCGGGAACTATAGCATAAACTAAACTAAGAACAGCTATTGAACTTTACTACTATAATTTCAGCTATTTGTAAATTAGTTGAAACTTTACAAGTCAACAACGTTACACCATGTTATGATGTTCAACCTAAAAACCCGCGTTATGGAGTCTAAACACTAGACGACTCGTCGGAGAAGCAGATATCCTGCTTCTATACCGAGAATCCAACGAATCCAAGCTCTCTCCGGCATTGTCACCAACGCCGAGGAAGTCTCTGGTCATATTCTGCTTATCAACGTTTTAAAAGAATTCATCAAATCTTGAAGACTACTCTCGTTGTCCCCATAGATCGTTGCCGCATCCAAACGACCAAAGCTTCCTAGGATTGACGTCGTTTAACCTATTTTAGCAAGTTTCTGAAATGTGAGGGGTAAAATTGGTATTTTGCATTGATGACCTGAAGAGAGAAGGCCCTGACTGAGCTACCTTCGCCGCCGGAGTTGATTCTGTCCGCCGAGGACGAAGATCGAGTGTAGTAACTGTGTTGAAAAGGTCAACACTTGCGAGGATGGGCGTATCAGTGTCATGATCTTGTCGATGAATGAAAATTGAAAACTAGGGTTTATATATTCGTCAAATTAACAAGGGCCTATTTATTTATTGAAACAAAAGGTAGACCAATACAAGGTAGGTGGAAAAAGTTTCACTAAAGAGAGAGAATTATTGTCCAACGAATATATTGAATTTCTATCTACTTATTACTACAAAGATCCTTGACTTTGATTAAATGCAACTCGAGGATGTATTGAATGAACTATCTTTTTTTTGTTTTGTCACTACGTATCGAATATACATAGCTTTAAATAGTTTTTGTATTTTTATAACCATATATTAATTAATTTCTACTCCAGTCGATCCATTTATCTGCCCCTTTCTATCTTATGTGTATACTCACACACATGCAGAATATTCCGATTTAATCAGATTCCGACAATTTTAGCGTAATGAATAGTCAAATATACACATACGAAAACTAAATTTATTACACATATATATAGGCGATGTATTGAAGGGAAAGTTTACGTTTGGTTACCTTTGGTTAGAGCATCTAATATGAATGAGTATATAAATTAGAGCAGTAATGATCCCAGTGAGGTCTCAGAAATGCACGTGAGGGGAGGGCACGCACGTGGGCTCTGGACAAAGATACACTTACTCTTCTTCACTTCTATTTTGATGTTTTTCTTTTGTCTCAGCTTCCATGGAAGGTCATGTCCTATTCTTTGAAGCTGTAGATTCTGTGCTCTTTAAATCTCTTCGTTGCATACTTCACAAGTTCACATATGAATCTGTTTGACGCCAGCTCGTCATTTATTATCGTCTTTAGAAATAAAGCTATCACTTCCGCATCAGAATCTGTGGTTTTTGCAAGAAGATAATTAAATAGATTTAAAAAATGAGTTAATTAGTGATAGATTTTTGACAGTTTGTAGTACTCAATTGAGAATGGATGAAAGATTCGAATTTACAATCTGTGTGTTTCACTAATTAATGATAGTTAGAAAGATTTTGTTTTAACAAACAAAAAAAAATAGAAAAGAGTTAGTTATATGAGTTAATATTTAATAGGGCAAAAAACGAGAGAGAACTTTTAATTAGATATATCTTCTCCTTCTGTAAGTTTACATTTATCTTCTCATTATCTTATATGTGGACTTCACTTTTAGTCTATTGTTGATTCTCTAAACTATGATTTGAAATCAAAGCTGTAATATTTTCTAGCATTTAAATTGAAAACCCTTTTTCAAAAAAAAAAAAAAAAAAAAAAAAAAAAGAGAGAGAGAGAGAACGAGGGAGATGGAGAAAAATAGAACTCCAAGATACAGATATATAGTGAGTGTATGTAAATCGGAGCCTGATTACAGCCAACAACATTTTAATGGAAATTGGAAAATTAATGGATTCTAAAAGTATACGCAAATGTATTCATTTACGTTGATTCTCTATTTTAATATATTAGCTCTACACACCTATAGAACTGGGCTAAATTAGGCTCGATTGACAATTTCTATTTGTTTTCTAGTTATTTTTGGGAAAATTCCCGTCATCTTTTTCTATTGAATTGCAAAAGGAAATAAAAGACTACAAAAGGCCCAGCCCAGTAGAGTTTTAGTCAGCCCACCATATTTGAACCACTAATTGACTGCAATTAATTTCAAACCACACAGTTTCGCTATTTTAATAAACTGCATATTTTTGTTTTCACATAAACATCTTATTATTTTGTTTAACGGCAAATTTTCGAAAACCGCAGCCAAGAAAATAATCAGGTAATTTTATTCAGATATGAGCAGAGAATCTCAATTTTACTATCTCCAAAAAACATTAATTTTTCATTATTCATTTAAAGAAGAATAAACTTTGTGTCCTTCGAGTGCTTCATTTTAAAACTAGTTTTGGCTCGAAAGAACATTCCAAATTTTCATAAAAAAAAAATAAATCTGAATTGACCATGATATTGTAGACAAAAAATCATCACGACCGCAAAAGAAATTTAGAAACCTAACTATAAGATTACAATTTTTCAGAATGTTTTCGAACAAATCTGAATGTTCACTGCACTAAAATTATACAAAACCTCAGCTACCGAGTAGAGAAAAAGAGAGACTAAGATTAAGATCAATCTTAGAAGAAGCAAAACAATCTCTGAAGATGAATGGAGCTGAAGACGATGAGAATGCTTCGCTGGTTTCACTGAGTGATGATGACGCATTGCTTCTCCAACGTTGTTGATAATTATGAGGATGATTCAATGACAAAGACAGCGATAGTTCTTCTTCCTCTTCTTCTTTGTGTCCCTAATATGTTCGAAAGACATAAATTCTTAGTTTCTGATTTTCTGAAGAAGTTGACTCATTTGCATTATTACTTTATTAGTCCATATATTCGATACTGTCGACGAAAACATAAATCTTGGTAAATCAATGTACGAATGTTCTTTATAAATTAACGAAAGAAATTAAAATATCTTAAATATTGTCTAGTATAGTATTATCCAAAACAGTGAAATAGCCTTATCTATATCCTCCTTTAATTATTAGTGATCTTACTACAGATTATTCAACTATATTCAAATATATATGATATATCTAAATGTTTTTTCAGTACTCAGCCCCGTGTCTACCCTAGTGTTGACCCATTACAATGTTAAATGGTTTAGTGAGTGTTTATCTGAGTCTTAAATATACTATTATACTACTGATGTAACTCTTCGGAACGGCTATATATTTTCCGATATATTAAAATTGAATATTAAAACCTCGAGAAAGTGATGAGACTGGAATTTGATGGACTCGCCATTGCCTGCAAATGTCTTCGTTCTCTCCATGTTCATGATGTTAAGAAAGTCATCGTCATCATTATAAGTCGCTGAAGTCTGCTCTCTTCTCCCCAAACCAAAAAAAGAAAAGAAAAGAAAACAAGCATATATGTAAATTTGACAATTCATATTCAAACAAAACTGTATGATAGCATACCTATTTTCTGGAATAAAATTAAAAGGATTGTCAGAAACAAATTAATATTCCCTTTCCATTTCTGCCAAAAGTAAAAATGAAAAAACTTAAATAAACTTACCTAAAGTTAAAAGAGTGAAAACCCAAAAGACAATCATTCCTTGCGTGTACAGACAAGTTGTCATGAAGATGATCTTCTTCATTGTCTTGTCTTCTTCTTCTCCTTGAAGATGATGAAGAACTCTCTTCTGTCCCCCAAAAATATTTAATTAATTAATGACCAGAAATGATGAATATTCTCTTTACCCTTTTGTATTTCTTTTCATAATTAATAAAAGAAGCACCTATTTACCTGTAAGGCTATACCCAAATTTGTTGTTCCTTGTTTTAATAAATATTCACTAACATTTATATATTTATGAATTATGACAATGGTCTAGTGAGACTTATTCTTTTGTAATTTATGCAGTATTGTTTTGATGTGTATAGTTGGAATCTGAAAATAATCATACGGCCTAATCTTGAAATTAGGACGTTATAAAGTGTAATTTCTTGTCTTCTTTTTAACCAAAGCATATGCTAAACTCATTACCTGGTCTCCCAAAAAGTGTGGGTTTGGATCCTCTATACATCTACAGTATGATATAAAAAACAAAAAAAAGGTCAGAAATATATATTCAAATTACTGGAAATTAAGGTGAGAAAGCACTGTGATGTTGAATAAGCAGTAGATAACAATCAATATTAGAGTAAAAAAAAAGAAATGAAAGTTTTTTCATTTTGTTTGACCTGGAGATGGCTCTTGACGTGTGAAATGGTTAGTCCCTTCATATCCATTATCTTAAGAACTAGTTTTGGAGTTGCTTCTGTTTCATTCAAAACCAAGAAATATTAAACATTTAAATCTTGAAAATGACAATGGTGAACATGAATAATTAATTAAATATTTCGAACAGGATACCGAATCTTATAAATTAAACGTAAAAGAACCGAACTTTAAGATGTTTCGAAGAAAAAAAAATAGCAAAAAAGTAAATGGTTGAAAAGACTGACTGTATTCACCACCGAGCAAATCAACAGCGTGAACGAAGCTCCGGTGAAGCTCCGGCGTCCATCTCAGGCGGGGCACCGGAGACCTTACGTACGGTCTAACTCCACCAATATTACCTCCGTCGCTGCTCCTTCCACACCTACCCATTTTAATATGAGCCAACGAAAACCCTAATCCTTTTGATTTGGATTTATCTGAACTTTTTTGTTCTTTCTTGAAACAACAAGACGAAGCAGAAGAAGAAAGATGGTGACGAAGCTAAGAGGGATTGTGATTTTGTGAGTGAGGGTTAAGGATTAGAAAGGACGAAGCTTTTCTGTTTTTATAAAAGATAAAGGTTTCTTTTTTCTTTCTATTCCCCTTCTGTCTCTTTTTAGAAGAACTCGTGCTTATATGTTTGGTATTTGTGTTTGTATGTGAATATGTATATATGTGTGTGTGTGTGTGGGGTGTGTGTAAGAAGAAGGCTAAAGAAAAATCAAAATTTTAGACATTGTGATATGATATTTATTTTTGACCAATAGAAAGAAATAAAGATGAGATATTTATTTTTATAATTAGTAACCAGCTGGAATGTTTTTATACTTTTATATAGTTTGAGGTGACATATGTTTTTGACCTAACAGAATAGAATACATTCAACACAAATTTATCATCCATTTGACTTTGCATGCATTAGTAGAAAAATAGCTTTACAAGAATCTTTTTGAGGTTTGGTTGGTATCCATGCCATAATCCATGGACCACTCCCTTTGGAGAAATGTTGATTTGCAAATGCTATAAAGAATTCATATAAATTACTAAACTTATATATATATATAATATGAAAGTTATATACTTTGAAACTAGTCCACACCTTAATCAGTGAACCTTTCTAGTTAATCGATATTGTGAGAAATGAAGACTAAATTCATTGTTGAATAAACAAACAAAAAAAGACTACATTCAATCAAACGGGCCAATATGTTACACTAGAACATTGAATTTTTTTTTTACCGAAAAGTAATGAGATTAAATTCTTATTTTTGTTCCTCACAAATTTTGATTGTTAACTACGTACTTTGTCAATATTTTACTGTCCACTAAATTTGATAATATCTGTTTTGTTCGTCCAATCCTAATAGTCGCTTACAAGAATTACCTTATTGGGATTTGGGATTTACCCAAATGAAGAAGTTTCCTCTAGGTGGCAAGCTTTTTTCATCATAGACCAAATTAAACTAAATAAAAATAGAAAAATGAAAATAGCCCAACTGCTAAGCTTTGACCTTAGGATCATCATTCCTTTTTCAAGTTTCCAATTTATTAATTTTTATCAATTTTGGTATGGGGTGTCGTGTTATTTAATATATACTTTCTGATAATTGCAGAGTTATAAAGGTCAGTGTTTCAAAAAAAAAAAGTTATAGAGGTCTCTTATATTAATAGCTTTTGTACGTATTTGAAGTTTTAGACCAAGCTTTTGACTTCATTCCCCTAATTTCTTTTTTTTACGTCCATTTCCAATCAATTCCCTTTCCTTTTTTTCTACTTTAAACTAGTTGTGTACGCAATTAAAATAGAATGTAATTGTATTCATTTCACATGCCCCTATGCTTCTGCCTCTTTCCACTTTGTCATCTTACTTTTTTTCTGATTTCTTGCAGCATATTGAAAACAAATCAAAATCATTCCCCTATGTAGTATAGCCCATTAAAACTACAGAAAAATTACTGGTTACGAATTCTTGATTTTTTCCTAAAACATTTCTCTGCAAAGTTCAAATTCATATTTTCTAAATTTTAATAACACTATATTGGCTAAACTAATATCACAAAAGAATCAATTTATTTACTCACAGATAGTCCATCGTAATGCATTCAACCATAATTGACGAATATCTAACCTTTCAGAAATCTGAAATAATCTGCATTCTATAAAGTTTGGACTAGGTAATATTTTTCACAATCTGAAACCAACGATCCATCCTGGTCTTAGCCATTAGGGTAAGTGACCCGGTCACATTTCCCAATTTAACTTAGTTCTTTTTACTCGCAATATGATTCAGATACCACATTGTTATAGATAAGTTAGATTAATATTTAAATTCAAAAATAAAAAATATAGAAGAAGAAGACGAAGAAAAGAACGTAGGAGGTTGCTTAAAGTAGGAAGGTGGGACGTAAATGTCGTCGATGACGAAATGGCCAAATGGGTATGTAAGTAGTACACAGCTACACATAGTCATCATCTTGACCATACATAACCCCAGTTTTGTTTTGATCGCTTAATTTTTTGTTTTCTTTTACATTATAATATATCATTTTCTTTTTGGGTATGGTTTTTAAAAATGATTATTGTCGTTTCGGTTGAAATAGTACACAACTATTTCAAAAATATTTTTTTTATCGTTAATCACCTTATTCAAAATATGTTATAACTTATTGTATACCGTTTACATATGTACCATTCATATTTGTTTTTAACTGTGTATCATTCAGATGCTTGTAATTCAACAAAACCACAAATGCAAGAATTTCAACAAAACCAACTAAAATGAGAAAGCTGCATGTATAAAACTCTTAAAAATCAAACCAAGCCGTAATAGTAAAATCAATTGGAGGTTACGTACAAAGTGGACCGTCATGATAAAGACTTATAACACATAAAAATACGCTATGGTTTTATTCACTTTGTATCTAAAAGTTTGTCAAAGTGTCGCATACGTATTTAATATATACACATGTGCAATATGCTCTGCATATATATATATGCCAAAAACCATTTTTATAGTTTAGAAAATCTAAGCAGATGGTGTGAAATTAAATGTTGAATTAAAGAGTTAAATCAATAAATCAACCGCATATATCTTTTATCAGACGAGCTTCGGATTGTAAAAGCCTTAAAGTTTCCCCTGAAGAATAACGAGGTTAGATTCCAACGTATTCAAAATGTAGACTTCACCCGGAATAGGACAGATCCTACCCCAACAATGTTGAATGAAAGAGTTAATCAATCAAATACAAGAATATTCAGTTTGGATTATGTTTTGTGGATTTCTCTCCCTTTTTTTCCTTAAAAACGGGCCTAAATCTCTCCTTTTATTGTATAATGAAAACCATTTAGCTCAAATCAAAATGGGATTATCAGTTATGTTCCTGATTGTTTAAGTTTTTTACTGATTGAACTTACCTAAAGCAATTTATCACATACAAAGTTGGTAGGACGAATTTGATTCGGTGGCCTGTCGCGACATTAGTTTTGCTTTCTGAAATATTTATATGAAAATGAAAATGAAAACATTCAATGAATTCCCAAATAGATCCAAAGGGAATTTAATGTGAAATTGACTCCAGGTCCATGATTCATGCTTACTACAATCCAACATTCAATTAGTTTCTTCGACTGATATATATTTGTGTGTGTTGATATGTATATACATACAGCTTAAAAATATAGGGTAGTTGAGAAAAAAAATTCGGATTATCATAACGGCTAAATTTCTATTTTGATCCAGAAAATTCTCACCGAACCATTTTATTGGATTTAATTTGACCATTATTAGTATTATTGTATTAGCATTATTTTCTTCCCCTAACACTTTAACTGATTTCAATCATCACACATGCACGAACAATATAAATTCTAAAATATGATAAAGTGTAATCAACCGAGAGAGATAAACACCTAGAGAGGGTTGTTTAAAAGTGTGATTGGAAAACACCAAAAATAACTTTTTTCTTAAACGATTATTTGTATAACTTTATGCCAGAGAATATGTTATTACCAATCAATTTTGTCTATATACAATGATATAAATGTGGTCATGTGGAAATATATTTAGGGTAGTGAATGTATATAATTAATTAGTGGGAAAAAAGAACCAAACAACCCTTGACTTTTTCGTTCCTTAAAACATTGGATGTATGTCTGCTGTATGTTTTTCTTTTCTTTCAAAGATCCTCCTGATATTGTTTAAATCCACCTGCTAGTACTAAACAGTAAACAGTTAGATGAGTTTGTATTTATGTAAACAATTGATTCAACACTTAAAAGAATGCAAGGAGAATTTTTGAACATGCATTAGAGCTTCCTGTCCAAATATATCAAATTATGAGTTATAACTCAAAAAAGGGAAATCATAACATGTTGAAATTAATTTTAAAGAGAAACTTTAGGTTTTTAGAGGCAGCACACATGGTTGTAATCATAGCAGTAGAGACAGTTGAAGAAATAACACACGTTTGATTGTGTAGATTGTAATATGGCAGGTGAGAAGAAGAAGGAGAGGGACATAAAAAGGAATAATTCTCCCTTTACAGGCTTTGTATATGTCCTCTTATCCACCAATCCATAATTGCAATTTTGCGGAATCTTCTATACAATATCTAAATGCAGAGTATTCAGGGCCGGTCTAGTTTTTATGCAGCCCTGCACAAAACTTAAAATGAGAGTACGTATTAAACTTAATATACCTATAAGACAAAACGAACCATAAGTTTTCAATTAATCTAGAATCTAATTAATAAAGGGTATGAGAGTACCCTTAATATACATACATATATAAGCCAATTTGGAGTCTCGACCAGCCTAGTAATAACCTTTTACCTAACAAATGATCTCATTAAAGAGAAAATCAGACACTTACCTAATGTTCGAGAGAAAAGCAGTAATAAGGTATAATGGGCATTTAGGAAATATGTAAAGACTTATCAGAATGAGCATCATTACATCAAAGAATGAATCCGAGACCAGATGTTAGATAACACTTTGAGGAAATGAAAAGGCTGCGGCAAAGTAATCGTGGGTCCAGTAGTATTTTTTTCAAGTTATTCGAAAAATTAGATACAATATTTGAGGAATAGAAAGCAAAAGGAAGATATTCTATGATGGAGAAGGAATAATAAGGCAATTGGATACTTGGCTTACAAAATGTGGATAAGATATTAGAAAATCCCATATAGCGAAAAGTTTCGAGATTGTCTCGTTGATTGCAACAAATTTGTAAGACATTTGTTTTATCGATTCGGTCTGGTCCGAACTAAAACCGAAATTAACTTTTTAACTGGTTTGCTTTTTCAATTTCCGGTTTTGTGATTTAATGGTGGGTTTCTCTTGAAATCGAACGAACCATCTTCAGCATAGAGCTTTAGTTCCTCCTGGTAAACTTGTATACTTCTTTAGCAAATATGCAACCAATTTATGATCCTTAGAATTGTGTCAGCTTGTGGTCAAGGCCGGTGAACAATGAAAATGCTTATTTGCATATTTGAATACGTTGATTAACATCTCTCACTAACGCACTAAGCTCAATGTAATAATACAGAACGAATTCATTCCAAGTGGTTAAGCTGAAACAAATGATGATCTTTAGAATAATCTGTCCAGAACAATATCAAAATAT